TTGTTTGTTAAAGTCACCCCAAATGACAACTTTCTATCACAATAAAATTTTATTAAAGTATTGCCACCTTTATTAATTTAATATTATATTATTCTTTATAGCGACAACTTTTATCTACTAAAAATTAAATTATTAGTCTAATTTTTTTATATATATCATTAGTACATAATATATTAGTTAATATATCATACTATTAATATAAATTTGTTTGAAACATTTTTGGATAATTATCATAGTAACAAATTATCTTAACACCCTGAGTTATTTGCTCTGTTAGCAAACAAGTTGTAACATCTTCAGGACACTCTATTAATGTTCATTCTCATAATAAAGTGAGTACTATTTCCTTCAAATCATTAAAGGTAAATTCACTTTAAATTTCTATTTAAAACTTAAAAGATTGTAGAAAATGAAAAATTAAAAAATTATGAATAAAATAAATGAAAAGTAAAGTTTGAAAATTTTGATACATGGTAATAACAGTGGGGAAAATTTTTTTTTTACATAACACTCGTTATATACATTGAGCCAAACACCCCATTTCTTAACATATACGTATTATGTTATGTATTTCATTTTTATTGAAATGATAATTAAATTTTAACTACAATAGAATTTGTCTTTGCTGAGGATGTTGTAGTGTGTGTAGTTTCTTTTTTTAAATGTAGTCTTTATTATTATTATTATTATTATTATTTATGTGTGTAGACTGAGTTGGCTGGACAGCAAATTTTCCATTGGGCTCTTCACACCCATGAGCCCGCATCATTTCTCTCATCTACGGACCATAAAGGAGCCCATCTTTTACTATTTATCATAATTATCTTCTCATTCTTCGTGGAAAAATGAATTGATTAGATTATACATGTGTTGGTTCAATTTATGTTAAAGAAACAATCATTCATTTTTATCAAATTTTTTAATGTAAATAAGTTCTTAACCTTAGAGAAAGAAAAAACTGATAATAATATTACACAAAAAAGCACTATTCAAAAATATTTTATAAAGTAGAATTCATATAAGAAATATCACATAATATAAACTAATGAAGATAATAACCAGTAACATATTTGATTAATCCGATTAGTTGATTAATAATACAAAATAAAAAAAATAATTAATAACCATACTTGAACAATAATATGTGGTCCTACCCTTTAGACTAGGTGAGACGTCTGTACATAAATGAAACCCTCTAATTTTGTTAATATTTTTGAGATATGAAATATTTTTGTATAATTAATTTTATTTTAAAATTATATTGTAAAACGTATATTTTATTTGAGTGTCTTATATATCTTACAAATTTAATAACACAATTACATATAATGTATAGAATATAATCAATCCCATTCAACCAATTAATGTGTGCCTGATTTTCCATTTACTTAAAGTCTAATGGAGATTTGGTCCAACAACTTAAAAAATTTCTTTCAATTTTTTTTTTTCTCTTAACGAGTTCCAGTAATTATCTAAACACAACCTTGATTGTTATTTGAAGTACAATGAATGAGATATAAATAAAGGGGAAAAAATCCAACAAAATACCAAATTTGATCATTATTCCGTTTTTCTATTTTGTTGAACTCTCCATCCAAATAGTGACAAAAAGAAGCAAAGAAAAAGGATGAAAAACTGAGTGTGTGGTGGATGGAGCAACTGTAGTTGGTGGCATAAAGTCATTATCTTTGGAGGACTATCCATGTCTTTGCTGAGTTACCTTTGACGAAGTGCCAAAGATATAAACATGTTATCTCTCCATTGAAAGGCGGAGAAAGAACGTTAGCATGGCACATTGAAGACAATAAAACATTTATAATGTTTAGATTTATCTTTTAAGTGTTTCTGCATTTATATTTATTTTAATGCTATCATTCGTGACTTTAATTTTTGTTAAATTTATATTAACAAATATTTAACATAAATGTAAACATACACTTACTGTGTGTTTTATTTCATGTTAGAGTGCATTTGAATTTATATTTATTTAGATGATGCTAATTATAACCCTTTTGTATTTTTTAAAATATTTGTAGATACACTTAGTTATATTTGAATTTTTTTCCGTTGTGGTAGAACATTATGTCTCTAGTTCTATTTTTGCCTAAATAAATTGAAATTTATTTAAGCAAATCTTTTAAAAGTAACTTAGAAAACGTATAACTCTTGCTTAAACACATTTGTGAAAGTTTCGTAAGTAAAATTGGAACTGAACTTTCAGGTCCTCTATGATGAAAAGAGATGATTCATATTTCACTTAGTTGTACATTTAATTATAATTTTTTTGTGAAATTTTCAAAATAAGAAAAATGTTAGAGATATTTATTGAAAAATTTTATTAAAAAAGTACTTATTGTATAAAAAATGTAAAAATATAATAAAAAATATTTATTAAAAATTTATTACATTTATATGTTTTAAATCAATCGTAATAATTAATATTAACAAAACCAATAAAATATATATTTACGTATTTCTCCTAAAATAGTAATAGAATTTGAAAAATTCGGATACATCTGGCTTAAAAAAAAAATAAAGAGAGATAGATGACACGTTTAACTTGTACTACTAATAGAAAAAAGCACGTACCACACGAGAATATTAGTTTTGTGATATATATCGTTGTCGAAAATGAAGTCACACATAAGAAAGTGTTCATATAAGATCACCCAAGTATTGACTCTCACTCCAACCAGATCACTCCACTGCTTTTGCATGGACATGAATAAGAATCAGATGTGAGCTATAATTAATTAGGGCAATATCATTCACTATAAATCATTAAAGTTTCTGTGGGGCACGTTCTTTCTAAAACTTCATTTTCCTTGCGATTGTTTTCGTCTGTTCTGCACAAACTACTTTTCAAGCCTATCAGAAACTATGACTTAGAATCACCCATCTTCTCTCAGTACAAAGAAAATAAATAAATTAGGCATTCAAATTCTTATCGATACAAATATTATATTCATTTAATTTAAGGAATGATATTTAAGAAAAAGCAATATTTTTACAATCAGTTTTTAAACAATCATGTTTTTTCACATAAAATGAGTGGGTATATAATTTGTCTGTGTTTGGTACATAGTGGGTGACACAAATAAGATTTATTGAATTACACGGTGTTCTGGTGACCGGCAAACTCGCTTCGTGTCTTGTCTAAGTTTCAGCAAAATTATCATATAAATGATTGATATATATTTTCTAAGATACAAGAAGGTTGAGAATTAAGCAGTGGGCATTCTTCTTGCTATGATTGATTATATAATAAAATTAAATCCACAATAATTGATGAGAAGTACACAGTTTTATTAAGACCAATATATATATTGGCAAATTTAGATGCTTTGCTTTGAGGCACTAACAGCAGCACAGCCTAAACCTGATGCTGGATTGCTGGCAGTGGCCCTTACGTGCTCCTCACAAACCCTCTCCACAAAGAGTTCCTTACGCTAAGAATCTCTCTTCGCCACTATTTTCGCATACTCTATAGTCTATACCTTACACCACGAAACCCACTCCAACTTCCATCTGTACTCCATATTCCACTACCTTATTCTTTACTTTTCTTCATTAATCTGTTTCCCTTCTTAAGGAAAATCATTCTTCTCGAACCATGTTAATGCCTCTTCCTTAATTTCAATTTGGTAGCTTATTAAAGTCACGCGTGAATATATTATTCAGATCCACGGAATTTAGAGCAACAATGTTACTACTGTATTATTATTATTATTATTAAATTAATACAATAATTTCCCAACTTTCACATTTTATGTTATTGTTCATAGAATACGTATAATTTTGATTAAAAAAATTTATAATACTAATCAATATATTAAATGTGTTAATTTTAGGATATATTAATGAAATATAAAATTGTAGATATATATGATATACATTGATTTTATAAATGTATTTTTTTTATTCAAAAAAGCTTATTTGAGTAAAAATTTAATAATATGAAAGTAGTTTTTGTTTATCAAGAAAACAATTTTTTGCATCCCTTAATAGTATATACATCCCACGAGGGAAGAGAGATGAGAAAGGTAATATGACAAAAAAAAAAAAACAATGTATATGTATATATATAAAAGATACTAATTATTTTATACTAGTACATACATTTTTATTTATTTCCATAGCAATGATTTTGGATCATGGATATATATAGCCGGCTTGATTATTATTGGACTGTCCTGTGTGCACTGAGGTAGTGACTAATTTGTACAATAAGAAATAGTTGGGTCAACTGCACATGAAGCACTCCCTCATTATTTAGCAAGTGTCTGTAGTTTAAGTTTAGTAGCGTTCCATTTATAATCAAACACGTCATGGCATGGCAGCAATAGGTCGATCGAATTATATAATAAATTAATGGAAAATATCATATCATAATGTCGCATCACAAGTGGAAAGGATTGTGTTCAACCCATGAAATCCCACACTTGGAAGTGGTTGGTAATTAACTAAAATTAAGGAGGTTAGAATGATGAGTTAAATTAAGGTATACTACTTGAAGTAAAGGAAGCTAAAAATTAAGAGCGAACAGAAACACATGAAGAAAGAAAAGCTAATAAAAGGGGCATAAAAAAGGGAGGTGAAAGTTTACAAATTCTGTGTGGTTCCAGGCTTGCAAACCAATCCTCCAGAAAGGAATCGTTGAGAAAAAGTAATGGGTTTGCTTCAAAGCCAACCGAATCTCACTCGTTTCCTCGCCTCCTCATGCTTAACATTGCATCTTTCTCTCTCCCTCTTCACACTACACACCTGTAATATACACATTATCTCCTATATATGACTTCCAAGTTTGGAAACGCAACCCTGGCACAGCCAAAAACACGTTACTTTTCAGGTTATGCCTTTTGCCTCCACTTGAAACCAATACTAATATTAACTCTTACTCTCTTCCTTTGCTTCTTCCATTCTCTCTCTCTCTCTCTCAATAACATTGATTTGTGTTGTCTCTCATTTGACCTTGACACTAGAAAAACACAATAAACAAGATGCAGGAGCAACAGGAACATGTGGTGTGCAAGGATCACATGCAAATTATCATGAAGGGAAAGCGCACAAAGCGTCAAAGGGTTCCATCTCCACTTAGGTTAACCATGTCAACATGTTCCAGTGTAGGAAGAAGCAGCACTGACAATTCCATAGGATTTGATCTCACTACAACCTCAAATGAATTCAGGAATAGAACAGAAGAGGAAGAGGACATGGCCAATTGTTTGATTCTCTTAGCTCAAGGCGGCCACCACCACCATCATCATCATACCCCAAAACCCTCACAACATGTGGCATCACGTGATCACAATAGCAACGAGGCAGGGTTATACCTTTATGAGTGCAAAACATGTAACCGATGCTTCCCTTCATTCCAAGCCCTTGGTGGCCACAGATCAGCCAGCCACAAGAAACCTAAGCCAAATACAGAAGTAGGTCATGACGGTTGTGACCCCACATGCACCACCCTCTCCTTACAAGTATCAACCAATAATAAGGCTTTGTATAATAGCTGCAGCAAAACGATTAGTACTAAATCTAAAGTTCATGAGTGTTCCATATGTGGGGCTGAATTCTCATCTGGGCAAGCCTTGGGGGGACATATGAGGCGGCATAGAAATCTTGTGAGCACTTCTACCACAATATCTATGAGTGGGGCAATTGCAAATAATGGTGGTAAAATCCAGGAAGCCAAGAAACACAAAGATGTTTTGGATTTGGACTTGAATCTTCCGGCACCTGAGGATGACCATAGGGAATCCAAGTTGTTTCCTTTTCAGTCCAAAGAAAAAGTTATTGGCTTCTCTGCAACTTCTTTGGTGGATTGTCATTACTAAAGTTCAAGTCAGGTTTCTTTTTTATTTTCTTCTATAGATTAGCCTCACCAAGTATCCATCTATTTTTCATATAGCCTTGTACACAATTGTTGATCATTCTTTCCATTCAATATTCATTCTATGGTACACAACCAAATTTGAATTTATTCAGTTCAGTAGGTTGTAAATATAAAGATTAACTAATTTCTTCACTTATTTTATTTTAATTGTCATTCTATTTATTGGTTTCTAAAACTCCATTAATCTTTTTTTTAAGTCAGATAGACCACCATCATGCATGTGAAAAATTGAGAGAGAGAGAGAGAGAAACAAAGAATAGGAAATTAAATCAAAGGAGGAGAAAACTGGCTTGGATGTGCTAGAAAGATCGATAAGTTTCATCAAACTGATCACCAAAAAACCCGATGGCAACTTGGCAAGCCAAGTCTTTGCCTAACTGACAGAGCTTGAGTTATAAATGATTAAATGTGTAGTGATTAAACTGTTTCAGTCAAAACTGGTTTATTTTATTATTGTGGGGCATGGCTAGCCTGCCATTAGTTTGCTTCTAGGATTTGCGGTAACTTAAATAAATAAATATTCCTCTTTGTTTTTGTATGGTTACATTTTTCTCTACAATCAATGTTTCAGTTGAAAACATAGTAGTTTTGGTTTAACTAGTGCAATGTGCATTTAGTTTTTGTTTTTTTTGTTTTTTAGATTTAAAATATGGGGTATATCCTATCCTACCTTTGATTGTAGACATAATCATAATAAAACTTATTCGGGGTAATAAAATAAATTTATAATTTTTTAAAAATTATTCTAACAAATTTTACCGTTAAGTTTATAAAAATTTATCTAATAATCACATAATTAAAATCTTTTGGGTGATCTTGGATTATTTATACATAGTGCTGATATTTCTGCATTGAAATGGATAAAACTTTCTTAGAATTTGGAGGTTTTTATTAGTGTGTTAGGTTTTGTTAGTTGGATTGATTAAGACCCTTCCAAGTCACAGAAAGAATCTTTTTAGTTTAATATTAAAATAGAGTTAGATAGAATTAATTTTAAAAAGTTGAGAAAGAAAAAACTAAAGTATATAATTTTTTATTGAAAAGTGTGATGATAAACTTTTTAAAAGGAGGTTAATTTCTTATTTTAAGATCGCAACGAGCTCCATGAATCTAATAGAAAACAACCCTTTTCCTTTTCAAAAAATGAATGTCATTAGTACTTTCTATTACAGACGAGAGAAGAAAACTGACTTAAGGCCAAAGTTATATTATTGCATTTTCTTTCTTGTGTCTGATAGTTTTGTATATTAATTATATTATTATTGGGATTGGGAAACTGAAAAACCATGCTTGCATATGAAATATGACCATATTATAAAGAGGTGTACGTTACAAACGTACTGTTTTAAAACATTCTTTTTTTTTTTATTAATTAAAATATGAATAAATATCATTAAATAGAATATAAAATTCACGGTTTTTAATGAATTTCAGTTCAATATAATACATTTGTGAAAGTTTATGCTAAAAAATGTAAGAAATTTCTAAAAAATATTCTTGAAGCACTAGTTATAAAAAAGAAAAAAAAAAGAAAATTCTACTCCCTCTATTTTAAGATGATCATAATTTAAGGTTTTTATATACGAATTAAGAAAAGCAATAAATATCCTAATTAGAATAAAAATTTTATTATTTATTCATCTTATTTGTTGAACAATTAACTTAGACAATACTCAATAATCATTACATTCATTATTCATTTAGGACAGAATTAAAATTGAAAAAAAAAACTTTATTAAAATCTTAAAATATCACTAGATATTAACTTTTTTAAAACAAATAAAACTTAATTTAAAATGGAGGGAGTATTTAAAAAGTGTTATCCACGTTTTTTTGTGATTTTTAATATGACCTTATCACAATTTAAAAACGTGCATTTATTAAATTATTTATTAATAACTTAAGACATTAATTAGTAAGATCCATAACCGTATCAATAATATATCTAAAAGGAATAACTCTATGTATTTTTGTAACATTGTTTTACAAACCTTCCTACTTGTGTTAGATAAAGAAAACATTGAATATTCTGTTTATAAAATATGAAAGACATTTATTTTAATTTAATTTTTATAAAATGGTAATAAAAGTAATACGAAAAGTATTATAAAAAATATAACATTACTCTAAAGATAAAGCATTCTGTCCATAATTGTTGTAAGAATGCAGCAACGGGCATGCTTATGGAGGTTCTCCCATGAAGACAAACTTACATGAAATGGAAAGCTATGGCTTTTAGGGGAATTTAATTAAGGAATACCCCTTTAGTCATCAAAATTAAGTCTATCATCAAATGCCCAAAAGTTAACAGGTATGAGTTCTGATTTATTTTAAAATTTTATCATTTAAAAAGTTAATAGATTGTTGATTTTTTTTATAAAGAAGCTAGCAGCTAATATGTCATCACATATTTTTCTATAGAGTCATTTTGGTGAAGGCACAAAATATATTGTTATTATGGTTTTAATATAAAATATGTGATTAAAATTAATTTTAGCACATATTTTCATTATATTTAATAATATTTTTTTATTTTACATAATTCAAAAAATAAGTTTGTAATTATTTTCTTTCATGAATTATTTGTTAACTTTCATTCTCTTTTCACGCTGAAACTTCGACTAAAACATGGTAGCATCACTAAAAAGAGCCCGTGAATGGTGTGTGTATATCAAGGGAAATATTAAGTAAATGTTCATCCACAACTGTAAACAAGTTTAAAAAAATTATGATTAAGTTCTTATATTTTTTTATATCTACGTTCTTTTGTAATTATTTTTTTGGCTTTTCTGTTCACATCATCATCCATTACAATTTTTTTTCTTTTTATTTTTTTCTTCTTTTAATCATTTCACTCCTCAGAGGCCAAAGAATCATTTTCCTTTATGATCTATGCATTAAAAAAACGAAGTTTGTGGGTGCAGCTGCACCTCCATATGTAAAATCTCAGTTAAACCATTAAGTTTAGAAAACTTATTTTTACTTATTAATTTTTTTAATTAGCATCCTTAAAACATTAGCTAAGAAATGCCTATTATTTTCATTATCTAATGAAATCTCAAATTAACTTTACGAAATGATCCTCTTTATCAGTCAACAACACAAGATTAATTTCACTTAACAACAAAGAAATATAAATTGAAATTAATGAATATATATTGGTAGCAATTCTCTATGTGCAATATCAGAAATTTGTATCGAAGTGAATTGTGCTGTAAAAAAATTATTTGTAATAGATTATAAAAGTTTAAGTAGTTAATTGGTCCAAATTTGATTAGGTGTAACTTTTTATTGGGAAGTCTACTTAATTACCGGTCCTATTAAATTGATATGACTATGCCCTTCTCTTGGACATCGCTTTTACTGCAATGTCACGATTGAAACTTTTCTGTGAAGAGTGGCAAAACAAATTTCAAGATGGAACATATCGTATTTTCTTTCTCAAGAGACATAAAGATAGACTTTCAGAGTGCGATCCATAATATTTTTTCTTCCTGTGTTCACATACAAGTACTAGATTGATTTACTAGACTACATTTTGCTGTTTAGTTTACTATGTAACCTCAAACATGGCCAATATGAGCCTAAAATAGAAAAAAAGTTAAGTATGCACTCTTATCTTTGACTAAGCCATCATATAGTTTGCACAAGTTTGTGAGTACATGATTGCACAAGTAATCATTACTCGTTTTACAAGTACAGAGCCTGTGCTATAATTTACTGACATGTCCTACCTTGCAATGGCAATAGCCAAAAAAGCAGGTCATGTTAGTAGAGCCTCAAATAGTACTTTATAGTACAAAGAAAACTCTTTCTTACTTTGCTTTTATTTTGCCTTTCAAGGATTTAAACAAATTGTTGGATTAATTATATGAAATGTGCAATAGAATTGCATGAGACTTAGGAGCACACATAAATGACACATCATTCATAGGCAAACAAATTTACACAAGCTAATAGGTGCCATTGTTGCCAATTTCCCCGTTGAGGTAATACAAATAATTAAGCAATCAAAAGAAAAGACAATGGCAGCAGTAAAAAACTAGAAAAGCTTACATATACAAGATTTGCCCAAGATGTGCTAGTTAATACTCAATATGTCCACGATGTTTCATCTTAAGAGCAACAACCACCATTTTGCGATGCTTGGGGTTCTTGTTTCTGTTTTAAAACATTCCTTTTAACTGCTGTTGATCCTTCTTCCAAAAGACTAGGAGCTTCCATTATCTACGAAATGGTGCCATATTTGTCATGATAGGAAAAACAAAACACACACAATCAATCTACAGTACGCCTTTTACACATTCAAATATCATCACTTCTGCAATTCCGATCTTTATTCCTTATTTTACAATTACCTATCTTTTTACAACCAGATCATGTGCTCAGTCACTCTTCACCATTGTGTCTATTCTTACTAATAATTAAATCAAATATTAGGTAGGAACATTTGCAGCAACATCTTTTAATATTAGCCCAAAAATTTCAAGCTAAAACAACACAACACACAAATTTTTCAATTAAATTTTATATTTTTGAAACAAATGTTTAAGCTTAGGTTAATCGGTGATCCTACTGTCAGTTAATTGGAAAGTCATCTTATGCACATAACAGAAACAGCATTGAACAAAGCTTCTAAAACTGTACCTTCAGAGCAAGTTCTTTGAAGCACTGCTCCACATTTTCTCGAGTTTTAGCACTACATTCAAGAAGCAAACACCCCAATTCTTTGGCAAGGGCTAAACCCTCTTCTCTGCTCACAGCCCTTTCACAATCCTAGAAATAGAGGGGAAAAAAACCATTACAGAAATTAATGAACTGAATTCATTAAGAGGACAGTGCAACCTGTCATTTCAAGGAATCCTAGAAAGTTGGAGGCCTATTTTCTTTTTTTTATATAAAGCTAAGCATGTTACGATTCTGTTGTGTGCATTGGGAAATGACATTTATCTCCTCAAGGTTCTTCAACAGTTTCATAGTGTCCAGTAAACTGTTAATCACTGGCTTAATTAGGTTGCTTTGACTGCATGAAAGATTACAGATGACAGTGCCGCCTAAAGTGCATGCATGTAATGATCTAGATACCACAGAATTGACATTGATTGAGTTCAAAAGCCAATGCTACATGAGGTTGCAATGGAAGTGTTAAGATATCAAGCACACCTTGCACAAATGGGGTTCTATTTTCATCTAATTTGGCTGATGATGCATGGATCCAGTTTTTTGATGATGTCATCAGATAGATATTCATGGCAATAGTGGCAGAATAGTATGGAGCATTGGTATGATCAAGGTATTAATTTGACAATTTTGGAAGGTCCCAAAGTTAACCCCACACCTAAGGCAAAAAAGGATAGGTTTGAATTTACTCACTTGAGGATGTCTTTATTTTCTCATGATGGCAGTATTGTATTATTGTTATCAATTCTATAAAATTTGAGGACAGAGACATACAGAAAGACAAAACTTTAATATTGTTTCATTGTCTTCAGGCAGATTAAATTTGAACCATTATTTTCAAATATTTTAACGAGGAACATTTCATGACAACCAGAAATTCATTCCTTAGGGTCATATATCCAGGCCTAATACTAGAGCATAAAACTTACTCTATCAACTTTATTTCCAACAAGCATCTTCACGCAATCCTGGTTAGTTGAGTAGAGTTTCACTTCCTTAGACCACACTTCTGATAAGTTTGTAAAGGTTTCTCTCTTTGTGACGTCATAAACTAGAAGGAAACAACAAGAAGCACTCTATAAATAGAAAGGATTACAATTTAAGAGATGTTAACCAGCAACAATTCAACACAGATTTTATCTACCTTAACTACTACAGAATTTTGGTTTCAGAAGGCCACCTTAAGCCTGAAGTAAAATATGCTTACCACATTCTTCATGCCATAATAGGGACACAAAAGACAATGGCAAGAACCATGATACTACCAAAAGAAATGAAGCAACGAGGGGTGATCTTGAGAATGCCTTTGTTTCCCTAATTGAAAGTGTAAAACCTATCTAAAATTTGATAAATTACACAACTTGTAAATGCTATAATTCTTTGCTAATGCTTAATTTTGATTTACCTTTATCAGGCATTACTTTTCATAAAATGATAGTACAATGTTAAAGACAGAGTTTAACGTTAGTAGGAAGAATGAGGCAAGCATAAGTACATAAAATCAAGTTAGCATACCGAGAATGATTCCTTGAGTTCCTCTATAGTAAGAACTGGTTAGAGTTCTGAACCTTTCTTGCCCAGCTGCATGCAATAGATTTAATGTTATTTTAAGTCAATATACCACAATCATTTTGGTCAACTAACAAGTCATTCAACCGAAGCACGACATTTCATTCAATCTGTTTGAATCACATGCTGCCAGGATTGAACAAAACGCCTAATATCAAGAACTGGAAGCACATGATTTTACTCTACATTACCAGTATCCCAAATCGTTAATTTGACTCTCTTGCCACCCACTGTGAGCATTTTGATCTTAAAATCAACACCTGCGAATTAGATCATATCAACACTCAAGTCAGATAAACAGAATGGCCTAGGCAAGAAGAGTATAAACTCAATTGCTTGTTAATTCCAGTGGCACAAAAGAACCAAAACAACAGAGCAGTTAAATCATACACAATGACATCAGAGTGCCAGATGAAAGTAAAGTTGTTTTAAAAAAAAAAAAGATAAAAACTGATCGGAATTGGATGAGACTGAAATTCAAGCATCTTTTAAACCAAAACTTATTTGAGAAATTCGCAAATTCAACACTCAAAACTTGAACAGTGTCAGTGTAAACTAATAGATCAACAACCAAGAGGCACCCTTTGGATGAGAACAATCAAAAGACAACCAAATCCCAAGCATGCAAAGCTTGAAGATAGAAATAACAGCAGTAAAATAAAAAAAAGAAATAATGGGGTAATTTACTTACCAATGGTGGGGGAAAGATCTTCAACAGCACTTGAAATGAAGCTGACAAGTAGGCTACTTTTTCCCACCCCAGAATCTCCAATCAACAAGATCTTGAAAGAGAGATCATAGCCACTGCTCTGACCTAAGGATGAACTCATTCTCTCAAACCTGTTCCTTCCTCTAATCAATGTGTCAAAAAGTACAGCGAAAGGAACGTATGCAATTGCAAGTGAAGAAACAAAGGAAAGAAAGAGAAAAGAGAAGGGCTTTTGAGGACTAGGCAAAGCTACCCTCTAAGGAAATGCAATGGGGCATTACCTCAGCTACTTCTTTCATTTATTTGCTGTTTGTAGAGAGATAAAGAGAAAAACAAAAACGGCGAGCCTTTGGCTCAGTTCAGGAACAATCACCTGTCCCAACCTGACACCCCACACCAACGTTTTTTTTTTTCTTATTTTTTCTGTTTTCTCATACACTTAAATTTACACACATTTCTTTTTTAAATATTTAAAAATTTACATTATTGTGTACAATAATATTTTTTTATCTAAAAAAATTCCAAAATGAAAGAAGATATCAAAAAATATCCTACTTTAATGTATAATGTATGCATTGTATTTTTGAGTTCCCATCTTCATGCGAGGTTCTTGTCCCTACTGCATGACCCACGTGCGAGGTAAGGATTGGTGTGGTTTACTCTGAAAGCAATGTTACTATTCAAGCACAGCATAGCACAACTTTATTTTGTTTTTCATGAGTTTTTGGATGAATTTTTTGTTATATTAAAATTATAAAAATCTAACAAATATATAAATTTAACTTTAAAAACTAATTAGTTGTCTCTCTTTAAACACCATTATTGATTATTGATGCCTTTCATTCTCGTACCGTGTCCCACTCTCTTCGATCCTAAAAATTCAAATTTTTACAGTACTGTAAAACTCGGACATAAATCTATGCACTGTCATAATTGATGCCTTGTGTTTCGTAGTCTGGTTGTAAACTTCCACGCACATTCCACAATCTATCATTATCTTTGCTTTTTTCCTTTTTTTTTTTTTTCTTTTTTTAATATGGGCGTGCTCATTGTATCTGTCAAACGTGCAAACCCAATATTTTATAACTTAGATTCATGTCCAAGTGTAATAGCGTGACTATTTTTAGGAATGATATGTCATCTAAGTATACCTTTTCATCATCTTTATAATACTTTCTAAAGTATTGAATAAAATAATAGATGTATTTAATATCTTAAAAATATAAACTACATTGAATTCTTATTTTGATTAGTGGGTAGGAAAATTTATATAGAAAAATATCATAAGATGATTTAGGGAAAAAAAAGTTATTTACTCACAACAATACACACTTTAATATAGAACTAATAAATTATAACTCTCATTTAATGTAATTTTTTAATTCGTGTAACAATAATTAAACACCAACATAAGCATGTTATAACACGTGGGTAGTACACATTGATGATAGTATGGTGGCATATTTTATAATGCGTTGAAGTAACTTATTTAAAATAAAGAAATATAAATAATAGACAAAAATGATAATTCGTTGACACGTTTTAAGATCCTTTATTTTCAGACCTTTCACTCAATAAATAGAAGATCTGTCTATAAGATATAGTCAAAAGCACTAATGAAATTACATTTTTGTTTTGTTTTAATAGTTTGTGTGTGTTTTTGTGCACCACCAACTGAATCTTTGGGCTATATCAAATAAATTGTTGCTCTCACGTAATTGTGAATATTATGAGAGTTAAACATGAATACAAATGTGCTGTAACATGTGAGTGATAGGGAATAATGCTAATTCGATTAAGAATTCTTTTTGCAAAATATCGTCTTACTCAATAGATGATAATAAGAAACTATCTTTGAAGATTTTGTTAGGTGCATGCTAAAGCTTTCTCTCTCTCTTTTTTGTGTATGTACTACGATAGATTTGTATCAAAACTAACAAATTGTTATTCTCACGTAATGTGACTTTAAAATTCAAGTAATTAGAGATAAATGCTATCGCAAAACATGTTACAACGTGCATGTGAGCAGTAGGCACTGTCGATTATTCCTCAATATATTTTGGATTTTTGTTTCTATTTTTGGAGCATCCTCTCACTCATGTAAGAGATTAATCTACGAGGCATCGAAAGACGCTAAAGTGGGGACATCTTTTTCCATACATGTGAATCTATGATCACCCAATATCATATATACATAAGCATCGGAATCCACATCAAAACTTTAGTTGGCATATTTTAAGATTGATCTAATTCAGTGTTATATATATATATAATATGACAAAAAATGGAAATATAAAACGAATTTAATAGGGCATGTAGGAACATAACTCATTCGATGAGTTTATAATTAGTGATTAATTGAGATGAGATATTATTTTCTTGAACAGGAAAGGGAGGGTCTTGAGGTGTGCATCTTTGATGGCAAGTGCTGCCTGCATCTGATCCAACTCCATGACCAGAGGTAGAGTGTTGCTTTCAAAACGGAGTGGCACCAATTTGAATGGCCCATTATGTCCAAACGAAACTTCTATTTTTGACATTGGGTGAAGGGTCTATTTCCCTTCATTGCATTTTTTAAACCCAGAGTGTTTCCTTTCGGAGGAGGGCACTTTCTATCGTCAGCTACTGCTTCGATGGATATATGAAGATTTTTTATATATTTAAAATAGCCTGTAAATAGTTTATAGGAATAACTTAGGATTTTTATAATTTATTAGATAAGTGACTTCCCACATGTAACCCTTATTTTTATTCTACAGGGATTAAAAAAAGACTAAAAATTCTCATTTTATGAGTATTATACGGATTTAAAACACTATTTTTAAGAAGAAAATAAAAATAAAACTTACGTTAACAAACAAAATTTATTTTAATTTACTTTAAAAAACGCTGTTTTTAAAAATAGAATACAAACACTATGTTTTTTTAACCCAACAAAATAAGGATGGGATCGAAATTCAAAAATAAAAATTAAATTTAGAAAATGATAAATCTACCTGTGACTTACCCTTTTATTATCCCTAGCATAAGCTTAATCTTTAGAGCCGAAGATAACAAAACTTTATTTAAATTGAGTCTAAAAAAGCTTAAATCTAGATTATATCACTTATATATGTGATTATGATACATTATAGTAATTGATTATTGATTAATTAATAGTCTGATTAGCTACGATAAATTTGATTCTATTATTTTTCATCGGCATAAGTGTCATGTTTATGCATTTTTCATAAGAGAGAAACTTGCATCCGTAATATTTATGTTTTTCAGTTTTCTTTAGAAGACATTAATTGTGGAACCTCGTAATGATGGTCCATTGCTTGTTACAACTAGAAAACACTCGTGGCATGACAAATGGCAACGCATACTTACTAAGTGATGCCCCCATGTTTTGATGAATGTGTTGTTATGATGGATTTGGCTATTTTGAGAATGCATTTTTAATAAAAATAAGATTTTATTTACTATTAATTTAAAATTTAGTTATATTTGTATAAGATTTTATTAAGAAATGTTAATTAGCATCTGATTTGTGTGTTTATACTAGACATCTTAATTAAATTAAAAAGTAATTATCTTAAAATTATATAAGATATTTACAACAAAACTTTATCTCTTGTAGGTGTGGTGATGAGCATTGATCCTTAATTGATGCGCAATCATCTTGGCAGCTTATTAAGGCCTCACTTCAAACAATTAAAAGGACAATCATTAGGCACCACACTGACTAATTTCGCTCCATCGTCATTTGCAAAGGCCCAACACGCTCCCGCTATTTTAAATATTTATTAAATCATTTTGTTACCATCAAATTTAAAATTAATGTTAAATATTTAAAAGCACAATTTTTTTAGAAATATTTATTATATTTTTATTATAATAAATATAAAATTTGAATGATCTTAAATTTCTTTATTTTTATATTTATAAATAATTTTAATTATTAAATATAAAAATATTTGTTTAAGATAATAAATCAATACATTTTTTCACTCAATGTATTTTTTATAAAGTAGTATGATAATTTTTAAAAAAATTCTAAAAAAATTAAAAAAAAATCATATTTTTCAAATAAAATTTTATTATTTTTAATTATTTAAATTTAGCCTTAAATTTTAAAAATGTAGATAAACATAAAAATTAAATAAACGAATAGTTGATAAAAAATTAAGAATTCAAAAAATAAATATTTAAAATTAAAATCTAAAAAATACTATATGAAAATTATAATAAAAAACTTTATTTATATTATTAAATAAATTAAGAGAACATTGTATGTAACAACTATTACTATTAATTTTATATAAAATATACATAATAGATAGTAAATTTTAGCAGTTTATTTTAAAAAATATAAATATTTTTTAATTTCTAATATATTAGATGAATCACAATCGTTAAATTAAAAAATATATAAAATAATTTTTTAAATTTACAGATAATATAACAAAACATCTATTATTATTATTATTATTATTATTATTATTATTATTATTATTATTATTATTATTTAATTTAATAGTTTTAGTATAAATATACTTTTTTCTTGTTTTAATATTAAATTAGTCTAACAAATATCCCTAATTACTTAAAAAAATAATTTTTTATTTTAAAATCAGTGTTTAGTAACTATTGTTTGTTTTAAAATCATGTTATTTTACAATATAAAAAATTATTATTTTTTTCATCCTTTCAATTTTAACTTTCTTCCGATGATGTTTTGGCAAGTATAAAAATATATTTTAGGAGATAAAATATTAAAAATATGTATTATCATAAAGTAAAGAGTAATATAGTATATTGTTAATTCTTCTGTAATACCCTAAAATGACATTTATTTAAGAATGGAGATATTTTAAAATAATTCTGTCGATCCATCCATGTATACCCCACACTTAAATAAATCTATATTTAGTACATTTGCATGTGCATTGTGCTCCGCACATTGTTCTGTCTATTTTTTTTTTCCCTCATACAAAACTTCACATGTAAGTTCCTTTTAAACATTTTAATTTTTTTAAAAATATAAAAAATATTATTATGCTGATAAACAAACTAGTTTCATATTTCAAACTAAACTCATTTAACTCGTGAATTTTGTTGATCAACTTGTATAAATTTGCAATTAACTGAGTAAAACTTTAATTTGACTTAAGCTTGTGCTAAAATGTTTTATATCAACTAAAAATATATCATAATACACTTTTTATGAATTGACTTTTTAAAGTAAGTTTGACCTAATTTTTAAATAACTTGCATCGCTCTAAATTATATAGAAATATGAATGGATTACAGTTCATGTATCCACCCTTATTTCTTATAGTTTATTTTTATTAAGCTTTAAAAATAAAAAATTACTTAATATTTAAAATTATAAATATTTAGTTATTTTTAAATAAATAATTGATAGGAATATATCTTAAAAAAAGGAATTATCCTAATCATAAATGATATAAATAATACTATATGAATCATTCAAGACATCTAAGAATACTAAACCACATAAAAAACATCAAACTAATGATTAAATATTCAAAGTATCGTAAAAGAATAGAAAAGGAAAACATAACTAAGAAAAGAATGTACATAGAACAAATATCTATTGTTTATTTAATGTAATGTCCGTTTAGCGTATAAAATTGAATATGAAATTGAATGTTAGAATTGAAATTGAACAATAAAATTCTAATTATCATGGTTAAATATTTATTTGGAATCAAGATTATTATTTTATAGACTTTATTGTGTTGTATTGCTATTTTACACTTATTGCAAATACTTTATGTTAATTGTATAATAAATTATTTAATATTTTTCTTAAATTATTAGATGTTAGAGAAAATATTAGAAATTAATTCAAGAATTATTGAGAATAAGATAAATGAAAAAGAAAAAACTAGTGCTAAATATAACAAAATAGTAAAAGGTATACACAATTATATCATAGAACTAATAAAAATTGTTATAATCAATGACATCTTATTAAACAAGTTTTTTTTTTTTTTTTAACTTTGCAATATTTTAGTGTTAAAGAGGAGCACTATATAATATTTATTATGTAAGCATAGAAAAATCTATTGCAATGTTTCTACTTATTTTAGTTCATGGTCTCAAAATAAGAGTTCTTGAAAGTATTTATTCAATTTTGAGGATTAAATTATATTTGTCAGTATTTGTATGCTTTTATCTAATTAATAAGAAATATAATTCATAACATAATATTAAATTTTAATAATAAATTAAACATAAAAAAATAAATTTAATATGTCATGATTTTTGAAAAAAAAATTTAAGTTATCATTTTTAACAATTTATTTAATAATTATTTTATATTTTTAATTAACACAATATTTTGAAAAATAATTATTAAATAAAATTTTAATACAAAATTTAATTATTTTTTAAAAATTTAGATATTACATCATACTATAGAATTTAATTTCAATTTGGAATTTTAAATCTTTGAGTGTAAAATTATAATTCTAAACTAATTTTAATTCTGATGAAATTAGAATTAAAATTACAATCCTAAATATCAATTATGATTCTATGTACCAAAAAGAATCCTTAAAGATATTTATACAAAAGTTTTAATACAAATCAAATCAAATCTATCAAATGATACAAAATAAAGATATTCTTAATACAACTCTTATATTTGGGTAATTTAGGTTATATTATTTACAGTACTCACTTGATTCCTACCAGTACCATCACCAAGGTACCCATGTGGTCACCTACTACAGAAATTCTGGAGCAAATAACATAAGAAGTGGCAATGTTCACACTTTCAACATAAACTTAATGCATGTTTGGATGACAATCGCTTATTTATTTTAAAATAATCATTAAATTATAAGAAATAAGCAATTATTTATTGAAAATAAATTATCCAAGCATGCATTAATGGTTAAATAAAACCGCAAAAATTTAATTAACCTGTGATTGCATTGGGTGGAAACACTTTCTGAATAAATTGGAGGAAGCGACGAGAGTAGAACGTAGGGTCCACAGCGGAGATAGACAATGAATCAAACTGAAGAGATTTATAAGCATGTTCAATCTTCTTAGTCATGTTGTAGTCTTGCAATATGTCGATGATACCCAAGTAGAGTACCACATCGTACACCTCATGGAACATTTCTTCTTCTTGTTTTCCTGGAATCTGTTCTGCCCTTGATGGCATGTTCACACCCAACTGGATTTGGAGTCTGCTTAACATGTTGGAAAGAAAGAAGAAAAAAAGAATCCTCAGTTCTTGCCATATTGTAGCAATAATCCAATTGTGGTGTGAAGGAACAATTTTAATCATTAAGATCTTTAGTTAAATGCCTAGAGTTATTAGAATATAGGGTCTTCGTAGGAATAGCTCCAATTAATGTAGCAATAATGTGGGAGTCTATATTATAATTTATAGCAGTAACACACAACACAAATGACCATTTGAAACATAGTTATACTATTCATATAATAAATATTTTTTATTTTTTATAATTTATTTATTTCTCTTTATTTTCTCTATCTAGTCATTTATTTTATCTTTTTTTTTTCTTTTTATCTCTCTTGTGGTTGTAAAAAAAGTATCCAACCTTGTTGATTTTGCTGCTTTTGTACTTAACCATTCAAACACATCTCATTTAGCGCATGTTTTGTTCAACTTATTTTAGAGAAATAACTATTTGTTTGTTTCAATTTTTAAAGAAAATGTTTGAAAAATAAGTAATTATTTCTCTAAGTTAAAGCTAAATCGAAGGTTAAAATGAGGGAGCCAAAATCATCAAGAAAAAATCCACACCTTGCTGTACCGGGTAGAAGTAGATCCACTTCCTCATCGCCAGCAGATGAAGCTCGGAGGCGGCTACCCCTCATGTGTGAGCCCACAACAACACTGTTATCATCTGCTCCACGAGGAACTAGAACAAGGCCTTGTGGATAGGATACTTCATCCTCCAGAGGGTCTATCAGATCATTGTTAGCAAAATTTTTAAATTAATCGGATCATGTTTATAAATTCTACTAAACAAAAATAAAACGCAAGAATTTAAGTCATAGATAAGACCGCAGATTTCAGATGATGTGAGAATTACTTATGCTCTATGCTGAATAAATGTTTTTGTTTAGATTTAAAAAGAAAATGCAAATTAGAAAAAGAAAATATAAATGTGTAACGATAGAGTATGAGATTCCAGATACTTAAGAAAACAGTGCTTTATATCATCTGTTGGTCACATCAAGAGTTGGAGGGCATGCATGTAATGAGTTTCCGAGATTGATCCATGCAAATTAATGACTAAAGGAACATTAGTTTAATCATGAATACATGCCAAAAACAGAGTCAACCAAGTAAAGGCCAACTATAAATTTCTAGTTTTTCAACACAGGATCTAATACTTACCTTCCTCTGCAAGCATTGCTAATCCATCCACATTTCTACTTTGGTTGTATGATATGAGAGGACGCAGACGCTGGGGAGCTCTATAGTGAACACCTAGAAGAAGACTGTAATCCATAATGTGCTGTGCTTCCAAAAATTTGCTGTCTATTTCTATCTGCCTACATAAGAGTATGAGTTTTCACAGTACATTAGAGAAATAGGACTTGAGTTTTAGCAGGCTGCAAGCTTGAGATATATTATGCCAATTAACACTAATATGCATGCAGGACTATATACGTCATAAAAATTTGGGACTGCAATGCTTATCGAACAAAATTTTGGCATCAAAGCAAACATTTGCTTCATACTTCAGAATACTTACATACCCATAGCATGCAGTGTCAGAATAAAAAACCAGTAATGTACTGAACAAAAGATGTACACATTTGCTTCCATGTACTTTTCTGCTTTTATTTTGTATAAGAAGAATGTCTTAATTATCTTCCTTTCCTTTATATACCTTATAATAAAAAAAAATTCTTTTAAGTTTTACTACATAAGAAACCCAAATGCAAAATTAAAGAAAATTCCTTTGTAACTACTACTTACTTAAATAAAGACTCCCGCCAAGACGGTTCCAAGTAGAAGCTGTAGTTCAGATCCAAATCTTTGAGTGTGGTATTCTCATCAATTTCTATCTTGTCTGATGATCGTCCAAGGGATGAACCTTTTAAATCAAATCTCCGATGGATCCTTAATTCTGTGCAGAACATATTTCCCATTACAACAAAGCGAAACTGCAAGAAAGATAATTATAAACAGATATTAGCCTCTTTTTTGAGAAAATGTATATTATTCAAGTCTTTTTTGCATGAAAGCTGCAAGTTATGATTGCTCAATTATGATAATTTTCATAATATTTCAGATTGCAAGTATTAAGGTGCACATCATGCCGATTAATACAGAAAATGATTCAAGCACTGACAAAAAGCAGTTAGACAACATGCACATCACCTTTTGACCACTTGAAGGCTTAATCCTGTGCAGGCCAAAAATTTTTGTGATGAGTGTATTTTCATTTGACTTCACATGATGATGATAGTCCGGAAGCATTCTTAGAAGAACCTACATATCAAATTTCGGTCAACAGAATTTTCACTTCATACCAAAAGGCAAGAAGAAAATAACAGGCAAATACTTTGTCGAGCCACTCTTTATATCAAAGAGATGCCATAAACAAAATTCATTTTAGACACAGTATAGGGGCAAAAGGATGCCTTTGAAAAACGTGTGCATTCCTCTGCAACAAAAGTACCATACTCTACCGCAAAATTACTTTGATCTCCTTGTTTTTATGGAAATCAATGATCCAAACAAAGAGAAACTGCTGCCAAGGGAAGGGGCACTCACAATGTTCATCTGATTGCTAATTAGGCATACCAACTGGAGTTTTTAAGGCTGTGGAAGCTTACTGCTCTGAATGTAAAGATTCACAGGTAAGCTTGTAATCAATTGTGAATCCTTGACATGCACCAGGATTCAATCATTACCACTCAGTATTAGAAAACCACCTCGGTCTAATATAAAATGGAAGAAATGCTACTGGTGGAAAAGTGCCTCAGGTATGCACTGTCCTTCTAAATTAAGGGGGAGAAGAGAGTTTAATTAAAATTAAAAATTCACTTTTTCTCTTTTTTTCCTGTGAAATTCCATCCTAAATTTCTACAAATAAATTGCTAGCTTCATTTTGCAACGAGTACAATGAATGTTATACAATAGGGTCCACTCAGGATATAAGAAAAGAGAGATCGACATAGAACATGACAAATGTTATTCAATATAAAAATATTATTTGATGCAGAAATGACAACTAATGTCAACCTTTATTGGTACTAAGTGAACACGTTTTTGAACTCACCTTGACTTCAGATTTTCGCAGCGTTTTGATCATGAAACTATCATCCTGAGACAGGAAGAAGGCACTGCCACTTTTCCCCGGAGAAGATAATTCCCTTAGAGCATCATTTCCACAAATGGACATCATGTAATCAGCAGCATCAATCTTGAACAACTCTCTTAAATTTCTGCAATAAGTTTCTAGAAGGTCACATCTGACAAACTTAAGAAAGTGAAAGGAAGAAAGAGAATAGAGAGAAAAATAAACGGTAACAACTGTCCATAATATCACATATACAACAATTTGTAAAGCATGAACTGTTAAATTCCATAATTGCAAGTATTTTTCAGTTTTATTTCTGTCTTATTTTCCTTTATATTCGTGAAGAATAAGCATGCATTACGCAGATGAAAATATTAACTCCATGCAACGCAAAATATATACATTTCAACAACTGGTGAAACCTTAGATTAATAATATTCCGGCCTAATGAAAAACTTCAGTACTTAAACATCCCCGGAATGCTCCAAAGTATTCTTGTAGTTGAAACTAGGATTCAACAAATAATCCACATTTTTAATTAACAATCACATCATTAAGAGTCGATACTGAAAAATGATTTCATGCTTTTGTGCATGTTAATAAGTACTTAACACATGGTTTTATGCTTTTATTAATGATATTGAAAAGTTATTCCTTAAAGGATAATTACAGAATTAAATAATAGATAAAAAATTGAGTACTAGGAGCGATTTATTAAAGCAGGTTCTTTAGCAGTGAATAATTGTAGTACATACCAGATAAACAATAAATCAGTAAAAGCTACTTTATTTCTAGAGCCAGAGTTACTTAAAAAACAAAGATGCATGCCTAGTCAAACCCAAAACGTGCGTTAACTACTAACCTGAACACCATGGGGCAATAATCTTTCCATTTAAAATCCTCTGATTCATGAGTGGGTGTTAATTGAGAACCTTGTTTAGGAAAATTCATCCAAAAACTTGCTTTGGGACCAAAATCTGATGCTCGAACTTCTCGCGTCTGTATAGGCGTAATCTTGCCCACAGTATACCTAACATATTAAAGAACGTGTTTACATTTAAGGACATCCATGCAAAAGCAAATCAGGACAATCCTGGATAGCATTTTAACTTTTATATAAGTGGTAACATTCATATGTTGTCATGTGAATGATTCTTAGATCTCTAATTCTCTATTCTCTACCGTGGGTCCATGGGAATAACAAAAGAAATTTCCAATAAGGGAAAAGGAAGATAACCTTTAATATGATTAATGAATAGGACCATCGACTATACCAATATCCTAATTGTGGTTTTATGAATTTGTTATTACATTCTAACATTAATTCAGCTTGAAATTTTAGCATGTAACATGTGCATTAGAATAAAAAAAAACAAGCAGATACATGTAGAGAAAAATCATATAACATTGTGACAAATGATATTAATTAAAGCAGCTTAAGTACATACAAGTCAAAATAGTGTCATTTACCTTATTCCAAGCTGCAAATTGAGCATCAAATCATAACTCCTGTGACCTTTTATGATTGCTTCACCTGGTTTTTTAATCTCCCTTACAAGCTTTTTCTGAAGTCGTCTTGCCCTTCTAGACATTGTTGAAAACATATTATTTAACACTACCTCACTTATTAATACACCTTGCATGTACTCCCGTTCCAAGATTGGGATCTTTGCATCAACTTCTTTATCTCTACTTTCTTGTACAGATTCTGCCAAACCTAAAGCTGAATCATACCCAATCACTTTCTCAATAGATACCTCAAGACTCCAACGCCTTTCAAGAGACACATTTCTTCCCCTAGACTCTTCCAAATTTAACATGTTTCCTTTTGCAAGCTTATCAGATGAAAGCACACGACTTGATCTTTGGTTTTCTGATACCTTCACATCTCGCACCTGGTTTTGTTTTCTCAAATCTGGCAACAACCCTCTTTTTCTCAAGGCATTGAGGTAAATTTCTTGTACAGATGGAAGACGACTACCTTTTGGATAAAAGGTTCCTTTGCCATCTTTTAGACCAAATGTCCAAGTCCCAACATAGCACCCTCCATCACTCCAAGTGTAAACTCCAAAACCATGCATCATGCCATTTAACCAGCTTCCTTCATATGAATCACCATTTATCCAAGTAAGAGTTCCTTTTCCCCACATTGTGCCACCTTTCATATTCCCTACATATACATTTCCATTTGCCCATGTATACTTTCCAGGACCCTCTGGTGTTCCTTGTATCCAAGACCCTTCAAAGATATCTCCATTAGGATAAACTTGATAACCCAAACCATGTTTAACATTCAACCTCCACCTACCTTTATACTTCAATTTATCAGAACCTTTATATGTTCCCTTACCATGGATATAGCCACCAGAGAATTCACCTTCATACACTGCTCCAGAAGGCCATCTTAATTTTCCATGTCCACTTCTCATCCCTCGCCTCCACTCACCCTCGTATACACAACCATCAAACCACACGTACTTCCCATGACCCTCAGAAACATTGCCATAAAGGGACCCAGAATATGATTCCCCGTTAGACAGTAAGAGTTGTTCAACACTACTAAAGCCATCAATTTCACTGTTTGCCAGTAAATCTAATTCAGAAATGGCGTCAACAGATCTTGTTCTCTCTGCACAAGAAAGTGCTCCTCCATTTGAATGATCAACTATGGCCACGGGGCCAGACATGCAAAATTACCAGAAGCTTGGAAGATTTCCTTGTAGAACCCCAAATTCTCAACGGCTGCAAGACAAGAAGGTTTGAATATAGGAACTCTTACCAAAAGAATCACCCTTGAAACTCTTTGTCCTGAGACAGAAATAACTTACACTCAAATAAGAGTAGATAAAATACAGTGATTGCCAAATTATTCAGAGCGTGTTCGGTTTCATGTTTAAATGATTATGGATCCACGTTTATTGGTTGTAGCTTGCGTATTGAATTCACATTTACATGTTTTTTGATGCGTTTACAAACACTCAGTTTAACTATAAAATGCAGTAGTGCTTAACAAACTAATTTTCTTCACTGGATTTGGCAGACCACAACCTACAATCATAGTCTCAAAATGGATAAAAATTAGAAGCATCATAAAACTTTACAAAATGATTAAAAAATCAAAACAAAAAGTAACAATACTTTTCCTAATTATGAGTGCATATATCATAGAAAGCAAGTAAACCAATATAGTGCACAAGACGGAGTAGTTGTTTGGGGAATCTTAAAGAACAAGAGAAGACTAATAATCACAAAAATCTTAATACAAATGAAGCTCCTTACTCCTTAGTCCTTACATCAATACATAGTGAAAGAATAATGAAATTCCAGTGTTTAGATATGATTATAAGGGTAAGTTCCATAGCTTTGAATCCCGATGAAACAAATAAAATATCAATACACATGCAAGTTACAGGAGAGATTGGAAGCTGAAGATAACAATTCACAAAGATTGTGAAATATGATATGATATGATATTAGTGAATAAGACGTTGACATCCATAATACAAAGAATGAAGCGGAGAGAAGAGTACCAGAGAATTATTCAAGCCGTGATGAAACAGTGTTGATGCCTGAGAATGGAGGAGAAGATGAACTCTGTTCAAATGGAAGATTATTATTACTATAAAAATCAAAGGCTTGTAACAGATATTGATATACTTACCTATATATAGAAATATATGTCTCTGAGATTGTATTATTTCACACTCAGTTCTTTTGAAATTCTTAAAATTGAATGAGTTCTTTTCGTAAAGTAACTTTTATAAATACCGATTCAAAGAATTTCTATAATAAAAGTGAACATACGTGATAGGTCAATTGATTCACCCCAAAAAAAAAAAAATTGATAGGTAAACAAAATTACAATAAATTTTTTTTCCAATATTAGCAAATCAAAGTATTAAATTAAGACACTAAAAGAAAAATAATTTGATTTTGATTTATTATTCGATGTGGTTGTAAGTAGTTAGTATTAGTTGTAACTTGTAATTAACTGTTAGTCAGGAAATAACTTTGTGTTGATTACATGTATAGATAGGAATTAGAGTCTCAAACAATTAATTAGATGATTCGATCAATAAAATAGGAGTGAGAATTTCATTGGCTGGACAAATAGGTTCTCCATTCAACTATTTTTTCTGCATAATTCTTATCACTATTTGTTGAACTTTTTTTATCATATCATCTAATTATGTATTATTATACTATTTTAGAAAGTTTAATTAATAATAATCATAATGAGATATTAAAGTTTAATAATATAGAAAGTATCATAAATAAAACGCCAAATGCAAATTTTCAAAGGTAAAAAGCATATATTAAAAAAACCTCATAAGCGGGAAAAAAAAAGTGGCTATTGAAAAGATAATATTGTCACTGACCCAAAAAACAAAAAGGAGAAGGCAATATTATTCACACTGAATGGTTGAATCAGAATTGAGAAATTAGTTGTGGAAGGAACATAAAAGACAGTAGAATTACTGACCAAAAAAACAATTTGAGAAATGCTACATAAAGGAAAATCCTTAAGTAATATTGAAAGTAATATATCAATTTTTTTTAAATTGATCATGATACCATATAAAATTTTATAAATGTCATTGTATAAATACAAAATGTTATATATTATATTTAAATTATTAAGAGTATTGCTTTCAAAGTTACAATGTAAATCTTTATATTGATAATATATATATATATATATATATAATTTTAAAATACTTTTAAAGAAAAATAATTATTTGATATTAAATATAAGTTAATATGTATCTACCAAAAAAAAAAATGATCGCTAAATGTAATAAATAAAAATAAAAATAATCCCAAACAGACATATTAAGACAGCGGAGCGTCCCGACTATAATTTCAAGGACAGGTGGTGGCTTGGTGTCTCTGTTACCTAACTCAATCTTATTCGTAGCCAACATTGACCATAATACTTTTAAAATTTATTATTATAAAAATATATTACGAAAATCAATTCATATAAAATTATACAAGTTTAGTTTTATTTAATTGGGCTCTTAAACTGATCAATCTTTTTCATACATGAATAAATAGACAAAAATAGTTTAATTGAAATTATTTGCTTTAATTGTTATTTAAATTGATTTGATTTGGTTGCAATGACTCCCAAGTGTTTGCATTTGATAATTAACCCACTTTGTACGATGAATTAAAAAACTATTGCTAATACAAAATTAAGTGGGTAAGCATTAGCTGTCCATTATTTTTCTCCCTTTCTTTCTTTCTCACTTCGACTTTTCTCCGTTCTTTCGTTTTTATACTAGCTTATCATTTTCCATACCTATTATTTTAGACACAAACTTGTTGAAATGATCAGAAAATGAAATTAGACAAACGTCAAGATAATGTTTTTTAGGAACAACACGCATCATGAGTTCCAAGCATTTTTATTTTTACTTAATATCATTATTATTAGCTTAAAATTTTATGCGTTACATATGTGCCCATGTTATTTTCCTTTTATAGTTAAATACGTGTAATCCATGAATATTTAATTTCAAAAGTTTAAATTATCCTAATAAGGGATATACCAGTCTTGCTTATCTGTTAAATTCTTTAATATTAAAATGAATCAACTAATAATTTAAATATACATTCAGTTGAAGTTTGGAGTAGTCTTGATAGCGCCCAAATATGCATTAGATTCAGCACACAAAACTAAAGATTTCAGTAGTCAAATAGTAATATATATTACGAGGAGAGTATACACGAAACATGAACCACATTGCCCACTGTGTAAATGCACAGGAATTGAAAAAAATAAATAATATTATTATATACTTTCAACATAGTTTTTAATTTGTTCACACAATTAACGTATAACAGTTGTTTTTCAACGTGAATAATAACGCAGATTTTGTTGCGCTATTCTCTCTTAATTTCTCTGTATAAATGATGGGTGGATCCATAGTCAACGTAGAAACTCAGTGTTGTTTGGGTTTGAAGCATGTTAGAATATGACATGCTATTGTGTGCACGTGTGATATTTATATTGGTCGATAGGGGCAGAGCAAAACATATGGAAGTGGCCAATTTAAGATTTAATAGATTAATATTAAGGCTAATTACGGCCATAACTTTATGATAGCTCAGTCCCACTTTTATCATCTAATGATTAGGAATTATTATATCAGACAGAAAATGTCGGTAATTATTAGTATTACTCATTTGCAAGCATCTTAGTAGTTTTCTTTTTTTCTTTTGTAATTTGCTTCCATTTGGTTGACAAATTAGTAATAACATTTGTTTCTTTCCATAATTTTATTTCCAGTTGGACGTATAATCTATTCTCTGTGGAATTTTTTATTTCTATGGCGGCAACCGACTATCCACTCACAGGCTTTTTCCCCATTTAGTAATTGTGATTATTTAGACCACTTGATTATTTAACTCTTCTATTGTATTGATATCATGTCTGAATAAATAAATCCAACATCAACATATTATAAGATTCAATTTAATTAAATGTAAAAAGGTGGTAAACTTTTGTTAAATGTAATTTTTTTAAAAAATAATTTTAAGAGTTGATGTTAATAAAATAAACAATTATTAATTAATACCTTAAGTTCTTAATAACTTTACTCAATTCAAATAGAATACCTTTGATCAATATTAATTAATACCATTAAAAAGTATGTCTAAAAGAAACGCTAGATTTGGAAAGAAAAAGAAAAGTGAAAATAATGTTTTCCCCTTGCTGTTCTATGGTCCATTCATGGAAAGGAAAGCAACGTGTGGTATTATATTTTTCCATTGTCGACATGTCCTAATATTTGTTGGACCAACAAAGCTTCTCGGTCTGGAAATTTCGTATTTCCTTACCTTTTGAATCTGTAGTTTGCTGTCGAAAAAACATGGAAGAGAAAAGGTTGACCACTTCGAAAGTTATGACATGCCAATTCAATTAATTTTAAGATGAAATTTATCTGTTCTTTTTCAAATATCAATATTGTTTATTAGTGATATTTTGATAAAAAAAATATGTTTAATATTATCTCATATTCTTAAAATAAAATTCAAATGTTAATTAATAAACAATATCAACACATTAAAAAATTTTACATAAGTTTTGTTCATAACAACTTAAAATGGTTAGATTTACCTACCATGTCTAAATCTAATTAGTAAGTGGAGAGACCCAAATTATACAAATATTGTTTCACACCTATGTGTTAATGTCCCTTTCATTTCACAAACCAGACTGGTTCGAAGTCAATTTTGATAGTTCGAATTTTAAAAATCAGGTCTAATATATTTTGAGGATTAATTCCAGTCATTATTTGAGTTATATTTCATATATTGTTAAATTTTGATAAAGTCAAATTTAAATAAAAAATAATCTTATATTGATAATAAAAATAAAAATAAAGATAAAGCCGTTCGTGCACCTTGTGCCCATCACTTATGATTTCTTTGAATTGATCACACCTTTACACTTGCACAGGCACCTAATTGGCTAATTAGATTTCCACCACTTTTGGTTGGTTCAACGTGCTAAAAGTTCCTGTTAAAGATAGGAAAACCAAAATAAATGCGAGTAATTGATTTTGATGGTGAATATTTTTAAGTTTAAGGTATCAAATCAATTGAACTATAAATAAAAAAGGAATAAATTAATGAATAATGAGAGATAACAGGATCAGGAAGCCAAGTTCTAAAGATAAAACCGTCGCCAACACACACAAGAATGAGTTTCAGGCCCAACTACAAGTTTGGGCTGAACGTAGGCCCAAAGTTCACAGGCTTATAACGGTATTAAAAAAATAAAAGAGAATAATGGTGGAGTAACATAAACCCTGACCTTAAACCTCTTGACTCAGAGAGAGTCACAGCAGCAGCAGCAACAATGGTGAAGGCCTACCTCCGATACGAGCCGGCGTCGTCGTTCGGAGTGATAGCGTCGGTGGACTCAAATATTGCATACGACAGCTCCGGAAAACACCTCTTCTCTCCGGCACTCGAGAAGATCGGCATTTGGCACGTGCGGCAAGGTCTCTGCACCAAAACCCTAACTCCTTCCACTCCGTCGCGTGGTCCTTCCCTCGCCGTCACCTCCATTGCATCCTCCCCTTCCTCCTTGGTAATCATCATGCAATCTCGATCGTGTGTGCGTATATTTACATGTTTCTTAAACACCTTTGATGGTTGCAGATTGCTGGTGGTTATGGTGATGGTAGCATTAGGATTTGGGACTCTGATAAAGGAACGTGCGAGACTACCTTAAATGGACACAAGGGAGCTGTCACTGCTCTTCGTTACAACAAGGCGGGTTCTTTGCTCGCTTCTGGCAGTAAGGATAATGATGTTATATTATGGGATGTGGTTGGCGAGACCGGGCTCTTTCGCCTTTGCGGTCATCGCGATCAGGTTTGTTTTCTGTTGTTAAAGCTTCCAGTTTGAACTTGAACTTGAATGCGACAGTTGTTAGTTCTATATTTGCTTTATGTAATTTTGCTCTTTTTGGATGGTAGGTGTAGTTTTTATCTTTGAATTGAGAGTTATATAGTGTTTATATAAATAAAAAATGGTTATTGGAAAGATTTGTGATAGTCTTTCATGTTATTTATTTTATTCTAAAAAATTCTTAAATTAGAGAATATTTATTTGAAATGAATTTCATTCTAATATATTTATCTTAAATTAGAGAACATAACTTGAGATTTTTTTTTTATGCGTTTCTCATTTGTTTGTGGCAGGTGACTGATGTTGTTTTTGTAAGTTCTGGGAAAAAGCTTGTTACTTCCTCCAAAGACAAGTTCTTGAGAGTGTGGGATCTTGATACCCAACACTGTATGCAAATTGTTGGTGGCCATCACAGTGAAATATGGTCCGTGGACATTGATCTGGATGAAAGATATCTTGTCACCGGTTCTGCAGATAAGGAGCTTCGTTTTTATGTGATCAAGCACGACTCTGGGGATGGGGAGTCTAAAAATGATGGTGGAGATTTGTCCGTTCAAAATAAATGGGAAGTTTTGAGGCATTTTGGTGAAATTCAGCGGCAGAGCAAGGATAGGGTTGCAACAGTGCAGTTCAGCAGGTCAGGGAATCTGCTAGCTTGCCAAGTTGCTGGAAAGACAGTAGAAATATACCGTGTATTGGATGATGCTGAAGCAAAGCGAAAAGCAAAACGAAGGGTTCACCGTAAGAAAGAGAAGAAACATGCAAAAGAGGCTTTGGAGGGAACAGAAAACGGAGACACAACCATAGAAACTAGTAACCCCACAGTTATTGTGCCTGATGTTTTTAAGCTGTTGCATACTATTAGGGCTAGCAAAAAGATATGCTCCATTTCTTTCTGTCCAATCACTCCAAAGAATTCACTGGCTAGTTTAGCATTGTCCTTGAACAATAATCTGCTTGAGTTTTACTCTATTGAACATGGTGAAACCAAAAAAACACTTGCTATTGATCTTCAAGGGCATCGTTCTGATATTAGAAGTGTCACGCTTAGTTCAGACAACACTTTTCTGATGTCAACCAGTCACAATGCAGTAAAGATTTGGAACCCAAGCACTGGCTCTTGCCTAAGGACCATTGATTCTGGGTATGGACTATGCAGTTTAATTCTTTCCACTAACAAGTATGGACTTGTTGGAACTAAAGATGGAACCTTAGAAATTATTGACATTGGAAGTGGCACTTGTCTTGAAGTAATGGAAGCTCATGGTGGTTCTGTTCGCACAATTGCTGCCTTACCAGATAGAAATGGGTTTGTCACAGGAAGTGCAGATCATGATGTTAAGTTTTGGGAGTACAAGCAAAAACTTGGTCAAGTGTGTCCTTCATATCATTCACTTTTTTTTAGTTGTTATTTGGAAATACTCAAATTTTAACATTTTGTTTTGTCACATACTGCCCATACAACATAGGTTAAAATCTAGAAGTCCTTTTGTTTACGATGATTGGTATTTCATTGAGAAGCTTATCTGTATTAGTTTTTTGTGTTTTATATTTAATTCATAGAATCGATAGATGAACAGTAAACACAGACCGTTAGCTGTTTGAATGTGTATATATATAGGAACTATTGAATATTAATAACAACAGCAATGTCCCGTTGAATCACTGCAATATAAAGAAACTGGGACTAATAATATTTCACATGTCTGCTCTCATACGAAGTTTATCACTAAATTAGCTTGAGCTAACATTACAATTAATTAAGCAATTAAATGAAAAATTCCTCTCAATATTTTTTTTTTAATTTTTTTTTTGGGGGCGGGGGGTAGTTGCTATGTGAGAAAGGTGGCACAACTTTTTGTATAGTTTCTACTGGAATTGTTTTTGTCCTCTCCTCTCCTCTCCTATTTTCTTTTTTTTTGTTTTTCTAAATGTATGTGCATTACCCCCTTTCAACTGTTTCCTGCTTTATTTATATTTTATCTATAATTCTAATTTGATGCATGCCAAATCATTGCAGAGAAATGAGTAAATCAATATGCAATTTGTTTATTTACTGACTCTTTATTTGTTCTGTTTCAGGCTACTAAGCAACTCATTGTGTCAAATGTCAGTACTATGAAAATGAACGATGATGTTCTTGTGGTTGCAATTAGCCCTGATGCTAAATATATTGCTGTTGCTCTCTTGGATAGTACTGTGAAGGTTGGATGTCTTAATCTTGTCTATACTCGTTCATAATCTTTTGTTTCCCAAAAATTAAGTTTCAAGTTTCACTTTGTTTATTGTTGTTTCCATTTGGACCTATACACCCAATGCATATTCACGAAGTGTAAATTCTTTACCATATTTTGGTGATTTGGGAACTTTTGCATTGTTTCGATCCAGTAGATTTGATCATCTGAATTTGCTAGTCTTCTTGATACAGGACAGCAGATTGTTTTGCTGGGTGAAGCTAGGGGAGAAATAAACTAGGTTTGGTTTTATACTGGCTTAGTCTGAATGGTATTTTGGGACTATAGTTAGTGATTCAGGGTAAATTGATAGCTTATTATATTTCTGCTTAGATGCTTCTTGGAGATACCAAATTTTAGGTGTGTTGGACATCTATGTGTACCTTATTGAATTTGAGCACTGTTTGTGCTGTGAACTTGTGGTGACTCTTGTATTTATGCATTAGCTCTATTTTATTATTTCAACCTTTTTTTTTAACTAATTTCATTTATTTTTCAGGTTCACTTTGTGGACACATTCAAATTCTTCCTTTCATTATATGGCCACAAGCTGCCTGTTCTGTGTATGGATATCTCATCAGATGGAGATTTAATTGTGACTGGTTCTGCAGATAAAAATTTAAAGATCTGGGGCTTGGACTTTGGGGACTGTCATAAATCCATTTTTGCGCATTCTGACAGGTGCTGCTTAATCTGTCTGTCTGTCTTTCTTTATCTTTTTCCTTCATTGGGGAGAGTGGATGAAGCTGTATTTAAAGTATCTAATTCAAATTATGTGGCAGTGTTATGGCAGTGCGATTTGTTCCCAAGACACATTATGTGTTCAGTGTTGGAAAAGATCGCCTAGTAAAATATTGGGATGCTGATAAATTTGAGCTGCTGCTGACTCTCGAAGGACATCATGCTGATGTTTGGTGTCTTGCTGTTAGTAATCGAGGTGATTTTATTGTCACTGGATCTCATGATCGTTCCATCCGTCGGTGGGATCGTACTGAAGAGCAATTTTTCATTGAGGTACGCACAGTTTGTATGGGATGGGCTACACTCGTTAAATGCAGGACAAAGGGACAATGTCTGTGATTGATAGAATGTTGTTCTTCCTTGAATAAATTTACTTCACTGGAATAAGATATACCATTTCAATTGCAGGAAGAAAAGGAGAAAAGGTTAGAGGAAATGTTTGAGGCTGATCTTGACAATGCATTTGAAAACAAGTATGCACCAAAGGAAGAAATACCAGAGGAGGGAGCTGTGGCTTTAGCTGGGAAAAAAACCCAGGAAACCCTTACTGCAACTGACTTAATTATTGAGAGATTAGACATTGCAGAAGATGAAAAAAAGCGTATTGCAGAACATCAGGTTTCCACTCGATCCCTCTTAGATGAATACTGTGGTCTAAACTAATGCTTTATCTCCAAAGTGAATCTGGAAGGCATGGTTGCATAGTTAGATACATGTATACAATAGTTGGATACCATGCATAAACAACACATGTATTTTTAAACAAGTATTTTATCCTGGACAGTGTACACAACAGTCCTCTGTCACAGCACCTGTATAATAGGGACCAATCTGATTAAGAGGCTACAGTGATTCTTCACGTTGCAAAACATGGATAGCAATACAGCATTTGATTGAACTTTAATGACTTTAACCCAAACAAATTGTTCCATTAAGCGTTGTGAAGCCTGTGTACTTGCAACATGTTATTTGTGTGGACAGAAATCTCCACTTTTGATTTCCAAAAGTGATTATCAAATTAAAGATACAAGTAAACAAATTTAGCCTTGGAAATATGCTTAGAACAACTCCAATAAAGCCTTATCTCACTAAGTAGGGCCAGTTACATGGATCAACTTATGGGCTTGAGTTCTATTGATAGCAAAATTTCAACAAATCCATTAAGTATCCATGATTACTGAAAATATCTTCAGTTCCTTGAGTGTCGAGTGTGATATGTGATAAAGAGCCAAGGAAGATTGTCCTGTATCTTATTTAATTATGCCTAATGTTGGATTTTCAAATTGTTTGATTTGCATTTCAGGAGGAGAAAAATAACAGAAATGTTGTTGATTTCCAAGCAAATCCTCTGATGAATGGGCTTTCACCTTCTGACTATGTTTTAAGTGCATTTTCAGATGTGCATTCCAATGATTTGGAACAAACGTTATTGGTATGTTTGGGACTTGCATTTTTATTTCATGTTGTTCTCATGCATAAATATAGGACACTTCATCAGCCTACTGTATTTGGGCTGAGACCATCTTTCACTGTTTCTAATAAGTTCATCTCAATTTTAAATCATTGTACTGTATAAGCACTGACCTAATGGTTCTTGACCAGTACTGGTTTTCATGTTTCATTTATCATCTCTGTTGGTTCTTAATTCCTTTTGTCTGTATGTATAACCATTTATGATGAAAGTTAATTAAAATTTGACCTTTTCTGTAGTAATTTGACTTAATTAGATTTCCTCATCTACTCTGTTTGGTTTGATATATCTTTTCCTGGAGGGCAGTAATAATATTTTTGCATCTTATATCTGTCTTGTGAGCATGTTGAGAGGCAAGTGGTTCAAATATATTTTCTATTTTCCTAATCAAAATTTCTTGTGTCTAGTTGATACATTTCAGTTCATGTCTTCTTACTTGCATGAGGTTATCAGTTCAAACTTAAAACTTCATTGCTACCATTTTACCAAAAAATTTGCCATTATTTTAAAAAATTATAATATTAAATCATAAGAGATGAATCTATGGTAATTCTTTTAATTTAATGTTTTTTCTGTTTTTTGAGCAAGTTAAAATGTTAAACACAAAAACACTGTTTAATATTGATTAAAGTTAGGATTTCTATCAAAAGAATGTTTGTTTATTTTGTGCACCTGGTATTAATGGAATAGCTGTAAGTGTATGTAATGTGCGTTTTGTTTTATACACTTACCTAAAATGTCATATCCTAGAATATGAAGAAAACATAAGCTATGATTGACGTGAGTTTTTAAAATTGTAAACATCAAGTCGCATAGTGCGATAAGAATATTGTGTTGTTGTTATTTTAAACATCAAGTCTAATATGTACCATTTCTTTATGCAGGCTTTACCATTTTCAGATGCTTTGAAGCTTCTGTCATACTTGAAAGACTGGAGTTCATATTCTGACAAGGTTACTCTTGTCTGCCTTGTAAAAATTTCACTGTTCTTCAAAATATTGTTGTACATATCTCCTTTTTTTCTTTTGCTACTTTGATATGCAGAAATCTTCTCCTTTTTCTCTTTGTAATCCTTTCGTTACATAAGAACTCTTCTTTCATAAATAAAATTAAATACATGTATTTGTTTTCTTATGTACTGAAGTAAGTTGTATTTCTCAATCTCTTGTAGGCTCCTTTTCCTGATTATCATCATCCCTTTTTCCACATGTATTTAGTATTTACATGTTCTTGTGCTAATATTTATGACAAATTAAACGTGAAAGATCTTTTGTCATCTGACATAATAATAACTTAACATGTGTATACAAATTGACTTGAAGTCATAAAGAATTTTTTGCATGTTAATTTGTTATTAATATATTGTTTTCCTGATAATTGCAGGTTGAGCTTGTTTGCAGGATAGGTACGCTGCTCTTGCAGACACATTACAACCAGTTACTTACCACTCCTGCTGCCCGACCCATCTTGACTGTTTTCAGTGGCATTTTTTATGAACGGGTCAAGGTAAATTTAGTAGTTTTATTTTACATTATTTCTAAATAAATGTGAAGCTTTGTTATCTTTGGTGCATTAACACTTTGCTACCGGAAAGCCGGTTTTAGATTTAAGAGGGTGTTTAATATAAATACGACAAAATCCCTGGTGGCTTGGATTAATTAATGAATCATTTAGGTGTAACATGTCTGGGTGTGCAATTTCTATGGAGAAACTGTATGATGCTTTTGGAGTGTACGAATGTGTCTTTGGTTGCACATAAAATTTGTATATTTATTTATATATCTGGAATACATTTTGTTGGGAAAATGTGGTTTGAAAAGTAGAAGGTCGGGTTACTCACATTATTTTAAAAATTGTTCTAGTTCTTTTAAAAATATAGGATAAAATTGGAACTAATATATCTTCTCATAGACTGATGAAACACATGCTAAATTGAGTTGCGTGGCATGCTAAATATGTGGACATCTGGTGCATGATGGGCTGTTAACATTGAGAGAGTATTCAGACAGCATGCTGTCATACGTTTGGCGTCTTACAGACTCACGCTGTTTTCATAGAATAAGATATCTGGTGATTATGTGTGACAATTCTACTGTGCTGTTCTATCAATTTGAACTAGTTGCCTGATAATTTTTAGAATTAGTTTATCATGTCACTTCTATTTAGCTTTCTAGTTCTAGAGAACAATATCTCCCAATAAAGCAATTAGTATTTAGTCTTACTCCAAGGATTTCTATTTCTAAATTAAATATACTATTTTTCACTATAAATAACTGATGTCATTGACTACTGATGGTCTGAACTTTGTGTCAGGGATGGAAAGATATATTTGGTTTTAACCTTGCAGCAATGGAACATATTCAGGTTTGTATCAAAGAATCTTCAAAACTGTTACCATTGGACAGGCTAAATCAATTTTGAAATGATCTTTTCAGCAAATGATGGCTTCAAGATCAGATGCTTTATTTCATGATGCAAGATCAAAACTGCTAGAGATACGTGCTCGACAATCCAAACGTATAGAAGAAAGGTCGGATACTGGAGAAGTGAAGCGGAGGAAGAAGAAGAAGACATAAAGTAACGTGTATGTTTGGACTTGGTTATGCGCTGGATTATGTTAATGATATGGATATTTCAATTTTCAATCACTGCAGAGAAATTGTCCTTGACTGGATTTAGTGATCGATGAAGCTCTGCAGATTCAGAGCGAATTTGTCATAATATCACCTTCAACGAGAAGAATTGATGGGTAAAGGTTGGTTCACCAGAAAAGGCTTATGACCTTGGTCTACATGATTCCTTTCAACAGACGATTTCTGTTTTTAATCCGCGAATTCCTTTCAACAGATGATTTCTGTTTCAAATCCGCGGCTTATATATTGATGTCACGATGACATCTCCATTTGAAGAGCAAGGTTTTGACTGTACTGTTACTTATGCGAGTGGCTCAGAGAAGGTCGTTACTTTATTATGTTGTAATACGTGTAAGCATAAGAAATTTTACATAAATTGAATTAATTATACGATTCTACCTTCTCATAATATATATACATAATACATATTATGTTGGTGGGGAAAATTTTCCCTATGTAATGTATGTGCATGCTTATGATTCAAGTTTACATAATATTCTCTTTTACCTCTACTGAATTAATTTGATAAATGATTTGGCTGACTAAAACGAAGAATATGATTGTAGATGAATTCCAAGCTACGCACTGCCAGACGAAATGCTTCTAGACATGGGGTCTAGTAGTATATTGATGCTTGAAGTTTGTTGTCCGTGTATCACATGCTATAAAATGCAATTATATACAGGTGTTTGCGAAGTTCGGTTTATTTATTATAACCTTAGGCAATAGTTCCATTAAATCTACTTAAGAGTTCATATATATATATATGATCAGTAAAATTTTTGTACATTTTATAAGAATAAACAGCTTTCCATTTCTAGATTTTCTTAGAAAGATTTCTCTCTCAATCTTTCTTTAAATTTAACAGGAATCAGAACACTAAACTATTTAACGTGATAAATAGTAATTATATAAGAAGTCGAGAGGAGGAGAAAAATGATGAAATTCAATTTGTTGTCATTACATTAATTGATCTAAATAAATTTAAAAGAAAAATGTTATTCATAGACTCAAAAAAAAACAAGTGACGTATGAATAACGTTACATAGCCAAGGAAGCCTGGCTATTGACAATGCCTACAGACAAACCAAGAAATTAACACCAAAGATCGAAGTTGTAGAGAACCTTTTTATGCGAAGTTTTTGCCTTCAAAGGTCTGACCAAATTGCCAATTGTGGGGGACAACATTCAATGAAGTGGAGTACCTGCCATCACTAGCTCTCACCCTCAAGGTCAATGTCGCTCCCACTAACATGGCATTAGTCGCCCATTTCTGACCCCAATTTCGCTTCAATTCTATCCAATTGGTCTTGTCACCCTTCACGTGTACTGCTGTGATGTCCCCAGCTCCTCCAACATTCCACACTTTTATTAGATTGAAGTAAGGATTTCCAGTGATAGTGAACCGAATACCACCTTGCTTCTTGCACGGTATCCTGCATATATTGGAATTAAACATTTTCAATTAATAAAACACAACACTTCGAACTATTAGCCATATCCATATTGAACACATGTAATACTAGATATTCGAGTCACTTTCCGAGTACTCCTAGTTGCATTTTACAATTTTTTTAATGTTTTGTTTCCAAAACTTTTATGCCAAAACAAATTGAATGTTACCATAATCATATAAATTATGAAATTTTATCATGTCTATTATGATTTGTACCGACTTTTTAAATACTTATTATATCCTCTTTTCTTGTTTAAAATTTAATTTTATATGTTATACTATAATCATGTCATACTTTCTAATTTTTTAATTTCGTAGTATTTCTGTACTTGTATGTTATATTCATGTCTTGTATATCTTATCCATATTTTTTAGCTATTATTTTCATTTAATTTTGACCATGCAAATTAAGATACGAGATGAAAAGGTAACCTGCGATATTGGACTGGCACGATGCCAGCCTTGTATGCTGCAATTTTGAGGTATGCAGGTTTGGCTAAATCAAAGTGCTCGCGTGGTGGGTTGCACCATCCTCCATTGTCACCGGATTGAGAATAATTGGGAGGACAAAGGTTTGTTGCGGTGACAAAAATAGAGGGTTGGCCTGCCTTACACCACTGAGGAGAGTCTACACATTTGATCTCATAACATGCCCCACATGTCTGACCCTGCTTGAACAAAACTGTGCTCAGTGCTGCCGTGTCTAGGCCATAACCTTCTTTAACCACATCCTCATACCCACAAGCTCCTCCTGCAATCAAGTTATTCTTCTTCTTCAATATCAATATATATTTACACACACACACATAAAATGTTCTTAAAACATTAACATTTCAGATAATATTAAAGGTTGGTTTGATTAAACTTTATTTTTTTTTGGTATATATTACGGGTAGCCTCTAGCCAACAATTAACGGGAGACTATTAATCCCTTTCACAAATGGACATAATTAAAGTGAGTGTCTCTTTCAACAAAAGTTTTTTTTTTTTTTCATATATATAGTTAGGATTTACACTCTGCCTGTGGTCTCATAGCCAGTTCCAAACTTAAACAAAAGAGAAAGATTGTGTTAAGTTTTCAGCAATTAACGCAAAATTTATTGAAACATATGCATGGATATATAGTTAGGATTTAAATTCCAATTAATGTGCTTAAGAAATATAGTTATTGACCACTGTGTTAGATTTGTTGATCAATTAAGTAAATTTAACTGTGTAATGAAAATAAAGCAAAATTATAAAACCTGTCTAGCCTTCAAGAATTTTAGAATAAAGAGCTTTATATATATATAACACGCGTGTAATAAAATGGATTAATTAAATAATGTACATTAGTCAACATGACTAATTTGTTCATACCAAATGTTCCGGAACCTCCCTCATAGAAGGTAGCATGGGCTAGCCTCCATGGACCAGGCCCAAAGACGGGGTGGTTGTGCTCGAGGTTAACCATCTTGTTGTCTCTTCCAACGTTGTTATGAGCTGCATATCTCCATGAGGAGCTAATGTTTGCATGGACATTAGGAAGTGCAAAGGCAACAAGAAAGAACAATGATGAGGTCATGAGGGCTCCCAAAGGGAACGCCATGGCAGCTTCAGGTTTGATTAGAGCTCTCTCCGAATATGGGATCTTTGGTGTATGTCTAGATTTTCTCCCAATTCAGTACTAGCTAGTATGTATATATAGTACGAGGTTTATATTTGTATTGCTACTTTTGGAGGTTGGTATTTAAGGTTGCCATTTTGTGGAAGGTGGCAACAGGGCGAGCTTTTTTCTCGGGATTTCCTTTCATTTAGCAAAATGGTAAGAGAGCCATCCATTAATTTTAGTATATATTTTTTGTTTGAATGTTTTTAAGCTTTTCATGACTTATTTTCCCTCATCAACAATGGCTTTTCATGGAATGTGTTTAAAAAAGTCATCAAACATCCTGTTAAAATATATAGTTAAGTTATTTTTTTTATCATATCATATTATACATTAATTAGCAAAGTTATTCTTTTGGTACATTTTACACTGATTGGCGACCAGGCCAGCAAATTATTACATTTTTTTTTTACTATTGTCTTAACCCAATCACTAAGATCACGTTAAAGTTGACATGTATGATCTCTATATATCCTATAACATCGTAGTTTAATCACCCCTTATCTTTCGGACACATGTTTTTGTATGCAACTCAAACGCATGCATTTTTGCTCTCAAAGTTGGTGCTTGGTCAGTTAGATTTGTTCATACCATGAGGGAAGGCAGCAAAAATGCAGGTTAGTTTAGCAAATCCTCCCAGATTTTTGGTGTCCAAGCATTGTGGCTATTGGGGTCTGCATGGCCTGTCTTGTTCATCAACATTGGTGTCCGAATGTTGATCTTGTCTGCATCAAGAGTAAAACAAAATAACATAAACAAAAATACGATGATATTATTAGTAGTGTACTTTTGAAAAGGATAATATCAAATAGCTACAATGTTTAATTTTTTTTTTGGTTAGAATTAGTTAGGGATGTTATTACATATTGGAAGAATAAGTTATCTTTATCATTTATAGCGTGTTTGTCTTTTTAAATTCTTTAATGAAGCAATATAAAGAAGTTATCGAATCTTTGAATTTTGCATTCAACATGTTATAAATTCAAGTTTCAACTCATTTTATGATGAAACAATTTCGATTATAAAATACTAACCCCTTAACTTTAATATTTTTTTTAAGTGTTTTAGATTAATCCAAAGAAATATGAATTCTTTTGAATCAAGACTGAATTTTATAAAATTAAGCTATACTACATTTGCATATCCACTCCTTGTATTAAGTAACTTTGAGTGTTTGTATTTTTTTAATCTTGGTAAAACCTTTGAAGCCATGTTTTGAAGACATTAAAATTGAAAAAATAAAATAAATATTACATGTTTCAAGTATAGAAAAATTAATAGTTAAAGAAGAAAACTACTCATTTTACAGATTGAAAATGTTAATATATACGATGAAAAAATTTACTCTCAATTCTATCTTTGAATAGGTTAGGGTGGATCTTTGTATTGAACTTAGAAATGTTAGGATATTTAGAAGGAAAAAACTTGTTTGAGAGCAACCCCATCCAAACAGAAAAAAACATACTAGGAATGAATGAAAATTGAACATTAGTGATCAAATCCATATAAACCCAATTGCTTACTTTTTTTTTAAAGTATTAATATCAATTATTAAATTTAATTTTAAATATCTAAAAATAATAAAATTTCATTAAAAAAATAAGTATTCATGACATTAATTTTAAAAATTACCTTCTTTAAATGATATATATAATCTATACAACACTTGTTATTATTATTTCTTATATTCAATACATCGATAACATCTATCTTATATAGTTAGATATATTTGTAACTGATTTCTTCACCGTGTTTTAGTTTAATAGAAAAGCTAACTTCACATGTATAGCCTCTCAATACCAAATTTTGATTATGGACAATTACATTAACTTACTTTAAGTTAGTATTTATTGCACTTACACTCTTTTTAATTATAGAGTTATACCTATCTCAATTATTTTCTATATTATTTATACACTTTACCCGTATTTTCTTTACTTAATTTAATTAAAATATATTAATAATATAAATATTTTTATATTATTATCTAATTATAGATTTTTATATAATTAGATGTTATCGTGTCTCATAAAAATTACTTTTAAAAAATATGTTTAGAGTGATTTTTTATTAATTAGTTGATAATCTAACATTTTTTTTACATTAACAGTATGCTAAAATTATTGTTTTTAAAATTATACACAACTTTTATTATATGTATGTTATAAATCACAAATACAACCTTTATAAATAATAAAACAAGAGCGATACAATAGAGACAAGTATCTATTTTTAATATAAAAAATAAACATAATTATTTTTATGTTATTTTACTACAAGAAATTTAACTTTGATAACAATAAAAAAAATATTAGTAAAGGACATAAATTGTAAATATAATCCAAAAAAACTTATGCACATTTGTCATATTATCTATAAATTACAATTTTGACCCAAAACTGTTTTTGTATATAATTATATAATCTTTTATATATAAACCATAATGTTTCATCTAACTCAAAATTTTATTTAAAAACTCATAAAAAAAACTTATATTTTTCAAATAATTTAATAATTTAATTTTTTTGGTGTTTAAATTGGTAAAATTCAGAATAAAATTATTTTATAAAATTACATTTTTTCAAATAATTGCATGGATAATTGTCTCAACTAAATAAATTAAATTAAATTTAGAAATTTAGTAAAGATGCGATGAAATTTTACATTAACGAATGGTATTTTAATACACGTGCTTCAACTTTAAAAGATAATTTTAGAACAGATAATAATCTGATATGTAGATCAACTAACGTAATATTATTTCAGTATAGGTTATGTCAAGATCAAGTCTCAGTATAAAAAATCTAAATTAAATTTACCTACTTAAATTAAACAATTAAACTTTTTCAAAAGCTCAAACCCAACACTTTTGTTAAATACTAAGTTGGAAATAAATTAAAATGTAGGTAGAGCATGATAAGGCGCCTGATATATTTTCACTTCTACTCCCAAGATCAATTTTGTCAGCAAACATTTTATATACGAATCAATGTTTGCGACAGAGCCACGAACAGTGATTATAAAAGTGAGTTTCAACATTTTCAACTGCATAATTTGACAATAAAAATTGGCACTATATATACTCCATTGATGTGGCCTTGGCTTCTTGCTTGCCATGTTTATAAGTTCGAGTTCGTGTACATAAATGCTCGTCAATAGTCAAGAGTCAATCTTAACAGGTAATTATCCACTTCACCAACTTTGGCATTCTGCTATTTAATTAGTTATATAATCAATAAGTACCACAATAGAATAATTCTTCAAGTATAAACTGTTACTACATTTCAAGCTTATATAAATTTGAATAATTCATAAAGGCATTGGATCAAGCATGGCCAAACATATGTGAAGAACGAGGAGATATAATTCTTGTGAGGATCCTTCCATAAATACACAAACCGCTTCTCTAGAAGATACCTGTAATTGATATATTACACAAATCATATAAATTTAAAGAAGCATGTATATCTCCAGTGGAAAGCAAAACAACAAATCAGTGTTCATCAAATTTATAGTTTTGCATTTTAAATTATATCCGTGTATCTAAGTTAATTAGAAAATCTGTTTAAAATAAAAAGTGCTAATTCGAAATTTAATCACCTATTTGGCCACCTTTTACCCTTAACATCCCCTAATCTTTATTAGTTACGTACAAATAATGATATCGTATAACAAATAATTACGATTTCTCATGATTGTAAATAGCTGTAGAACAAATTAATCACTCCATGATTAACGGTATAAATTGAGAGTTTTCAACCCTAGCAGAAGCCATGAATAGTGTACCGACTAATGCTTACTATTAGGGCCAACGCTGAACCACCACGTATACGCCACCATATGAACAGATAAGGGGGAATCATGGGTCCTGACCTCCTTATTCCTCTTCTAATAATACAAAATTTATTTTTTTAATGCAAATAATAATAATAATATTGATATTAAGTATCAAATCATATAAAATTACACTTTAATAAAATTTTATAAAAATTATATAATATTTAATATATATATATATATATATATATATATATATATATTGACATGTAACTTAGAAAAAATTTACATTTAAATAATACATCACTTGTTAAATCAGATAAAGCAGTGAAATACCAATTAATTTTTAAATAATATAAAAATTATAAATTTAGTTTACTTTATAGTAATATTAAATTAAATAGTTTAAATTAATAGATTTTGACATCTAGTATTAATTAATCCTATCTTAATAAAAAAAATATATGAAGGTTTTGATTGGTTAATTAGTATAAATATGCAATATGTATGATAAAGTTGACTTGATCCGAAACACTAATCGCAATATTGATTGTTGATTAATACTTAAAAAAAAACTTTAAAAACATTTAAAGATACTGTATAATATTAAATAATAATTATCAAATATAAAACTTCTTCGACATAGAGTATTCCCATTATTTAAGCATAATGCTTATTGATAATTACTAGATAAAAATTACTTTGAAAATAATAACATTGATGGATAGATAAATAGAGAGTATGAGAGAAGGAACGCGTTTTGTTTATATTGATTTTTAAATTAAGTATATCTCGAAATTTAGAAGAAATTTATTTAAATCGTAAAAATATCAAAATAAAATTTAGTGTGAATTAAACTTATTCTGAAAATTATAAAAGATAGATTAAAAAATTAATAATTTTTGCAGGATGCAAATGAATGTAAATGACAGTTTTTTGTTTAATTTTACATATTTTACATGTAATTAATTTTTTCCATAAAAAATTAAATAAAAAATACAACCAACTAATATAATTATTAAATTTTGAATGAGTTTAATTTTTTTTAAGATTGTATATGAGTAATTTTCCTCATCTAATTCATATTTAAAACAAATTTGGTCAAAATATTTCAAAGGGAAATTTGATTATATTTTATTCAAAAAAGTACATGTAAATATAAATGTATTACATATTTTTTAATCAAGTAAAAATTAGAAATATTATATTAATCTTACAATAATTTGTACAACGTTTGAATAAAATAGTTAGTGTATGTTAAAATTTATTTATTTTCTATGTTTATTTTGTGGATCTCTCCTTGCATGTCCATGTTGACTATTCAAACGCCTACAGCCTATATATACCCACGAGCACTTACACAATATCGCACCATACACTAAGAAGTTTCTTACATTGCCACCAAAGAAAACTCAACACGATGAATACCCGAGTTGCTCTCAGCATTATTTTGACCTTCTTCTTCTTCTTCTTCTTCTGTGGTATGACAATTTCCATTACCTTTCTCCATGAAATTATCTTCTTAATTTTCTTTTCATATTGGCTGCATGAATATAACTAAGCTAGCTAGCAGCTTACTCGCTTTTTTTTCCCTTCCTTTTTGTGACAATTAATTAGAATATAAGTGTCAATCAATACCTATACCCCTACATTCCCTGTGATCAAACAGTTTTATTATTTGAGCAACTAAAATTATACTGTTTATAATCATTTTCCTTTTCTAATTTTCTGTATGCACTTTTTTTTCCCTGTACCCACATGCGATCAAAAATAAGTTTTAAAAAGTAAAGCAGACAATTAAGGTTCACTCCTAAAATTATATAAAAATAATCGTTGCTGATTAAAAAAATACCTGGATTTAGATTCTATAATTAAGTAATCCATGTACACAATCTCAACTATTATAGACGATGACCATGACGAGTATTTATTATTATTATTAAGGTTAATTACATTTTGAGTCTTTATAATTTAATTTATATGTATTTTTTTTAATTTTTATTACTTACTTTTAAATTTTTAATTATTCAAATTATATTGTGGTTGATATATTCGTTGCATTGTGACGTGCAGGAACTGATGGAGCAAAGATTACGTTCGTCAACAAGTGCCCATACACCGTATGGCCAGGCACTCTAACTAGTGCTCAAAAGCCTCAGTTGTCAAAAACCGGTTTTGAGCTTGCAACCTGAAAAACTGACACCGTCGAGGTCCCATCTCCATGGGAGGGTCGCTTCTGGGCCCGAACCAGATGCTCCTCTAACTCTGGCAAGTTTACTTGCGTCACCGGAGACTGCGGCTCCGGCCAAGTCGCATGCAACGGTGCCGGTGCAGTCCCACCGGCAACACTAGCAGAACTCTTCGTAGCAGGCAACGGAGGACAAGACTACTATGATATCAGCAACGTTGACGGCTTCAACGTTCCTATGTCCATCGCTCCACAAGGTGGCACCGGTGATTGCAAACCCTCCACGTGTCCTGCGAACATCAACGCAGCGTGTCCACAAGAGCTTCAGGTTAAAAATAATGGGAACGTCGTTGCTTGCAAGAGTGCGTGTTTGGCTTTCAATGAAGCTAAGTATTGTTGCACTGGAGCGTTCAACACTGCAGAAAAATGCCCCCCAACTCAGTACTCTCAAATTTTCAAGAAGCAGTGTCCTCAGGCTTATAGCTACGCTTATGATGATAAGAGTAGCACCTTTACCTGCTTCAAGGGACCTAACTATACTATCACTTTCTGCCCTTGAAATTTCATACACTAACTTCATTTTGTGTTTCATGATGACCTTCAAAATTATGATAGTTATATTCAGTGGCTTAAAATAATAGCCTAGCTTGTACGTACACAATAACAATCACGATTTGGTGATTGAATGTGGTACTAGGATCACATATATTTCAATAAAATTGCGTCATGAGTTCGTTAATGTCTTTATTTTATAATTTTTTTTATACCTACAGCGTTAAAGTTGCTAATTTACAACCGCCATGCATAATAAATAAATTTCAATCATGAGATATTCTATTATTTTTAATGAAAGTTTTAATGCTTTGAATGAAATAATGAAATAAAATGTTTTTTTTTTTTACTTTACTTTTTATATTTGTTTAATTAATTAACATGACATGATATTTCTATTTGTGAATTAATCTTATTATTTTTTCATATAATTTTAATTGTAAAGTTAAAAATAAATAATATAATAATAAAATGTGTCTTACTCGTTATCTTAATATGATTAAAAAATAAAATAAAATAAAATAAGAGATCATACTATTATTTTATATTATTTATTATTTAACTTTCATATTCTATTATTTTTTATCTTATAATATTTTATAGACTCTTACGGTTAATCTAATTAGAAAATAAAAATAATTTACTTCTTTCTATTTTAAATATCTATATGGTATTTTGTTTTAGTAAATTTAATCATTTTCTACTTATTTAATGGTTTTGACATTGGTTTTTAAAAGAAAAAAATAGAAAAAATTAAAGGAAATAATAAAAAAATGTAACAAGTAATGCAATAAAAAAAATAAAATTTATAATAAAATACATTAATTTAATATATACACTAATGACATTTGTAAAAAAAAAAAAAGTTACGTTAGTGACAATTTTTTTATGAACATATTTTTTATGAACATAATTTTTCACATTTAATTACTGTGAAACAATAATTCATGCTATTAAAATTTAGAAGAATATTATCAAGTATTCTACATATATTTTTAAAGAAATAAAAAGTTATAAAAATATACTTTTTATGATTTTGAATGCAAACTTTTCATAATTCTTAATAAGGCTTTTTTTTTTATCATCAATTTATTGGTTAAGATTCTCCATAATTCTCCAATCACTTGTTCTAGTTAGCCAAGGCCATAAAATTTAACCAAAAAATCCATTACTGTTTTATGGAGCATATGTCCAGTGACGTGTTGTTCTATTGTGGCAGCATTGTAATATATTAACTGGCAAGTTTATGGGAATTGACAATTGTTTTGGTTCTGAAATTCCGAAATATGTTGTTGGGACTGAGTACAGTACTAGGATTATGGAATAACGACTTACGATAATACATACTAGAGAACCTGCAATCTGGCCCCCATTATAATTTGCAACTAAGTAATCCATCCAATTCCATAGTTTCAACGTCGTCAATGCCACCACATTTTGTTGCCAACCTTCTCCACTCTCTACTCTAGGGTTCCTTTGTGTTCTTCACAACAATGGCCAAGAAGAGGACCGCAACTGAGAAGAACAAGAAGAAGACCCTCATCATAATTCCCATACCAAAACATTCTCAACAACCAAGAAGCTCACCTCCCAAACGCCGCACTGATTTCTCTGTGTTCACGCGCACACCCTCCTTCTCCATCCCTGATTCTGGTACCTTTTATTGTTTCTTCTCAATTCCCCTTTCACATTCTGGGCTTCCTCAATTATTGCATAAATTTGTTTTCTTTCAACGAATTTTGGTTATTTGTCATGTGGGTTTGTTGTTGCCTGTTCAATTTGGCGATTGGTTTTTCTTCTTGAGATATCATTGTTCTTAACCATCTTTTGCTCCTGTCTGGATCCAAATTGTGCTTCCTTTTGAATTAATTGTCAATCCTTGACTGCAAAGCTAGTACCTTTCACGTCGCAGCACAATTCCCTATATGGATATCTGAAAATTATTCCTGTGATTTGAGTTCGATAAACTACTTGAGTTGTCAACTTTTAATAATCAGACAAACAAAATTCCAAATTCAAATTATGAAATTCCCTTTCTTCTTTCCTTGGTCGGAGGCAATACGATTTCCTGTTTATGTAGCATCTTCATGGATGATAATATTCTTTTAAATACTTGTGAGGATGGTGGTTTGTACGCATTCGCGTATTTAGTTCTACTTGACTTTTATAGTGTTCCAAATCCGAATGTTTGAGCCATGAAATAACAATGTGGTTACGTACTTGTTGCTTTGATAGTTCTGACAATGGAATGAAATCATTATCTGTTAGCATGCTAAATAATTTGGTGCATGCTGCATTTATTTATAGCAGATTGATTTCAATGCTCCAGCCTCCCTTTATGCATATTTATGTCGGAGGGAAAATGTGGAATAGGAATTTTTTTAAGGCATAGATATATAATGAACACTCTTTGGTTTTAAATTTTGCTCTTACAACCTTTTAAAGTTAAGTGCCCCCCGTTGAGCTAACATGCTTCTAGTAGCGGTAGGCCTTGCAAAAATTTTTGAGAAGTTAATTGAGTGTTGTTCTACATCCATACTGGGGCTAACTTTATTCATGTGATACTCTAAAACTGTATTGTTGATTGCCAAGCAATAAAGCATGGAGATTTGGCCAGTAGTTTGTTCTCCTACCTCAGATATCTTACTATCTGTATTGTAAGTTGTTACATTGGATCAAATTGAATTATCTATGTCATTATTGAAACCCAAGATCTGTCCATCCTAAGCAAAGTTCAACTGAATTTTGGTGAAACATATGGCTGTTCTTTCATCTGGCCAATTCTTTTGTGCAGGTTCCTCACCAGGTTCGTCTTCTGGTGAAATGAGGTTGTCCAATGTCACTGTGAGCAGTTTGCAAGAGAGGAGAAAGGCAGTGAAACAGTATTCTGAAGATATGCTGGCGCGATGCAGCAATTACCAACAGAGTAGACCAGTATGTTCATCTGAGTCTTTTGATGTTCCTCTTGTGGAAGTTGATCCAGCTGTCCATGATGAAGGTTTTGACCTTGGTGGCTATAGGTTTGTTTTGTGTGGGCATGCGAGTACAAATAAGTTGAGTCTGGGACCTTACAGATTTTTTGTTTCTTAGTTGACTGAAACTTTTAAGTTTCTTTTTTCAATATAGGGATGTTTGTAATGAAAAAATTGATATTTCCAAGATGTCAGAATCTACTCCTCATGAATCATCCGTCAGTGATAGCAGTTCTCTTGCTGTAACTCCTGGAAGTGTTGTATGGGCAAGGACATCTTGTCAAATATGGTGGCCTGCTGAGGTATTTATTATTACACCCTATGATACTTGTTGCTTTTTCCCCTATTTATGTTCTCGTTCATAAGCCAATATGACATGTGATTGGCCAAAAGGAATCCATACTTACAGAGCTTATCCTCTCTTCCGGGCATCCTTGAAGAATCCCTTTATTTTATATGCATTTCACTTGCCACTTAAAGTTCTTTGGTGGAAAATACATAGGCACCAAGATATTGTAAAATGTCCTTGTCTTGCAAATTGGAGAACTTGCATTGAAATTTAAAATGGCTTTTTTCATATAATCAATAAGTTACATATCAGTTTAAGCCCCATGATCTTTTCCTTTTTTCCCTTTTTAATTGTATTTAGTTAATGTACCATAATGTAAATTAAAGACTTGCTGATATAAATACGAGGGTATCATCTCTTAGCTGCTGACTTGATATACCTCTATTTCTCTGTTTACTCAATCTACCCCTGTTCCTTTTTCTGCCTTTGGAGATTTGAGACAAGGTTCACTCATGGGAAATCTAGAAGTTACCCTTAATGTTTTAAATCCATTATTTTTCACTGGAAATTTTTAATGCTTCAATTATTAAAGATTGAACATTTTGTGCCAATTCATATCTGATACAATATAGTGCTTAATTTCTCAAAACATTTCTCATTTTGTTAGACTACAACAGAGATGAGAATACCAATTCCTTGAGTGCTTTTGTAGTTTACAATATTAGAACATTTGGTGCAAATTTGTCATACTTTTGATGTTGGGTATACATATATTTTACTTCTTTATAGTATTTTGAATCCAACCTTTCAACATACTAGTTAATAAAATGGACTAGCTCATGACTTTGGTGTGGAGTTGATTTCTGTGTTACTTTTTGTTTTGAATTCCATAATCTATTCATCCATATTAATTTAAAAACAAAAAAACCTTTTCCAGGTCTTGGAAGAAAGATCTGCATTATCTGACCATGGCAGTGATGGACATGTTTTAGTGCAATTTTATGGAAATCATTCCAGGTATTGTAGCATATCTTTTCCATATGGGATTTTCTTGGACTTGCTGACTTGTCTACTTATTGTACTGAATATTTCTTTGTTCCTTAACAGTGTTTGGATTGATCCAGTGACTGATATTTCAACTTTTGAGAATGTGAGTTTAATCCTTTTCGTGCACTATACTTTTCCACATAAAACTTCATGGTGTTTATAACTTCAGAAGTCACTATCAGATGCTTTTACATGTTGATAATATTTAACATCTAAGTAAAGCCATGCTAGAAGAGGAGGCAGATAGTATCCCTCATCCTCAACCTTGAAAAGAAGAAAGAAGAGGGCAGAGGAGGCTTATTTTGACTAAATGTAATTTTGCTAATATGTCGCACAGCAGCATGTCTCAACTTTTATAATAAACTATTGAAATAGTGTTTTGGAGTAAGTTTATTGTCTCTGCTGTTGCAAATCCATCTATCCTACATTTTTAGTTTTTGAATTCCCCCCTTTTTTTTTGTTGAGAGGTGGGTTGTTGGAGAACTAGGGATGCTAAGTTCAGTTAGCAGGGCTTAAGTTTCAACAATTGTATAGGAGGAGATATTTCTATGGTTGTTTTCTTAATCATATTTGTGCATGATTTTAATTGCAGTCTTTCGAAGAAAGGAGCAATAACCCTTCAGAAGATTTTCAACTGGCACTAAAGCAAGTATGTTTAATCTAAAGTGAAAGTCCAGTATGTTTAGCTCCAATAAATTTTTCAATTTCAGCCAACAGAATCTGTATTTTATTTTTCTCTTTTATCCCTCTTCCCCTTTTCTTGATTAGATTTTTCATTTGTCTTTTTATTTGATGTGATACTAGGCCTTGCAGAGGAAGGCACAACTTAGTTCTTGCCAAAAGTTGAGTCCTGATAGGTCTGCTCACTCTGATCAGCAAGAACGTTCATCTGGTACGATCCTTATTTCTATCCGAATTATGTCTTGTATGGTGAAGTGGGTCACAACAGGAAATCACATTAATAAGTCCTATGGCTGCATAAACACATTTAATAAATAGGAACAAGCACTTTTATTAGTGAACTAAATTAATTACTACTATTTTAACTAACAGTAACATGCTCCATTCTTGTTTGTGCAATGAAAACCTTTCGTTCAGATACATTCTTGTTACTTGGATTGTTTTCTATAGTTACACAAATTTTTTCAGATAGAAACAGTAGACTAAAAAATAATTCAACCAATGATATGATATGCCGCAGGTTTTATATAGTGAATACTTTTAACAAACAAAGAAAGGTTAATAAAGTCTCATGTGCATTCTCTGTTAACCATATATCGATTCATAGTCCTTGGACGCTTTGTGTATTTGTCAACTTCAATTACATAATTTTGTGGGACTCTTGTCTCTAAAGCAGACACACATCACATATCATATACTGGATGATGCTTCGTATACTCTTCTGATTATGGATGTCCATTGGAAGATTATAACCATTCATTGATTAGAAATGTTTACTCTTTTTGTTTCTCCTTTTGTCTTTTTAATATGGATTTATGATTTGAACAGGTAAATGCACTTCAACTAGTACAAGCAGAACAATTGATGATTTTCAAGATAGACGAAGAGGAAAGAGGGAACGTAAACCCAAAGTTCATTTTGATGTAAGTTCCTAATTTAAAACTTATGGCATAATCACTACTAGAACTTTTGTCACGGGCATAAATGAATAATTTTCTCTTCTAGGAGGTTACATATCCAATGAAATCAGAAAGAAAGGTTCGTCGGTTAAAGATAATGCGGTATCTTGGCCTTGCAGCTCCAGTTGGTTCTCCCTATTGAGTTTTGACCATGATTACAAGCAATGTATATTTCAAATGATTTCGGCCTAACAGCTGCACTTGGTCCCCCCTTTTTTTAACCATAATAATCATGAATTATGCATATGTCTAAAATTTGTTTCCACTTCTTGACATTAGCTCTGTAAAACTTTTTAGCATTATACAGTCTCATTTATTTCATAATTATCTGTAAAAACCGTATGACAATTTGAATGAATGTTAGAATAGTTCTCCAACAAAAGTTGCATTTAGTTGATTTAGTTTGTTTCGTTTCTTTTTCTAGGAATAGACCTCTTTAAAATTGCAAAATAAAAGAGGTGTGATCTAAATACGCTCTAATAGCAAATAATCTAGATATATGTGGTGTGCTTATTATTTTCATTTTTATCATTAATAATTTTCTGTTGATACGTTTTCATTGTTATCAGTTGTTTAATTTATGCGTTATATTCACATGATGTGAAAACGAGAGAATACAATTTAAATTATATTTTTTAGTCGTATTTCCACCTTTTCTTTATAACCTCTTCTAAATTACTTAACTCTTGTTCACTTGGATATAAGCTTGTAGAAGTTTCAGCTCTTTTTTGTTATTGTCAAAATAAGGCAAATGAAAAGAACAAAATCCGAGGGAGGGGTAAACTTGTTGCAGTTGTTCAGTCTTGTTTAGCGATCTATTATTAGGCAACATGTGTCAAATTGGAATGTTTTGATTTGGAGTCATCAATTAATGGAAATTTACAAAATGCATATAATGTACTGTGTAAGTAATTTACTGGTAACGAACCAAAAGTGTTACATTGGGAGGTCCATTATTGTACCATGCTCGAAATTCCAAATGCAGTTTATCTTTGACAGAAATTTTGTTGATGAGGGAAAGGTGAACTTGTCAGGGAAACATTATCTATCGATGATGATACTAACATGACTCCTCAACTACTTAGATCTGTATTATTGATGATTTACAGCATTCAGTGTTACACATGATTTGCCTAATATTCAGTCTCATATGTGCGTCTTATTCGATTTGGGAGAGGCTTCTAATAAAGTTACTGATACCAACAGATGAAAAAAACCAAATGATAAGCAGGACATTGAAATCAGCCAAAAGAATAAAATAAATAAGATAAAGTCAAAAGGGTACATCAGATACTGTTTGTGAAGAAAATCTTGATATTCATTCCACACGAGATTAAAGGCCGTTAAATCAATTTAGATAGGGGAACCAAATTCAAATTTACATTATTATGCAATAATATGTTAGTCATGTTCTTTAATTATTTTGACACTTTTGAATAATGTGATATCGTTTCGTCTCATAATAATATAATACATTTTTGCATTGTGCATGATTTTTTTTTCTCTCTCTCTAAGGTATGTGACATATTTTGTGATGTTATTGTCTTATGTTTTGTTTGGATAAATGGAATGAAACATGAGACTCACCAAAATTAACTAATTTCACCCATTCTTTTAACTCAACCAAACCTTTAAAATATTTTAATTTTATTTTTTTAAATTTTAGTCACTCATTTTTTAGTAGAAACAAACAAAATTTTAGTATTTGTTTGTGTAACTTTTTTTAATATATATATATATATATATATATATATATATATATATACTTTTTCAATGCAAGTCATGTGAGAAAGAAATATTTTATAATTTGAGAAAAAATATTTGTAGAAATCCAATATCACTGTTTTCTTTATACATTCTGAGTTTTTCCTAATATTGATGTTAATGCCAGACAAAATTTGTAAAGATTAAAAGTGTCCGTGAGATAAAGAAATGTATTCAAATTAATATGTTTATTATTTATTTTATTCAATATTTTATCATTTTTTTAAATAATACCTAAGTTTGGCTTTTTATTTGATTATAAAAATGAGTATTTGACAAATAAAATATTAATTAAATTTTTAAATGAAATGAGTAAGTTGAGCTTAAATTTAATATTTTATCAACAAACTAAGACCAAAATTTTTATTTAGTTTATTTAATGAATGAGTCAAATTTAAATTTTATTTTTATATAAGTTAAAATTGAAATTTTAATAACATAATTTGAGTCAACTTATTTACTTTGTAAGTTTAAATCTTATTAATTATTGCCTTTTTAATTATGCATTTACCTTTATTTTATTTTTAAAGTGTCCAATTAATAAGCATTTAAAAAACATTAACTGGACTTTTAATTAAACATTATGTTGAAATTACATCAGAAATAAAAAATTATGATAAAAATACATTAATGACATATTTTGATTAAAAATTTCTATTGAGGACATTAGTTAACGTTTATTATTTTGAATATTTTACACATTTGTAATTGAGAATTTTTTTTTATAAAAACTACAGTAAAAATTTTAAAGATAATTTTAATATAAATAAATATATTATTAATTATATTCCTTAAATTCTGTATTTATTTTAAATACATCCGTAAAAGAAATAGAACTAATATTTCGATAAAGAAGAAAATGAATTTATTTCAGTATAATTTTTAAAAAATAAAAAAATATTTCTCTTTCTTTTATATAATAATTTTTTTAAAATTAATATATCTTTTATTTTATTCTATTTTAAATTATTAATTACTTTTAAAATTCATTTTTAAGTTTATTTGATTTCATAAGTAAATTTAATAAAAAATATATAACTAAACATGCATTAAAAAAAAGTAGATATTGATAAAAATAAAAATATTTAATATTAATTATTAATAAAAAAATAAAAATATAATGAATGGAGTAATTATTTTTTTTTAATTTTTCGTTCAGTCTAATCAAAATTCGACGTTCTATGAATGAATCTTATTTAAAATATATTATCTACATATGTAGTTATTTATTTATTTTTATAAAAATAAATAATTTTTACTTTATATTTTATTATATAAAAAATAAAAAGTATTTAATATCAATATACTGAATAAGAAAATTATTAACATGCATTAAAAATATCTTTCAACGATAAGAGTGACGTGAAAAATGGTAAAACGAGATTTTATTGTTTAACAAACGTTGTCATGTTACTCATTGAGGGGACCCATAAATATAAAAAGGAGTATTTGTTGATTGGGAAGGCAACACAAAACCAGCGCAGCAGTGTCTGTGTGCCCGCGGCGTGAAGAGGCAACACCCTCACACCTCTATTTATGTTGCTGTCCCCTTGGCGATTCTTCCATCTTCCATTTCCATGGCTTCCTCAATCTCAATTCCCGCTCCCGGTACCTTCTCTTTCTCTCTCTCTCTCTCTCTCTCACACACACGCACACGCACACGCACGCACACACACACAATGCAATTCCTTTTCTAATCTCTCTCTTTCTTGCAGAGGCCGTGCAGGTTCTCCTCTCTTTACTCGCCGACGACTCTTCCTCCGTCAGAGAGGCTTCCATGTCCTCTCTCAAGGACATTGCCGCACTGTGATTACTCCTTTTCTTTCTTTTCATTTCGTCAATTTCGCTTCAATTTCGAACCTCACCAATCTTCGCTTCCTTTATAGGAATCCTCTTCTGGTTCTCGAGTGCTGCGCCGTCGTTTCGCGCGGGGGACGTCGGGTGCAATTTCTTTCTGATTTCTGTTCAATGAATAGGTTTTGCTCATTCGATCTCTCTTTATTTTCTTTTCTCTTTTGGTGCTTCAGCGATTTGGGAATATGGCTGGAGTTTTTCAAGTGATGGCGTTCGGAGTTCGAGCTCTCGACAAAAGAGACGTTGATTCTGCTTTCATGGCTAAGCTTGCTAAGATTGCTACCGCTGAGATGATATCCTCTAAGGTGCTTTCTGTTTTCTTGCAGGAGTGAGTCAGTAGCTGCAGTAGTAAACTAGTGGCTACATACAATTCAGTGACCATCACTTTATCCTTTTACCGGTCTTGGTTTAATTTGTGTATTGTTTTTGGAGACTCGGTTTTGCTATACAACTACTCGAATTAATTATAGAGTGGAGCACGTAGATGAAGAGCAAAAATTCTGTGGAGTCTTGAGGGCTCGAATTGATCAACTGGGACTTTGCCTTTCTTGAATTGTTGGAACATACATCTTACCAAAACATAAGTACTACCTTTTAACAACCTTTCTCACTTTTTGATAGAAAATTGTAACGACACGGCGTTTAAGAAGTTCAAAAGCAAGAGAAAAACAACATGCCACAGTGAATAAATGGGGACTTTAAAAAAAAGAAGGAAAATTATAGCAAGAAAACAATGATCACCAATCCTTGAAGGGAACGTCCTAAAATCCATAAGCTGTCATCGCAAGGCACCAAGAACGCAGCTTTGTTCAGTAAAATTGGCACAGATTTGTCTCCCAATTGCAAACACTCCACATCAGCCTACTTTCTGTATAAGATGTAACGACACGGCGTTTAAGATGTTGTCTGTGATGCTGTATTGAGCACGGTCAAATTTAGATTCCAAACAAAATAGTGTTCGAGGGTTAGAAGGTTTGATGGTTGATGTTATACCTTTAAGCTTCGGTCGAGGAGATAAGGAAGATTAAGTTGATTGTGATTATTTGTTGATGGTTGAATTTGGAAGATTTTTAACCTGTCTTATTCTGGAGGACTGACTTTGAAGCCATTTAACATATAGTTTTAGGTGATATAAGAACCATTCATGGGTCTTTATCTATCAGATGGTTGAGTAAATATTGTTTGTTTCTTGAATGGTGGATTGTCGCAAAATAGTGATTCAAGCTTTGGAATTTAGCCGTCCAAATTTTATGAGCTAATTGTTTAGCAGCCCCTTTTATTTTCTCATTTTCCACCTGGGCAAATAATTTACTGGGAAATGAGGGGGAAGCAAATATTTTGGGTGCCAAAATTGAATTTGCAAGTTACAGGGTAAGAAAAAGAGCTGGATTACATGCAGGGTTAGTCATGGTCAGATGATTAATCTGTAGTCTGTGAATACACTGTGTGGAGGCGTTTTCTAATAGCCACGAAGATAATAATTTTTCACCAAGTACCATAAACAATGATTGAAACGCAGTTTGATTGAGTGTAGGTGCACATTCACTGAAAAGCACAGTTTATAACCATGTAATGTAAAATGGGCAAGTAATATTAGGATTTTAATTTTGAAATTATGGTTTTGGATTTGGGATTATTTGTTATTTAGTGATTATATCTTATTTGGGATTTTCTTTTTCCAATATAGAATGGGTTTGTCTTTTCAGGGTGTTTGATTATGTTGAGTTCATAAATAGATCATTGATATCAGCATTTGGGTACCTTTCCACATAATTATACAACATTGAGATTTTCTTTTTCACAGAGTATCTGAAACCCTAGTATGAGGAGTACTCTGCCCTAGAGGATTACTTTAGGCTTATTGTTCTACATCACTATCACTTTTCTTGTCTTCCTCCTATATATCTGAAATGACTGTTAGTGTGTTGAACTCATTAGTAGGCTTTTGTGTTTATTTTCTTGAAGATATTCCAGCTGATAGCTTCACCAGATTTGGTATGTTACTTCTCATACTCTACTGGATTCATATAGATTCTCGTTTGCAGGAACTAAATTCTGATTGGCAACGCGCAGCAACAAGCCTACTTGTGGCAATTGGCTTACATTTACCTGATCTTGTGAGTTATCTTTTTTTTCTTTTCAACTCTCAAATGTATTTTTTATATTAGAAGTTTAAAAGTTCAATAAGGAAAGGAAAGATAGGGTTATAGACCTAGCTGAGACAACTATGACATGGAGAAAGAAAGATTAGTAGAATGCATCCCTACAGTAGTACAGTCTCTTTTGTTAGTAGTTAAATACATCTAATTAGAAAATTGTTGTCTGCACTCTACTCTATACTTTTTACTTTATCTCTTGAAGTGGAATTGTAACATTGTTTTTCTATCATGCTAAAGTATTTCTCCCATTCATTTTACTTTCATGGGATGTAGTTCTGGGCTCTCTGTCTCTCTCTCTATCTATAAGGTTTTGTTAACCTTAACTCATAGGACTGAGTTTAAGCATTCATAAATAGGAAATTTTTATGGAAAAAGTACATATTTATTATATTAAAGTTATAAAAGTACAAGAAATACTTTTTTTTTTTTTAATAAAACTTTATTATTATTAGTTGTTTATCCTCAGCCCTTAGGGCTGAGATTAACATTTATCTTATTCTTATGCCTTTGATCTCCCTTTCCCTTGAATTGGTGTTGCAGATGATGGAAGAAATTTTTCTTCATTTATCTGGGACAAATTCAGCATTACAGTCTATGGTCCAAATCCTTGCAGAATTTGCTTCTACAGATCGTTAGTAATCTAATTTTACTATGTGCTTCAGCTGTCAAAATTTACCATGTGGTCAAATTCTATGGTAAACACTGATACATTTTCTTCCTTATAAATCTGATACAGCCTTGCAGTTCATTCCCCGTTGGAAAGGTGTACTTTCGCGAATTTTGCCAATTCTTGGAAATGTGCGAGACATGCACCGGCCAATTTTTGCAAATGGTATGGTGATCTTTCTGTTGCTTTGTCGATGGCTGTCTAATATGTGATTCCATCTTTGATTTCTTTTGGTGATTTGTTTAGATCTGGTTGAAGTTATAGACAATTGCATGCTGTGTCTAAAGTGTCAACCAATTCTAATTGCATTCTGGAATTACTTTTTTTGTAAATTTCATGCCATATTGGGACATAGCAAAATACTGATAAGTGTGAAACTGGCAGTTGTGTATGATGATCAGCTTTCTATTGTTAAAGAATTTTAAATTACCATTTATCTTGTGGTTTCTGAAATTTTTGAGAGATCTTGCCCATAAGAAAATTGGGGCCATTAGTAGGCTAAAATTTTGAATGATGGTAGAGTTTGGTTGGATTTAGTGCTACAAACAATTTTTTCTACTTGGTTGTGAAGCTTGCCAATTTTGGTGTTTTTATTTTCATTGCACTTTTTAAAAGTTCATTCTGGATTTAGTTTATACTGTGGTATATTCCTGCTGATGAATCAAAATTTTAAACTTTTTGAAAATATACATTTTGTAGATATATATTTTCCTTTTGCTATTAGTTGTCACATGACTCACATCAATTTGGGCCCTCATTGTCTGACAGCGAGTAAATGGTGGATGAAAAACTGTCACAAACCTTTCTCAAATGTGTAATTGCTACTGCTAATCCGATCTCATATAATTTATTATCTTTTGCAGCATTTAAGTGTTGGTGTCAAGCTGCTTGGCAATATAGCATAGATTTTCCTTCACATTTTCCCCAAGATGGTGATGTCATGTGAGATCAATATAAACTCTTCTAGTTTATTTTTTGATTTAATGCACACATTTCCTTTATTTCTTGCCTGGAGGTGAGAGATATCTCTATGTAGTGCAGGTCTTTTCTAAATTCCGCTTTTGAACTTTTGTTGAGAGTTTGGGCAGCTTCACGGGACCTAAAGGTTTGTCACTAACTATTATGTTACTATATTTTTTTGTTTTGCATTCTACTGCTTGTCTGTTTTTCTATTATTTTCTTTGTATCTTTATTTTTAAATACATCTTTTATTTTTGTACTAACAAGTTTTTCTTTCAGTAAGTGATCCTTTAGTTTTGAGATCTAATAACTTGTTTATATTTTCAGCATATATGGTGTTTTTGATAACGAATACATCCCAAGTGATTGTGATTTTCTATGCACAAAGAATTGAAAAAATTGTTAAGATATTAGGTTTCTAGGTTGTTAGTGGGCTTGGGCTTATTTCTTGTACTTGACCTAATTATCAGTATGCATATCAGTATTAGGTTAGGATCATATCACAATACATTTCATCTATAATTCATTTTTTGAATTTACTACCATTAATTGTCTTTCTCTCTTTCTTTCTTCCCAATCCCTTAACCTATAATTATGACATAATTAATGTTCATTTATATATTCTTGCATGGATGGCACATTAAATTCATTTTCCCCCCAATATTCTGCTTTTATAAGTTTTGTTTTGTATTATGACGTTTTCATTGAGCTAATAGTAAAAGACAAGAAAATTGATAATAATAATTTGGTTGTGGCAGACTGGCAGTTAATAATATGAAGCATTACCTCTGAATACTCAAAATAAATTGAATTACTGAACACATTGTGTTTGTGTGTAGATGAATTGACAGTAGATAAGTCTATTAATGTACCATTTACATGATCTATTTACCTGGTTGTAGTAAAAAATTGTTTGGTTTTAGGTTCGTGTGGCATCTGTGGAAGCACTTGGGCAGATGGTTGGTCTTATAACTCGAACACAATTAAAGGCAGCCCTACCAAGGCTTATTCCGACAGTATTGGACTTGTAAGACTGATCTGCGACTCTGTATAACATTTCTAATTTTAGTTTCCTATATTCTCATTTAATGAGTAAATTCTCATGAGACTAGAAAATAGAACACACTCAAATTCAGCAGGTATTATTGGATAGATCCATATTCATCTTTTCTACTGTCAGGTATAAAAAGGATCAAGATATAGCTTTTCTGGCTACATGTAGTCTCCACAATCTGTTAAATGCGTCTTTACTCTCAGAAAGTGGCCCACCTATGCTTGATTTTGAGGTAATGAATATGATAACGTTGTTTAACAATATTTTTTGCATGTTGAATTTCTTTATTCTACTTCTGGTTCTTTGGTAATGTTTAATCAAAACTTACAATTTTTGTCCTTGATTGTTTTAATATCGTTTGAGTGATGGGAGAGTTACCGTGTTATTTTAGGATGTACTGGGAACATCTATTCTTGTCTATAAATTATAACTTTTAATTTTCTTTTAGGAATACTGTAGGGACAAACACTTATTTTTAGTTCTGAAATCTAATATGTACTTGCATTGCATCACCTTATGATCTTGGAAAAGGGGTGGTCGCTGGTTTTCAGTTGAGTGTTTGTTGTTGTTCTATTGAGTAATCTGGTCTTAAAAGCAATCCCCCCCTCCCTTCTTGTAGGGGGTAAGGGGAAAGCTTCTTTGGCATAGTGCAATATCTGTTTCTTTATTCCTCACCAATGAAATGACTTGGCATATACATTTTATCTTTTAATTCTTTTTGCTTATTTCTCACCATTGACTTGGTATACATCATTCTCTAATAAGAAAATAAATAAATAATGGATTGTACGTTAATGCTAAACTTGAGTTAGGGAAGAAAACTTTTAAGTCTAAGGGTTTTTGCTTGAATAGAAGTAAGACATAATATATGCATTGTAATTTTAACAAAAAATTAGATAAACATCATGCTTTGAAAGTTAAAATTGGAGATGATATAATACTACAAGTTTTCAGTTTTAGATAGTTAGGATTGATCATACAAAATAATTTTGGAAAAATTAATGAAGATTTTACTCACAAAATACAAGCTAAGTGATTAAAATAGAAAAAAAAAATATCAAGAGTTATTTGTATTTGTGGAGCACCTATCAAGATGAAAGAGAAGTTTTACCGTACTACAATACGATCAAATATCTCATATGGTAGTTAGTAAATGCTAGACCTTAAAGAAACAATACAAGAAAAAAATATGAGTGGTAGAAGTAAAAATGCTAAGGTGAATAAGTAGAAACATGAGAAGAGGCAAGATAAAAATGCTAAGGTGAATAAGTAGAAACATAAGAAAAGGCAAGATACGGAATGATAGTATATAAGAGAATATTAAAGTAACACTTATAATAAAAAAAATATTGAAAATCGTCTAACGTGGTTCGATCATCTACAAAGAAGAGTTAAGAGAATGAATTGCATAGCTTTTAGTCTGATAAAAAAGAGTCAAAGAAGATTCAAAAAAACTTTAAACGAAGATCTTAAAAGAGACATTTTGATCTACTAGATTTATAAAAATTTAATTTTTAATCTTGTTCAGTGACGTCATGTGATTCATATTGCCGAGTTCATCTAGTGGGATAAAGTTAGGTTGTTGTTGTAAAAAATGACACTTTTTGAGAAATTGGTTGGTTCTTCGGTTTTACTGGTTTCAGTGGTTCACCACTTATGTTTTGTGGTTGAACATCAGATGGCATGGTGTCCTGTAGATTGTGCTACCTTTTTTTTTTTTAAACACTGTTCATGAGTAATGCCAAATACCTGGCATAGTTATTTTCTTCTTCTTATGCTATAGGAATCACCTTTTCAATGAACTACTTATGCAGTTGACTATCTTGATTTCTCTTTGAAGCATGGGCACATTCCTAAAGTCATGCTGTATTTCTACGTAGTATATAACTTTATATCAGTACAGATGCATACTTCGTGTATAATTTGGATAGGCCAAAACTCATGTTGCAATTTATTAAATAAAATAGCATTGTTTTGCTGCATGATTTCCTACAAGCAGAAGACATGCAGTGGAAGGTCCTAGATATAGAAGATACTTCTCACATGCTCTGCCTATATAGTTTGATCATCCCCTTTCTCTTGTTTCTTTCCCAAAGTTTTCTCTCTTTTGCTGGCAGTTTTCCATAAATTTGTTCTTCAGTTCAACACCTCTAACATGTTGCTTATCCTCTATATGTTTCTGTGCCTTTATAGTTGTATCTTTAAATCTTTCTTTATCCTTGTACTGTATCTGATCAGGATGGTACCTATGCAACTTTATGAGCTCCATTTTCTAGTTTTGATTATGCACTTGCCTTTCTATAAGCTGTTGCTTTATCTGTATCTTGCTGGAATTTATTCACTTGAGAAATTTAAATAAAATTATTGTTTGCAGGATTTGACTCTTATTTTATCAACACTTCTACCTGTTGTTTCCATCAATAATGACAGCAAAGACCAAGCAGATTTCTCTGTGGGACTGAAGGTAATACTATTAGTTTCATTTGTTGGAAACTTGGAATTATTTGATTATGATGACTACTGTAGCATGTGTTACTGCAAAGTTTCAGCTTTTTTTTTTTTTTTTTACCAACCCTCATTTTCTAATTCCTTGAATTTTGGGATGCATGTCTTTTAGGTGTTTATTGATTATGTTTCATGTGTTCTTTCTGAGATTTTGTCATGATTTCTAACTTCTGTTTCTTGGAGTTCAGTTCCAGTTGGAGGCATAATGATTAGTTTACCTTTTTTTTTTTTTTTTGTGGTGTCTTTTACAATGAAAGTGAATGCTGATTTTGGCTGGGTAGGTCAGTGCAATTTGTCACTATTGTTTTGTGGAGATGTTCTTTGTCCATGGGATTGGTGTACTTGTCTTTGAGTTCGGGATAGAGTTGTCTCCTTAACTTCTGTATGGTTTAGAAAGAAAAGCTCCTCTAAGCAAGGAATGGAGTATTCACCTTTAAAATTTTACTGCTTATTAGTACAATTTATTTTAATGCTTGGCAATCTTATTCTAAGCGAATTTACAGATCAGAAAAAGCAAACCCGGTAAGTATACCCCTCCATTCCACATACCTAGAAAAATCTCATGCCACAATACCACATAACCATATCCTCGTCACATACCAAATTGTATTGCAAACCATGTATATTAGTTATAAATAGGTTTGTAGTAGATGCACAATGCATTTAGAATAAATCAACGGTGGAAAGTGGATGCATATATACTGCTCACTTTGAAGGAACCTTGTCCATTTAGATGGTGAGGTTTGTTATTCTTACTTTCTTTATGGGTTTGCTTTTAGCATATGCAAGGCTTTGGAGAGCCTTTTGAGTTGATACGTTTTGCTTTTGGTTTTTTTTCTTTTTTTTTTTTTTGGTGGATGTCATTGTAGGTTTTTCTTTGGCTTTGTACTAATAGTCTGTCTTGGATTGCATTGAGTTTCTTTTGGATAATGCTCCTTTAATATGATCTTATCTCTAAAGTGAATAAGGGTATATACACCTTTAATTCAAAGTGCATTATAATCTTTACCCTCTAAAATTCAAGGGGAGACACACCTCTATTTTCTCACTTTGCGACATTCCCAATGTAGAGGAGCTTTTTCCATTTCTGTTATCAAGTGAAAAAAGTTCAATATGTAATTTATTCAATTATGTGTGACAGATGTATAACGAGGTTCAGCATTGTTTTCTGACGGTTGGCTTGGTGTATCCAGATGATTTGTTTTTGTTCCTTGTAAATGTAAGTACATGAAAATTTGATAGTATATCTGTATGGTGTTAATTCTTGACAAAGTAATTTTTCTATCCCTTTTTTTTTTGGTTGATGGAAAATAAACTTTACTGTGATTAAAAGAGGAATATTATTATACCAGAGGGTAAATGGAGTGAATGAATAAAACATCAAGTAAACTTAAAAGTAATTAAATTACTAGAAGTTAGAATAAAAACTTCAAATTAGATGAAGGCATAAAACAATTAGTCTAATCCGGGGATGTTGTTTATTTTCTGTTTTCATTTTTTGTTTATATGTTTTCATTAATAATTACGAAAAATACTATCTTGTTTTCATTCTATTTCCTGTTTTCAAAATTTATTGAAGGAAATTTTGAAACCAGGAATCAAGATTAAAACAACGTAAAATTTGTATAGTTATTAAAATTTATCAACCAAAATGAAGAGAGAGAACAACCCAAACATCACTTTAGGGTGTGTTTAGTTTGCTATTTTATTTCATTTGATATGTTTTCACTAATAATTACATAGATGCCACATTATTTTATAAATTCTTGAAAAAAGAAAATGAAGTGAAAACAGTGAGACATTTTTGTGATTTCTACTCTTGAAGTTCCATTGATTATAGATATGGTGAAACAAGAGCTTTTAATGGCTAAAACAACTATGACCTTACGAGCTAGTTTTTGGAGTTGAGTTAGGCTTAGGTTCAAATTTAAAATGACGTCAAAGGATATCATAAATCCAGGAATGGGTCACTGTTGACTAAACTATAACTCCTTGATCTTACGGATTTTTTTAGTGCAATTAATCTAACCCTATGAACTTTTCAGTGCAACCTACTTAGACCCATGTCTTTTTCATTGCAACTTACTTGACACTGCAGCTTTCACTTTGCAATATTAAAAAAAAGTCAGTTTTACAACTTTCACGCACGAGATGCTTAATCTTAAATGTGAGTAGGTGTGTTGAAGATCCACATCAATTACAAATATGGCTAAATAAGAGATTATAAAGATTAAAACAATCCTCACCTTACGAGTTATCTTTTGAAGTTGAATTAGGCTCAAACCCAAATTTAAGACCAATGAAAACATGTAAGCTGAAAATAGAATACAAGCCAAAATGCCCTTAGTTTCTGTTGCTTGTTTCTTTAATTTAAAATATGTGTACAGTTGTTAGTTTGTTTGTTTCAGTTCAAGAGGGTATTTTATCAGTGATATTTTTATTCCTTGGTTCTCTTTTTTTATTGAAGCTTTTTCTTTTCCAAGGAGAACAAACAAGTTTTCTTTTTCTGGGAACCATATTTTTATTCTGTTTCTTGTGATATGATATTTAACTTATGCTTCTGCTGTCTATTGCCCCTTCTTCCAGAAATGCAGGTTGAGGGAAGAACCATTGACTTTTGGTGCACTCTGTATTTTGAAGCATCTTTTACCAAGGTTTCTACCTTTTCTTATCCTGACAATAATGGTTCATAATCATAATGATCTAGTATAAGTTGATCTATAATTCTTACTTTAAGGTTGGCTGAAGTTTGGCATAGTAAAATACCTTTACTAGTTGAAGCTGTAAAGTCCTTGCTTGAGGAGCAGAATTTAGGTGTTCGAAAGGCTCTTTCTGAGGTAATTCATCGTGAACTACTCTTCCTTTGTTGTTGTTTTTTACTATTTAACTAATACAATTTGTTTCCCTTCTCTAATGTCAATATCTTTTGGTTTCCTTGTTTGCTTATAGTTGATTGTTGTTATGGCTTCTCATTGTTACTTGGTTGGTTCATCTGGAGAGCTGTTCATTGAGTATCTCGTACGTCATTGTGCTATAACTGATGAAAACCGGAGTGATCTAGAGAGCACACCAAATAAGAGAATAGAGGTACCCCCCTTTTTTCCTCCATCATTACATAAGATTGCAAATGAAGTACATATCTTTGAATTACCATGATCTCTCTGATTTTTAGTAAAATAAGGTGTTACTTTCTATGTACATGGGTATATTTGTTATTTTCTTGGACATAGCAGTCCTCTTTGCTCCATTGTTTTCTGTATTTTAAGGAGAGTTTCTATGTTGATATCATTGGAAAGGTCCCTTTTTGAGATTTCTAGTCTCTTTTTTCCCTTTCAATTTAATGTTTATCCTCATTATTTTTTTTCCTCTCTTCTATCATTAAATTTCTTCTTTCATTTATGTACGAGAGTAATGACAAGAATCTTTCTGGTACAGTCCTGTAGTGCTTTTATTTTATTTATTATAGACCTCTAATTCTTTGTTGTTGTTTCTTAGATGAAAATTGGAACAGTTACTCCTGGGGAGTTAAGAGCAGTTTGTGAAAAAGGTCTCCTTTTAGTAACTATCACGATTCCAGAAATGGAGGTAAATTTACTTTTTTTCCTTACTGATTGATTTTTGTGGTAGTGATTTCACTTGTTTCCTGGTGCCTATTATTTGTTTTAGTTCTTTATGTACTAATCTTACCCAAAATTTTGAATTGATATTGAATTTTACAGCATGTTCTTTGGCCTTTTCTTTTGAGGATGATTATTCCACGGACCTACACTGGTGCTGTGGCCACGGTAAGAATTCTATTCATAGTAAAACTTCTGTAGAGAGCTTGATTCTCAGATGCTTGACTAAATTTATCCTCCATGTTGTAAGACTTGCAAATTTTATGGATATATGTATGCATTGTGAAAGTGAAGTTCTATTATTTCTGAAAGTATTTCCTGAAAAATTAGAAGACATCATTACTACTTTTACAGGTTTGCAGGTGCATATCAGAATTGTGGCGGCATAGGTCATATGGCAATGATATGTTGAGGGAGTGTAAAACCCGTCCTGATATACCAACTGCGGAGGTAGGATCTCTTTAATAGTTCATTTTATTTATAATTGTACTTTCAATTGTTAAAAAAAGTCATTCTTTGCTATATTCAGCACATATCACCTTCTTGAATAATTTATGATTGATAGGAACTTCTTGCCCGTTTGGTTGTGCTTTTGCATGATCCTCTAGCAAGGGAGCAATTGGCCACCCAAATTTTGACAGTGAGCACATGGCATCCTTTAATATTGCACATTTTTGTTTTATATTATTCTTTGATGTATTCTGTCAGATACATGCATAATTTGCTTTACAAAGTTTACTTAGATATAATGTATTTTTCTTGCTGTCAATGTTTAGGCTCTTTTTATTTAGATGTACGCATTTCCTTGGATAACATTATAAGTATACATATTTTTTTTAGGTTCTATGTCTTCTGGCACCTCTATTTCCCAAAAATATCAATTTATTTTGGCAAGATGAGGTAACATTTCGTGCTAAAATTTTATCTTATCAGATTTAAATCTCAGTTCTTTGTGAATATCTCTACCTTTTGTTAGATGATTAGAATCAGTGAAGTTTTCGGTTATAAGATATAAATTATTATTGTTCTCATGAAAATGCAGATAAACATTGATGAAGTTTTAGCTTGCTAGTCTCTTAACTGTGCAGTTGTTGATCCAAATACTGAGATCATAAATTCTTAATTGATGTTGGGCTTTTTAAACTGTTAAAAAGCTTTTGGATGAGGCAAACAGTTTAGCATCTCTGGATCAACAACATAATGTTATATCAAATGTTTCATCATAATTCTGTTTATGTAACTTATAAGTCATCAAAAGCTCATATTTTCATTTATAATATAGTTTGTCATAATATGTTGTGTTTTATTAGTTACAAGTTACAATTTTTAGATGGTTATTATAGATCAAAATATAATTAATTTGTGTATTTGGTAAGCTCTAGATTCCAAAGATGAAGGCATATGTTAGTGATACAGAAGACTTGAAACAGGATCCATCATATCAAGACACTTGGGATGACATGATAATCAATGTAAGTGTGATTGACTAGTCAAACATCCTATCCTCTCTTAGTTATATTGTTTAGAATTCTTGAATTTAAAATTTAGGTTCAATGAATGAGCTGTTTTTATTCAAGTGGGTGGAATTGCTTAATATGTTTGCAGTTCATATATTTCATCAATTAGGTTAAACGTGTTGCTGAAGGGGATCAAACATGTTTGAGAGTGGTATGATTATTTAAAAAAGGCTCAATGATTGAGAAGTAAATTAATTCTTGTTATGCAAAGCTAATTCTACTCACTTTCCTGTCCTAGACATTTTCCCTAATGTGAAATTCGAACATCTTTGAGCAAAAAAGTTTTATAATATCTCTTTATTCTTGGGCTGCAGTTTCTTGCAGAATCTTTGGATGTGATTCAAGACGCAGACTGGGTTATGTCTCTTGGAAATGTTTTTGCCAAACATTATGAACTTTATGCTTCTGATGATCAACATGCTGCACTTCTTCATCGGTATTAATGCTCTAGCCTAAAGTATGCTTTTGTAAATGCAATAGAAACATAATATTGTTAAATGTTGCTTCCTGTTGCATGAGAAGTTGGTTGCTAGTTTATGTTTGTTAAGATATCCCATATTGATTAATAATAGAACTAGAATACTCCTTATAAGGGTTGGACAACCCTCCTCTTATGACCTAGCTTTTGAGAGGGAGTGAGGCCCAAGTTTCTTAACATGGTATCAGAGTTTATTCAGTTTAAACATTGCGTTACCCAGAGATGTCCAATTTTGTAAATTTCACGTACCAGATGTCCAGTCCTGAGCGTGAAGGATGTGTGTTAAGATATTGGGCTGAGCAGCCCTCCTCTTATGAGTTAACTTTTGGAAGTAAGTTAGGTCCAAGTTTCTTAACAATGTTATTTATACAGAATGAGACAAATGAAATTGCATTTGTACTAACTATGATTCAGGTTTGCTACAAAACTTGAAATTAATAAATGATGATTTATTATGGTTTGTCTGTTTTATCCAGTTCTTTATTTTTTTTGTTTTTGATTTTCATTATAGTAAACATACCAATACTTTTTTTTTAAAGTCAGAATCAATGTTTAAAAACTGGTTAAACCTGGGTGAATCAGGGATAAGCCTGATCTGTTGTTCAACTGGTCTACCAATCAGGTTCTCTGGTTTTGAGTGGTTGTAGTCTTTGATGCATTTTTTGGTCTGACTCATACTGGTATGGGGTTTGGTTGGTATTTCGTCTGTTCATTGGTCCTGTGTAACTAGATTTTTAAACAGTAGTTAGATTGTTTGCATATGATTAAAGAAATCTTAAGTTTCTTATAATGTTTAAGGAACTTCCTGTTGTTTCGGTGCCTCATTGTTCTGTCTTTTTCCCCCCTCCTTTTGTTGAAGGCTCTATGCACTTTAAAAGCTTTAGGTTTATGCGCTAGGGAAATAAAGTTGATTTGGAGATGTTTTTTACTCTATCTCATTGATTTGGATTGTGAACTACCATTAAGCTAGGTGAAAAATTTGAGTTCTATTACCTTCTAAACAGTAACAGGCTGATGTAATTTTCTGGCAGATTGAAAATTCCATCCTAATTTCTACTCATGGAGTTAGGTTTCTCCTTTATCGCATTTTATTGAAAGTTGATAAGAGAAGAAATTAATTAATAGAAGATGATTACAAAGAGTAAGAAGGATAAGATATCCTTCTTACATAACAAAGAAAGAGAACAATGATATCATCAATGAAACAGAATTACCTGGTCTCTGCATATTGTTAAGAGAAATGCTCATAAAATGACTCTTGAAATTGTGGAGTTCTAGGTTGGAGATTGAAGGAAAATAGACTTTGGAGAATAATATATTATGTAATGGAATGTATTAAAAATGCATTGATGCATGTATAAAACCTAGAGCATAAATATTAGCTTCTTTCCTTCTCCAAAACCAATCAAGGACCTAGGGCAAACCCATCAATCTCAAAAAATGCCAAAATCAAATTAAAGAAACATTTGGAGAACAATTGGGGAACCAATCCTGTCCTTGCACCATGATATATTAGGTTAATGCTGCCCTTCTATAGATTAAAAATTGGGCATGTTTTTTATGGAATCTTCTAGTTTGTGATCAAAGTGACTGAAACAGCCTTGAACTAATGACCTATAACCTTTCAAGCAGTTTTTTATTTTTTCAAATCTGTACATAAGGGTTCATCTACTTCAGTATTTGTTTCCACTTTTTTTGGCACATCATCCATGGATACTCCAATTTGGTTCCCTCCATGCCTGCTGTTTGAAAATCCAAGTACCCATTATTTAAGACTGTAAAGTGTGTGAAAAATGATATTGAAGTTGAACACAGGTGCTTGGGGATTCTGCTTCAAAAGGTTAATGAAAGAGCTTATGTCCGTGATAAAATAGATTGGATGTATAAGCAGGCAAACATTGCAATTCCAACAAATAGACTTGGGTTGGCCAAAGCAATGGGATTGGTAATTTAGTCTCTTCTTTTATTTATTTGTTTTGAACTTGTCGGATTCATTTTCCTTTTCCTATTGATTCTTAACTTTCTTTCTATTTTATTAGGTTGCTGCATCCCACTTGGATACAGTGTTGGAGAAGCTGAAGGATATTTTAGACAATGTTGGACAAAGCATATTTCAGAGGTTTATGCCAGACTTGTAGGATTGAGTGAATTCACTTTTCTTTATGGATTGGTTTATCAGTTCAAATCATAAACCCAAACTTATGCTTATGAATATTCAATATAATATGTTGACAAATTATCATTTCTTTTTTTCTAACTCTATCCCCCTCACCCCCCTCTTGTACTTCATTGTGGTTTAAATGTTCAGAACCTTCATTTACTATGGTGTATTATATTGTCTTGTGTCTGGCAAAATGTTCTTTAATGAAATATTAATATTGACAGGATCTTACTGTCACACATATGATAACCTATCTTATCTCCTTTTATGTGTCTTGTTTTCACTTATTAAATGTTTGCAGTTCAATATATGTTACATCAAAGGTCAAAACGTCAAGTGTGTTTTCCATTTGTCGCTTATCAAAATTGTGCTCACTTGTAAGATGTGCTGCCTTCTAGAATATGTTAAGAAACTGTAACTTAAGCTTGTATGTTGCTATAGTATTAATGGAATTTTCTCTGTCACTGATGTTAATTTTAAATGGATATCAGAAACAGAGGGAATAGATGTACATGGATTGTCCTTAGCAGAAAAAGGAAAATACAGAATATGATAATAAGATTTTAGACTCTTCAAGTGATCTACTTCCTTCATTCCCAACTCTTAACTCTATCACTTGATTCATCTCCTGATCCCCTTCCTTCTCTTTATTAAAAGCCTTTTCTGTTGTTTTCAAAATCCCCTTGCTATGCAGGTTAGCTTGTTACAGCCCAAATCCCATTCTGTTCCTTACTACGTTATACTTAATCACTGTCTTGAGTCTCTTGCCTACCTTACCTTCCATGTCTTAAAATGCTTATTTTCTTTTTTAAGATTCAATTAGACTCAGAATTTGTCCTACCTATTTTTTTTTCTGTATTTCTTTGGTTTTGCATCAGAACATGACATGATTGTAGAGAGAGGGAGAGATCTTTATTTCCTTTAGTTGAACAAATACTTAGTTTGTATCAGAACATTACAATGTTCCTTAACTTATTCTTAGAATTCTCTTTTTCCTTTTCCTAAAGATTCAACTAGATTCAGACTTTGTCTGACCTGTTTGTAACTTTCATTTGTTGCAGGATACTGTCATTGTTCTCTGATAGTTTTAGAACAGAAGAGTCTGATGACATACATGCTGCTTTGGCACTAATGTATGGATATGCTGCAAAGTATGCGCCATCAACAGTTATTGAAGCCAGAATAAATGCCCTTGTTGTAGGTCATCTTTTTTCTTGGCTTTTGCTTGGTATTTGTGCAATAATCTTTCCTTTATTGTCTTGATTTATCTCTGACCAGCTACCAAAGGAATAAAATTGGTGTGTTTGGAACCATTCTCAGTTTTGTTTTTAAATGCAGTTTTATTGTATAATTTTGATTTCTGTTTTAAGAGCTTTTAAGACCAGTAGAATAAAATGTGGTTGGGATGATTTTATTTAACCAATAGCTTTTGGAAAAAAAAAAAAAGCAAATAACATTTTATTTGTTATTACAGTTTTGCCATTAATGAGAACAGTTTCATGAGTTGTTTCCCTTGTTTACGATGAAATCAGTTTTTACATTGTTTTTAGTATTTTGGCTTTTTGAAAACTAAAAGTATTAGATAGAAACAGCTCGAATCAGAGCCTAGTTTTTTCTTTAAACATCTCTTCTTGTTTTCTACATTAATCTTTAGTTGAAATTATGCTTCAAGAGTACAATGTTGTAAAACAAGTATAGGTTGGGTATCTTACTTCCTATTATTATTATTATTGTTGTTGTTGCTATTATTATTATTATTTTGTTTATTTGCTTATGTTTATAAAACAATGTTGATTTAAGTGTATTGTTTATCTGTGGGCAGGGAACCAACATGCTCTCACGGCTTCTTCATGTGCGTCACCCCAAAGCAAAGCAAGCTGTCATAACAGCTATTGATTTACTAGGTTTGTAGTTATCTTTTCAAAATTTAATTATCATTTATTCTCATTTTATCCCTTTCATTTTGTTGCTTCTGCTATTATTTTTGTCATTAAAACTTTTCCTAAATCTTCATTTTGCCACTTCATTGAAAATTTTGTGCGAAAAATAGACTGCTACCAAACGGTTAGAAAATGAACATTTGTGAAAGTTGTGGTTATTTTTCCCTACATATCATAGTGGTAAAAATTGTGGGATTCATGATTTGTATCAAATGGTACAATACAATTTGCTATGCAAATGTTACAGATGAAACAACTAATTGCACAATGACCAAAATTGCTGAATGAGAAATAGCCAGAGTAGTGATATGGTTCCGTGAATCATAGTGCTCTACTGATTCAGAATCCTTCGGTTTGTGCTGGGTTCTTAAAGTTGGGTCAAGGATGACTTGTCATGACGCCAAGTAAAAAAGATGCATTTTTTTGCAAAGGACAGAAGGGAAAAACACTATGTTCTGCCTAGTGAGAAAAGAAAACCTATTTTCTATGATTTGAAATTTAAACTAGAGCCCTTGGGGAATCAAAATCACAATAACAATTGCAATATCTGTATGCTCTCTTCTTGAGTGTTAAAAGCTGATTTTCTGTTTGTGTCACCTATTTTTGAGTGTTCACCAAAACTTCTCTAGTTTCAGATTAATGAATATAAATAATTGCTGATTTGGCTCTGTTAATTTTGTGAGCATGATGTAATTCTGATATTGCAGGTAATGCTGTCATTAATGCTGCTGAAAGTGGTTCGCCATTTCCGTTGAAAAGAAGGGACCAATTGCTTGATTATATTTTGACTTTAATGGGCCGAGATGATGATGATGATGGCTTTGCTGATTACAATGAACTTTTGCGTACTCAGGTATATAAAACTGAGTTAAAGTCACTAGTTAATTTAAGCTTGAGAATATGTTCCAATGTGTTTTATTGTATTAGGCCCTTGCCATAAGTGCCTGCACTACATTGGTCTCTGTGGAACCAAAACTAACAGTTGAAACTAGAAACCACGTAATGAAGGTATGAATGTTTTGTATGATTTTATGAATGTATAATTCAACATTTGGCCATCTGAGTTTTGTATTGAATTTGACAGGCCACATTGGGGTTCTTTGCTATACCAAATGATCCAGTTGATGTTGTCAATACCCTTATAGACAACTTGATTACTCTTTTATGTGCAATTCTTCTGACTGGGTAATTTAAGTAAAATGATCCATGTTGTTTATGCTGCTTAAGTTTCTGGTTTGTTATGTTATCTGTCCTTTTGAATATTATTTAATTTCATTTGTTGTTTTCTAATACTCTGTCTCATTTATTTTCATTGTTCCTCTCAATTAATTTTTTAATAGACAAAAAAAATTGTTGCTCTTTTCTTAGATTTGTTTTACTCCCTCTGGTCCTTTTTATGGGAAATAATTACCTGTATTTTTTAATCCTAAATAAAAAAAAAAGTCTCATTTTTCAGATACATTATTTACTAAATTCTTTTTAGACCCTTATTTATTATGAGATTTGTGTTAATGAAACGCTCAGTCATTACTAATATAAGTAAATATATTTATTCATTTGATATATATGTCACCATCTTGACCATTTAATATTATTACAGTATACATTTATAATATGTAGGTACTTTTAATTGGTTTTGATGAGTTAGTTATTTATTTCTTGTAAAAAGGACCAGAAGGAGTAGTTGTGTTCGGTGCTATCACTTCTGTAATTTATTGTTGGTGCTGCATCTTACACTTTATAAACATAATATCTTCATTTTTCATCTCTCTCTCTAACACACACACCCATCACTCAATATATCCCATTAATAGGTTTTTGTTCATGTGTTATATCATCCTGTGTATGTAAAAGTTGTACTGATTAGTAACATCATAATATTTAGTGGAGAGGATGGAAGAAGTCGAGCAGAGCTGCTAATGCTTATCTTGAGGCAAATTGATCAATTTGTCTGTTCCCCTGTTGAGTATCAGAGGAAAAGAGGCTGTCTTGCAGTCCATGAGATGCTTCTAAAGTTTCGAATGGTGTGTGTTAGTGGGTATTGTGCACTGGGATGCCATGGGAGTTGTGCACATAACAAGCAAATTGACCGTACTCTATATGGGAACTTTTCAAAGCTACCATGTAACTAAGTTCCATCAGACTGCTTTGAATTGCTTGTCTTTTTTATATTCTGAAGTGTATTTATTTATTTTTTCTACTGCCAGCTGCATTTGTATTGCCAAGTCGTGAAGCCTTGTGCTTGGGAGATAGGGTAATAATGTACCTTCCACGTTGTGCAGACACAAATTCTGAAGTCAGAAAGATCTCAGCACAGGTAAGTAGTACCTGACAAGTCTTGTCTCTGTGATACATAAAATGAAGAACCTCTCTGCTTAAGTACTTGTATAATTTATGCAATATTATATAAACTGCATGTCCTCTAGTGTTCACTTCTATTGAGAGGGCATTGCTTTCTTGTTCTTAAATTGTCCCTAATTATTTTTTTTTTGCAGATTCTTGATCTACTCTTTAGCATCTCTCTTTCACTACCAAGACCTGCAGGTTCGTCTATATCTGCTGAAGATATAGAATTGTCATACATAGCTTTATCTTCTCTTGAGGATGTTATAGCCATATTGAGGAACGTAAGTTCAGTGACCACATTGATTTATTACCTTCCTTGTTTTTCTTCTTGTTCCATCTTTCTTGCATTTTATAGTTGCAGAAAAATAAAAAAATGACGCAAATGATCTTGGTTTTCATGTGTGTATATACAGGATACCTCTATTGATCCATCAGAAGTTTTCAACAGGATTGTTTCCTCCCTCTGCATTCTGTTGACAAAGGATGAGGCAATTGTTCTTGGTTCTCTGTCTCTGTTTTGTGTGTGTGTTTAGGTTATAATTAACAATTGGTTGACACTCATGTACAGCTGGTTGCTACACTGCATGGTTGCTCCGTGGCTATATGTGATAAGATCAAGCAGTCAGCTGAAGGGGCTATTCAAGCTGTTGTTGAGTTTGTTATGAAGAGAGGGAGAGAACTGACTGAGATTGATATCTCAAGGTTTAAACCATAGTTAATTAATATACCAATGTTATGTTACTTAAGATGCCACCTTTGTTGCATCATCTTTTGACCTGGTAAATTTTGGCCATAAATTATGGTGATATATACTGTATTTGCTTACAGGACAACACAATCATTGATCTCTGCCACTGTGCATGCAACTGATAAGCATTTGCGTGTGGAAACTCTTGGTGCTGTATCCTTTTTATCCAAAACTTTAATTTGATACCTCTGAAGTGTCAACAGTGTATATTTTGTTGACCATCTTCTGTCACGTTTTTAACTTGTTGGAATCAACACAGTTTATATTATATGAAAGATGTTGTTATCTTCCTCTCTCTCTCTCTCTCTCTCTCTATATATATATATATATATATATATATATATGTATATATACACACATTATGTTGTTCATCCTTTACTGGCGAAAAAGATTTCTTCTTTGGCTGAAAACACTAGCCCAAAAACAGTTTTTGATGAAGTTCTGGCTACTGCTGGAAGGGATACAGTCACAAAGGATATATCTAGGCTACGTGGTGGATGGCCCATGCAGGATGCATTCTATGTAAGTCTGTCATTGTCTTTGAGAAAGAACTTCCTTACTCCAATATTATACAGATTGCGCCCTGTAAAATTTTAGTCTACAATTTACTAGCTCATAGCAATGATCAGATTGATCGATAAAAGGTCTATCTAAAATTGTTACATTCTATGTTGTACAGATATGGAAGTATGTTAGGCCTCACTTCGATAAAGATAGGACTTGGAAGGTGTATGTTTACAGATATAAAAACAGTTGGAGAGGTTATAACAGTTGTATAGGATTCTTAGAATAAGGGCAGTTCTGTTAGGTTGTTGGGTGGGTGGTTAAATAGAGGTAAGCAGTACAGAGAGGGGTTGGAGAAAAACAGGTTGTTAGCAGAAATGAGTCTGGGAACTCAATTGAGAAAAAACAACCCCTGTAAAGAATTAGTCTCCTGATTCATTCATCCTCCAATAACAGATAAACCATTCTTTCCTTACTTTTCCATTTTATTGTTACTGCACTCTTCTATCAGAATGGATGTTGATATGACACTGGTTCAGCACTGTTATGTTATTTTGTAATAAGTTATGATACAAGATTGAAGAGTTTCAAACTTTGGATCTGAGCTCATGGTATCTCTAGATTTGACTTACAGAGTTTACCTAATACAAAGTAATTCGTACTCTACCTATGACAGTATCCAAACATGCTACACTGTAGGTCTCTGTTAGGGATTTCTGTTGCTTTCAGTTGCCGTTACCTTACTGTTATACTGATAGCTGTTACTGTAGCAACTGCATTAGATGTCAGTTGTTGTTAGTTACAGTCTGTTTTCAGTTGTAAGAGCTGAACTGTTAAGAATTCTGGCAGTTTTAGAGCTTTGGAACTCAGACTGCTATTGGACCGATCGATCTTGTCATCTTTTTACTGCTCTTTGCGATTCTGTAACATAAACATTTTAATTGTTTGTGTTTATGATTCTGTGCAGTAATTTCACATGAATCTCGATGTTGGTCATGAAAAGGGAATTTCAAATTATTTTTCTTGCAGTTATTAAGATTCTTGAAGGATTAACTGTTTTTGAGTTCATTAAAAGAGTAATTTGGCTGTTTTTACCTGTTTGTTTTGTGGTAAAATTAGGGTTATCTAAAATAATTGGGACTTGGGAGTGATTATGAATTAGAATTCATGCTTTGGTTACAAGTCTATGCTAAGGTGCCACCGTGAGTCTTTTGGAAGGCTTCAGCATTGAAAGGAGTATGTGTCATGCATATATTTGAGGCTTGCAGAAGGAATAAGGATATATATGATGACAAAATGACTAATTTGAGAACTACTGAGGTGTAACGGAAGAGTTTTCCATACAACAAATTCACAGTAGGCTTGCACCAAGAGTTGATTTTGAGATAAATTTGTATCTTATTGGATACATGAATGGGCATATCCAAGAGCCAGTGCCTAAATGCATGTTATTTTGCGTATGATATACTTCTAGTTTGAGTCAAGAGGATGGGTAAATTATAAACTTCAGCTGTAGAGAAAGGCTTTGGAATGAATATCATTTCCAACAAGTAGAATTAAAGTGCAGTATATGGAATGCAAGTTTGGTATCACTAGAGGTGCACCATTTTGGTATCTTGAATCCATCCTACAAAGTGATGAAGAAATTGATGAAGTTTGGTCATGTGAGAAGCAGACCAATAGAGGCTCCAGTAAGAAAAGTGGATCACATTTACATGGAAGATATGATCATTAAAATGTGTATATGAAGTCCAAAGAGAACAACAGGAGAATGAGAATTCATTAAGAAGGCCGTTCTAACCCAACAGCACCAATTAATCCAAATAGCTAGACCAACTGGGTGGTGGAATAAATCTTGGTGGTTGCTGTGTAGGATTTCTGCTTGCCAGATTTGAGATTGATTGTACAAAAGAGCAATAGTGTTATGATTTTACAGTTCTTTCTCTTTCTACTGACACTTTTCTTGCTGTTTGTTGCTTCTTGTCAAGAACCAACTATCCATAGGCTTAACTTGTTAGATCACACATGAATGGTTGTATATTACATCTCTAACATGCCCCCTCATGTAATAGTCCTTTGGTCATAAAGACTAATATTATGCCACGAACAAACAAACCTAGAAGCATAGGCAATAAGGTGTAGATACATGAATGATTTTAAATTTTATAGTTCATGTCTAATGCAGTAACACTTATATCCTTCTTCAGATACCGTTATATGATGTTTGAGTTTCATATTGTCATCTATACCCTTATTTGAAGAATATCTTTATATTATTGATTTATGGAATACAATTTTTTCCAGGCATTTTCTCAGCACATGGTATTGTCGGTATTGTTTCTAGAACATGTGATATCTGTCCTTAGCCAGATTCCTATCCTTAAAGGTGATGTGGACAGAGTTGATGAGAGCCAGGTTGATAATCATACAGAGGATGGTAAACTGCAAGCTGCAATTTTTGCTCTTACAGCTTTCTTCAGGTATGTTGTTATCAGCTTTTCTTTTCCTTTTTTTTTTTTTTTTTTTGTATTTAAGATATATAAGTGATCCAACAATTTTACAACCTTTGATGCAGAGGTGGGGGAAAAGTTGGAAAAAGGGCTGTTGAACAAAACTATGCTTCTGTTCTTTCTGAGCTTACGCTGCAACTTGGAAGCTGTCATGGTTTAACCTACTCTGGTCAGCCGGAACCATTACGGTGAGGATCTAGCATTATTACTTTTATGTTGACAGCCACATTTGTGCTGCATTGTGATGGGGAAATGTTACGTTTTGAAATGTACAGTTGGTTTTTTTTTCTTTTGTATGGTTTTTGAGTGAGATTAGGGAGATATATAAATCTGTAAGTAAACACGTTAATTTTTATGTTCTGACCCACCATCCTTTTTCTAAGACATAGCATTTTAGTCTTATGATTTAGTTGGTGTCTTTAGCGGATGAACATTAAAACAAATTCAGGGATATATATATATAAGTAAATATAAAATTTTTAAACAAAATTGTTATTTGCACAAACAATAGCCACTGTACTTGTGAATCCTATTTTAATTAATCTTTTATCTCCTTTTGCAGGAATCTTCTTACTGCATTTCAGGCATTCTGTGAATGTGTTGGTGACCTTGAGATGGGCAAGGTAGACAAACACTTAAAATTGCTCCATTTTAGGGATGTAAGATATGGTCTTGTAAGCAAACTGATATAAAACTATTTCTTTATCCAGATTTTAGCGAGAGGTGGGGAACTTTCTGAAAATGAAAGGTGGATTACTCTTATTGGAGACATAGCAGGTTGCATATCTATAAAGCGACCAAAAGAGGTAATATGATTTCTAATATAATCCTGCTATTGGATATATGCATTAGTTTATATATTCAAATGAATACATAATTATATGAGAAAAGAAAAATGCTGATAAGATGTTGGAGTAGCTTCAGTATACATTGATGAAATTGTAGATATCATAACTTTATGCTTCCTTTATCTGTTGTTGGTGTTGGAGATGTAAATCACACCCATTTTTGGGAATTCTCTGACAGCTCAAAGTTTTCTCTTTTATGATGATCAAGTTTTTGCATGGTTATCACAAATCATAAGCTCTTTAATCAAGTGGTTGCGAGTCCAGTCCTTGCTGTCCTTATTGCAAGGGGGGGTATGCATGTTGGAAATATATGAATCAGAACCACATTTGAATCCTCTCTCAACAACTTATGCTTTTACGTTTAAAGTTTTGATTTTTAAAGAAGGTTATTATAATTATATCAATTGATTGTGAAGCCATATGTATGGCAATATTTTAGTCAGTCTCAATAATTTAATTTTACAAAGTTCAGTTACAAAGAATGTTTGGAACAATCTGTTTGGTGTCAATCAGCAATGGCCTGCTCCCTAGTCACAAAGATTTCCTTTAATTCAGTCCGAGTGTTTGTGAGAAAGGAGGAGTATGCAAATTGCATGTGTGGAGAATTTGCAGCTTAATGGAGCATTTTTGATAGGTTAAAAAATGTATATAGTAGGAGAAAAAAGGAGAATAGTTGAAGAATCGAATATCAAGCTCAATATGAAACAATGCCTCTTTATTGCAGAACCCTAATTCCCAATGCTACACCAATATGGTCCGGATTAGGAATAGGAAGAATTACACAATTGCACTGCCCTGAGGTAATTCGAGATCTCACTCTCCAAATCCGCCAAGTTCTATTTCAAAAAACTCCTCTCCCTAACTAGTCTTGAGCTCTTATTATATTGCTAAAAAGACGAGTCCTGACAAACTGAATTAGTTAGTTACAACTTATGATTCTTCAACTAAAAGAGACATTCTTTCATATTGAGTTTGATATTCGATTCTATCAACTAATATCAAAGCCAGGTGGGGAGTAGAAACAGAGGTGCGGCCTTTAGGAAATTGACAGATGAAGAAATGCAAGATAAGATTAGAAAGGGATTATGATTTTGCTGTGACAAAAAATTTGGCCCAACCATGTATCCAGAAATAAACAATTAGACATGTTTCTCATAGAGGAGGAGGAACCAGGAAGATCAGAGGAAGTGATGGGGTGAGATGGGTAGAAGAAGAAGGCATGGAGCTGAGAAAACACTGCAGATATCTCTGTTGATGATGACTGGTCTAACTTCTAGATATTCTTGGAAGGTGTGGGGAATGATAAGGGAGGAGGAAGTGATAGTCTTGATCGATTGTAGTGCTTCCCACAATTTCATATCTACTGAGTTGATGAGAAGATGCAATTTGGTTAAAGAAGAAACTCTTCCATATGTAGTTGAAGTAGGAGATGGACATAAGGTAGAGTGTCAAGGGGTTTGTAGAGGCCTTATGCTGGATTTGCAGGACTTAAATATTACTCAAGATTTCTTTATGTTTGAGCTCGGGGGAGCAAATTTAGTTTTGGGGCTTGAATGGTTGGCTAGTTTTAGTTTGAGGGAGGTTAAAGCTGATTTTGGCAAGTTGACTTTGACAATTGGGAAGGGACAGAAACAAAGAATTTTAGGAGATCCAACCTTGTACAGAACCAAAACCTCAATGAAGATTATGATGCAAGAATTGAAGGGAAGGGGAGACGTATATTTGGTGAAATTAGTAGAAACCTTCTCTTCAGAGAAAACAGTGGCAATTCCTGCAGTCATTGAGGAAGTGTTGCAGCAATATAATGAGTTATTTCAAGACCCAAAAGGTTTACCTCCCAGCAGAACCATGACCATGCTATACATTTGAAGGAAAGGGCATCTATACCTACTATAAGACCATACTGGTATCTCACTATAATAAAAATTAGATTAAGAAGCTAGTACATGAGATGCTTAAGGCAAGGATTATAGGACCTAGTATTAGTCCATATTCTAGCCCTATTATTTTGGTGAAAAAGAAGGATGGGAGGTAGAGATTTTGTGTAGATTATAGGGCTGAATAAGGTCACTATACCCAATAAATTTTTTATTTCCATCATAGAAGAGTTATTAGATGAATTGGTAGGAGCAACACTATTTTCCAAGCTGAACTTAAAATCTGGTTCATTGGATTTTAATTAAAAAAAGATGTGGAGAAGGCAGCTTTTCAGACACATGAAGGCCACTACAAATTTCTGGTGACACCGTTTGGATTGACTAATGCACCCTCCACTTTTCAAGTTCTCATGTATATAGCAGGAGAAAAAAGGAGAATAGTTGAAGAATCATAAGTTGTAATGCATGTATATAGCAGGAGAAAAAAGGAGAATAGTTGAAGAATCATAAGTTGTAATTAACTAATTTAGTTAGTTAGGACAGCTAGCCCTTTTAGCAATATAAATTAGAGCTCAGGAGGAGTTAGGGAGAAGAGTTTTTTGGAATAGAACTAGGCTGGTTTGGAGAGTGAGGTCTCTTGAATTACCTCAGGACAATGCAATTGTGTAATTCTTCCTATTCCTAATTTGTAGCACATTGGTGAAGCATTTAGAATTAGGGTTCTGCAATAAAGAGGCATTATTTCATATTGAGTTTGATATTCAATTCTATCAATTTTGCTAGTGGAACAAAATACAATAATTTTCAAGAATTAGTTTGGCTTATGTTGGGTTAGGATAGGTTTTTATGGCATCAATGAAATACAATAATTACTTTAGCTGATTGTTTAGAATAAAGTGGTCTGTTAGTTTGATGCTAAATTGTAATTCAGTTTTTCTTCCCTTTTTCCATAGCAGGATGTCTTGTCCTCTCTTTTTCCTGTTTACAGGTTACTTCTTTTAGCTCAACCTAGTCACCTCCCTACCATTTTCCTACACAAATAATGAGTCGGTTGATATTTGGGCTAAAAGAATAGAAGACATGCATGAAAGAACCTGTCTTACCCCCAACATTGATTGCAGTTTTATTTTTACTGTGAACATATCTTGCTTTTGACCTGCTTTATCAATTTCTACCGATAAGATAGAAAAAGGTGTATCATTAGGGATTAATTGCTTTCCTTGATAGCTATTGAGTCAAAGTTGTATGCTTTGTGAACACAATTGCTCCTTAAATAAATGTTCTCATTATATGAAAATTTTGACAAACTTTCTTGTCTTGTTGGAATCATAGGTACAAAATATCTGTATATTTTTGAAAAAATCATTGGATCGGCCCCAGAAATATCAAAGGGAAGCTGCAGCTGCTGCATTGTCAGAATTTGTTCGTTATAGGTGCGGGTATAGAATAACAATAAGTTACCTACCATTCATGTTGAAATGTTTTATTAAGGTCCCACTTACTGTTTTTGGAAAAACATGCCTCTTTTAATTCAAAAATGTTTTTTAAAATTTTTTAATTTATGTAAGCTTTTGAAAAAAAAAAGATTTTATTTTTTTCACAGAGATTAAAAGTAGTAGCTGATTAAAAAATAATAGCTCTGAAAAAGGATGCATCAGTAAATCACTTTTTTTAAAAGAAAAAATTACTCAAAATAAAAGGGCCCTAAATATTGCTTGTTCTTTCAGACAATTGACATGTTGCTTTTCTTTCACTTATAGCTATGGGCTGCATTCTTCAATTAATGAGATGAAACTATATAAACAAACAAAATGAATTTATTGGAGTAATTTTTTGGAAATGATCATTGTCTGTATACTTGATATTAAAGTTCAAATCTGAGCCCTTATCTTTTTACCTTGGAATTGGATGTGCTTATCTAATAACTGGTGCCATGATGCATGCTTTTTAAAGATGATACGGTCCTATTTGAGTAAACTTTTAAATAAGTGTCTATAGGGAAAAAAAAGTAAAATAAGTAAAATTTATTTCTTTTAATAATTTTCTTTAAAGTTCTTTTGGTTCCTTTGATCCCTTTTTATTAGTTTGATAAATATTTTATAATCACAAATAACTCTTGATATCTTTCTTCACTTTAGTCATTATTAATTTTTTTATTGTTCTTTAGAATCCATCCCAAATACTTACTTTTGGAGACCTATGATTAAAGCTTAGAGAAAATTTTTCTACATAGCTATAAGACCTGTGATGTTGTATAGAAATGAGTGTTAGACAACAAAGAGCCAATAATATAATAAACTCAATGTCGTTGAGATAAGAATGTCGTGTTGGATGGGTGAACAGTAGACAAGATAGGATTAGAATAACTGCATTAGAGAAAAAGTTGTGTCAGCACTTAATTAAAAATTATGGTGCAATTTTGCCTTTAGTGGTTTAGATATGTGTCAAAACAACTGATAGAAGCCCTAGTTAGAAGAGTGGATAAAATGGGGGATCGCTTTATCACTATTGCTAAATGGAGACTGGGAAAAAGTATTGGCAAAACCAAGATTTAGTGATCAAAGGTATGTCTATAGACCTGATTGACTATAGAACAACATGATATCAATTGATTCATGTCAACAATCTCACCTAATAGAAAAAAGTTGTGGGTTTATTGTATACTAGGCACTAAGGGTATATTTATATGTCCATAACCAATTACTTTTAATTATCAAATGATACATGGGTGCTGCTGACTTCATTGACAATCTTTGTTTGTTTAGTATTTGATAAATATATAAAATCATACGTGGTTCTCCACACAATAGTTGAAAGTTCTGAGAGTATTGTACCTTGTTTTGCCTTTTATTCATTGACAATAGATGTTTTACGCATTATGAGGCAATTTTTTGTGAAGGAAAAATTTTACCTACCTTGAAATGCCCAATTAGAGTGCTTCTTAGGGGTGGTCATGGATTGGATTTGCACAAAACAAATGCAGATCCATTTTAAATCCAATTATATGATTAGATTTTAAACTAATCTATTTTATTTTTTAAAAGGTCAGTTTAATACTGATTTTAAAATTTGAAATTGGTTTAAAACCAATTTTAAATCTGATAAAATATGCTATAATTTTTTTATACTATTATTGAATTATTATATTAAAAATAAAAAATTTATAATAATTAATATAAATTTATTTTATTTATTATAATGATTTAAATATTATTTTAATCTTTGTACAATTTTTTATTTTAAATTTATTATTTATATAAAAATTATAAATAAAACTTAAAAAATTATTTTTGAAATAGTCCTTTCTATTAATTTTTGCAGTTATATTATCTCATATTTTAAAAAAATACACACATATATATTATTGTTATTACAAAATTTTGTGTTGAGAATAAAATATTTAATTTAATTTAAATTGGTGCCATAGCATGAGGTCAACCACGATCTTGAGAATCAAAGAATGCATGAGTTGGCTGAAATTCTGATCCCCTTAATTCGCTATTTAATTCCATTTGGCGGGCCCCACTCATTGTAATATGAAATCTATGTAAAGGATGGACCAAAACTGGTTTTGATAAAAGTAAATCTAGTTTTGTAAAATGAAATTCAAATTATGTCTAGACCTAACATAAAGTGGACTGGGTATCTCATTTTTTTTTAAAATTTGGATTTTTAAATCTAGTTTAGCTTGGGTTATAGATTGGACCTCTAGATTTCCTAGTGCTTCCATTACTTTGATTGTTGGCAGGGAATGAGTCTCCACAACCCAGTAGTTAGCAGTTTTGATCCTTGCTGGCTCTGTTGTTTCTTGGTAATTAAATTAAATTTTTGCAAAGCAGGGTGAGGGGGATGTGTTAGAAATATAAAACCCTTTTTGGGCCCTCACCTGATTCCCTAAGCAGAAGAGTCAGCATTGATATGTTTCACTTTTTAACTTTTAACAATTTGGTATTGCAGTTTATTCTCTTTTCGTCATAATAATTAATAACCTTTTTTTTTTCTTTTGGGACATATCCTGACTTTTGAGTTGAAGTTCTCATTGATTTCCATCTTCAATTATACAGCGGTGGACTCGGTTCACTTTTGGAGCAAATGGTTGAGATTTTATGTCGGCATGTATCAGATGAGTCTTCAACTGTTAGGCGATTATGTTTGCGAGGATTAGTACAGGTCTCATGTTTCAACCTTTGATATTTTGTCATGACTCCTGTAACCATGGTTTCTTTGTTTTCAATTACTATTATTTAACATGGATTTAACTGTGGTAAATGCTTTGTTGCCAATTATCTGCTTTTATTTTTCCAAATAATTGATTTTCCTATCTAAAGGGAATTTGCATCAGCACCCATAACTTCCTGTTCATTTATCTTGAGATGAGAATCAACTTTTTACTTGAAGCATTAATGTGTAAAAAACTTACTTACATCAAACAAGCTGCACAATCACTTTAATTATTTATAAGCTCGTTTGTTGAATGTATTGCAATCTCACTAATGTTTGTATATGATAATTGTGCATCTGATATGATAGTTGAGTTGTGCACATATGTTTTCATTTAGATTTTCAATTCTAAGGAGATCTTTATTCCCTTTTACATTTTAAATTGACATGTCCAATATTGAAATTCGCAGATCCCATTGATTCATATTCTGAAGTATACAACTCAAGTCTTGGGTGTTATATTAGCTCTGCTAGATGATTCTGATGAATCTGTACAATTAACTGCAGTATCATGCTTACTGATGGTGAATTTTTTAACTCCTATGTTTAATTGTGTTTAATTTTTCATCCATTCTAAATTCAGTTACTTTATTTTTTGGCTTGCATAGATTCTCGAATCTTCACCTAACGATGCAGTTGAGCCTATTTTGCTTAATCTTTCAACACGGCTTCGAAATCTTCAGGTGCATCGAATTACTCTTCAATGTATCATTTATTTTTTTTACCTTTTATTTTATTTTAAAGCGGCAACAAGCATCTTCTTTCTCAAAGTCAAGTTTCTCGCTTCTTGCTTTAGAAACACTTTAGTTTTCAATAAGTTTAGGCTTGACTAAGAACATAGAAATTTGGAATCAGGGTGCGCAGGTTTGGAACCCTATACAAAGGGCCTTTCCCTTCAAATGACAATTGCCTCTTCCTGCTGCGAAGGCCTTGCACGAAACCAACCCTCCCACCCCTGATCCAGTACCAGTAGTTTTGCTGGTAGGCCCACTTAGGTTAGGGAGGCATTGTCCCTCAGTTCTTACCAACCTCCTGTGTGTAATTGACATGTTGCTAAAAAGAAAGGGGGGCAGGACTAGAAATCTAAAATATTTTTATTGTTAAACCCGGTAGTTTCTGAAAACTAAAATCATATTCGTTCTTTCTTACTTTTGGAATTAAGAGTACAACCCTAGATAAAACTCAAACCTTACCAATGTGATTCAAACTTATTTTAACTAGGAATTAAGATTTTGATATCATGAATGGTTGTCAGGTAAGCTTCTAAAAGATTTGTAGGAATATATGCAAACTGTTGGAATGAAATTGATAGAATTTAGTGTAATGAACAGTATTAGGCTAGTAGTTGTTACTGACTTGTAAGTGCTTAGTGCTGGTTCACTGAAATTTAGGTAGGAGTTGATTCCTCTTGTAATTTATGCTGTACATGGTTTAAATATTTATTGATGTGGACTTATTAGACATTTTGTTTTACGTTAAACTCATCTAATATCTGGTATCAGTGGTTTAAAACTTTAAATACCCTTCACACCACTGTGCTTCACTGTGTTTTTTACTTTATGCCTGTGCAATTAACCGCACCTCTACTGGGTGCAATTTTTCAGCAACCTCAGATTGACCGCAAAACCTGCCAACATAGCCTAACCTTTGACAACCTGTTTCCTCCTGCATCCGTATGCATCTCCTATGTACATGTTTTACACACTGTGAACTTTTCTCTCCACTTTCATTTCGTTTTCTCTATCTGTATTGATTCTGAACAGTCCAGAGCAACAAGGATAGGAAAAATTACACACTAGTAGCAATTACACAATATAGCAAAATCTCTTGCAATAGGTGCAATGAGGATAAGAGAGTAATTATCATGGCAACCTCCTACCTGTTCAACCTGGTTGCTGGATTGAATAACCAGCACAGATGGGTCAACAAGTGCAAGGGGAACAAAACTTCTAAGTTGTTGATACAAAATAGTTTTTCCAAGTTAGTTTCATATAACTAAACTGAAAGACTAGACTAGAAATTCTCTGATTGCAGATAAAGTCAAATGGAGAGCAGACCAGCAACAGCAAGAACCATGAAGAACTTTTCTCATTGTTTGGCATGTTTGTGACTTTGTTTGCATTAGCAGTGAAGGACACATAAAGGCATCAAAAGTTCATCAATCAAACTGCCTAGCTTATTCAAATAGGACTACATATCCATGCATTGTCTCTTAATTACCATTAGGCTAGAAACAATGTTGTACTGGCAGTTGACATCATTTGAATTTATTCTTGATCTTGGCCACATCATAGCATCTCTATCGAGAGAGATATGGGGATTGATCATTGAAGTTTAACAGTATTGAAAATCACAAGACATTACAGAGAGAAGCATCAATTTCTTTCCACTTGGCTAGGTCTATGGTAGGAATATTCTTGGCTTGTTTGACAAGAGGTGATCAAGATAGCTGTTCTCTTCCCACCAATTGGTCACATGGGATCCAGGGTACATATGATAATGGCCAAAGATGCATCACATGTTGGTCTGGGTCAAGATTAGGGCTTAAAAGCTGCAGTGAAACACACAAAGGTCTAGGTCAGGGGGTGAGGGAATAGGTGTCATGAACAGTTTGCATTTCAGAGAGAGGATGGAAATGGGTTATTTAGTCAATCTAGAGTAGGAACACGGAGGTGAGGTTGGAAAAGAATGATAACATGGCTAGTGGGGTTGCCAGAAAAATATGATGGCAGGAAAGGCATTATAAGCTCACATGCTGATGTGTGTTTTGTTCCCTCCAGTATACTAAACATTGTTCCAAATAGTAGTACCTTGCTGGAAACGTTTTGCCATGATACTAGTAGCAAGGACCAAAACCAAACTCTTTAAAACTATAGGGGACCAAAACCAAAATTGGCATATGCTGTTGAGACGAAAAAATATATTTCAACCTTTAGATTATCATAGAAAATCTTTATTGATTGTTTCCTTAATTACATAGCTAGTCTTATTGGTAATTAAGTTTGGTCTTGTATTATTAAAATAATAGTATTTGACCTTAATTTAGTATAAAAAAGAGCATCAAGTTAAAATATCGGAGATATATCTTTTGTTAACTTGAGCCATCTTTATCTCTTTTCCTTCTTTTACGCTACACCTATTAATGTTAACAAGAAGCCAATAGTGGGCTGTGTCTTTATCTAAAGTAGGAATTTATTGTACCTAGCTATAAATTAAAGATATTTTATTGTTGCTATGTAGTTTTCTGTTTATCCTCCCTTAATTTTACTAATATAATTTCTGTTCTCTAAAACAATTACAGATTAGTTAATCTAACTTGGGAAATACTTACCACCATTTGTTTAAAAAACAGACAAGCATGAATGCAAAAATGCGAGCCAGTTCTTTTGCTGTATTTGGAGCACTGAGCAGCTATGGAATCGGGGCACTGAATGAGGCATTTGTTGAGCAGGTATGTTGCCACCTCTGATTGTTGTCATTTTTTTCTTTTCTTTTTTCCTTGTAAATTATGAACTTAGACATAAATTGGTAGTTTTCTTCGGTTCACCAGCAAAACCAACATGCAATTGATGGTTGTCAAGAAGGAAACAGCAAAAGGCATTTATTTTTTTTAACATGGAAACTTGTTCCATGGGGGGCTTACTTTCATAGGTGTAATTTGAAAATTTTTCTAACATTTTCCATTTTTGATTCTTTACTATTAGGTGACAAAACTAGGATATAGTAATCTTACAAGGCCTGTTCATTTATTAGCAGTTTGGTTAATTTAACAAAATATTATCAAATATAAATTTGGTAAAAGCATAAAAAATAGGTGGCCACATTTAAACTTGTTGTCTAATAGACTATTTCCCAATGGGGTGCCATCCAATGATTCCTAAACCCAGCCATACTAAGGCCCAGATCTAGCTTCAATGCCCCAACATCTCCCTTCTCTATCTCCTCAACTAATATCCAAATACAAAATTTCATTTTTATCTACTATGTAATGCTACTAGAAAGTTTTGCACTGATCTGTTTACTTGACAGCTTCTGACTTCTGTGTTTGATTTTTCAGTCTTTACACTCTAGTTCCAATATAGGACTAATTTTTTTTTACCCAATAACCAAATTTGGAAAGTTCAACTGGGTCACTTTAGAGATTCGTGAAGTTCTTCATTAACTATCAGTGAACTTGTGAACCAAAATAAAGGAAAACAAAAAGACAACCTAAACTATAATGTATAGCCTTCATGTAGCTACATGTATCTTGTTATATAACTGGTGCCAGCATATGCAACAAGTTCACATATACTTAATTTCTTCAACCAAGCTGGGCAACTGAACTGATGTTTGTCATATATAAGCTTCTCTTAATATTTCAGAAAGCTCATTCCATGTCAATGATTGCTTTCAAAAGGTACATGCTGCTGTTCCTCGCCTGGTCTTGCATCTTCATGATGAAGATATTAGTGTCCGGCTAGCCTGTCGGGTAATCAGCCACACACACACATATTTTTTCAAATTAAGAGATTTGTAAAGAAACTTTTAACATGGTAAATCATTTCTTTTGAACATACTGACTGATAGAACACGTTGAAACGAGTCTGCCCACTGATGGAAATTGAAGGACTGGTTGCCCTACTAAATACCCAGACTTTCCTTTCTGATCATCGGTATGGGTTGACTGATCTTAAAATTACTTTGTTTTATCCTTTGGGAAAATATGACAACTGGCTTCTTTTTGCGTCTTTAGAAGTGACTATGAGGACTTTCTCCGAGACATTGCAAAGCAATTTACTCAGCATCTTCCCTCCAGAGTTGATAGTTATATGGCGTCAACAGTGCAGGTTCTTATTCATACTGTGTTAGCATAAAATCAATCTGTTATTATCTAATTGCAAGATATAGGACTTGAGTCCCGTATCAAAAGTATGAAATTTTAGTATAAGGTTTATTAGACCTTGAATTCTTCAACTACACCAACTAGGCTTTGTGATGTGGTTTTTCCAAAGCTTTTATCATAGTCAATTCTTTAACCGATTGAGATCATGTGTGTATCAGCTTATTTTGTTTTCATTATGACTTATAGTCAAAACTTAATCTGAACATTTGAATTTTTTTAAGTTAAATTATATTTTTGTGTACTCTTGCTTTTTGTTATAGTTCCTACATAAAATTACCTTACAATTTGGTCCCCAGCGTTTATTAAAGTTATAACATTAGATTATTTTTCATGTAGGGACTAAAACAGAAAATAGTATGTCATGTGTAGAGACTAGAATGTAGTGTGTTTTATAGAGTAAATACCCAATGAAATCCCTTAAATTTCAAGTGTTGATCATTTCAGTTCTTGACTCCTGACTTTATAAAAATTTGATATTTTAATCTCACTATACAATATTCATTTTAGTCCCTTTTAGTCTCTGCATTTGGTCCTTTATGATTCCAAAAGTTGAGAAATTTCTTTTATGTATATAGTTCAACTAATGAGCATGATTTTTCAATTGTGGCTAGCCTTCGGATTGTTTAGGATAGTAGGATAGAAAAAAGCCAATATATCTTGGTATATTATCTTGTTAAGATTTTACATGGACTACAGATATCGCCATAGTAGAGTTTATCAAGGCTAGAACAGTCTTACTTCATCAGCTAGCTTTTGGAGTTAAGCAAGGATTGCCCTAATTCAATATATTTTATTTATGCTACAATTTTAGCTGGATTTTCTTTAAGTGTACTATACTTGATTTTTCCCCATTTGTGAGTAAACCTGGAATAATTCTACAAGGCCGATAGAAAGCTCAACCCTATACTTTGTGGACATTTTTCCATCTGTTTAAATCGAAGGCCTTTAGAATTTAGTTGTTTACTTTCTTGATGAGGCAGGCTTTTGATGCACCATGGCCCATAATTCAGGCAAATGCTATATACTTCTGCAGCAGCATACTCTCTCTATCTGACAGTCAGCATATTTTAGCTGTCTATCATACACAAGTAATTTCCATGATGTACTTTCAATTTTCAAGCATTTCAGCCAAAACTGATGTTTCACCAGATTTGTCTGTATCTTCTTCTAGGTCTTTGGTATGCTGGTGGGGAAAATGAGTCGATCACCTGATGCTGTTGTTAGAGCAACATGTTCTTCTGCTCTGGGGTTGTTGCTAAAATCGTCCAATTCATGTTCATGGCGACCAGTTCATCTTGATCGGTTAGACTCAACATTGAGGAACCATGATGCAGAATCCACGAAAAAACAAGCAACAATTCAAGAATCATGATTAGTCAAGAGCAGTATTGCTTTTAACAATAATAGTGTGCTGCCCTGCTTATCCGTGGAAGGATAATGTGAAAGTTACCTGGCTGGGTGTAGATCCCGTTGTCCTTCGGTACATGTACAGTGTTTGGTGTTAGCAATCACTTCTTTTGTATCCTATCCATTTTTTCCAGGTCTTTTGTTGTAAAGCTTGAAATAGACCTTCGATTTCTTTCTTTTTCTTTTTACTTTTTAGATGTACATTCATGTTCCTTATGATTGTGTATATTGTTGTATATTAATTACACTTCCATGAAGCATCACGGAAGAGATTTTTGTATTTTTTTTAATAATATTTTGTATAATTTATCCTACTGTTTTGGACATTTGGATGAGATATAATATATCCTACAACACGTAGTAACCTACTATAACCTTTGTCCTGATGGTTTTTGGGTAGCCCAGTGAAATTAGCTTTCAATGTTGTGTTTGTGACAATATCACTGTAAATTGAGCATAATAGGGCGGAAAAAATCTTGACAGCATCACGTGATTAATATTTTCTATTAAAATGTATATAGTACTTATAATAATTCAGAATGAATAATTTTATGAATAAAAATATCAAAGCTATTCGGAAACAGGCATTTGTATCGAATTTCGAAAACCTTTTTCATTTGAACTGTATAAAACATTCTTATAGCTGTCTTGTAGGAGGGTGAAGACATATTGATGTTACCTTAAAAGTAATCCATCAGTTGTCTACTCATTTTTGTTTTTATCGTTATTGTTAAAATTAAATTTTTCAACGTAAGTTTTATCTAATAACTAATGTAAATGTAATAGAAATGTGATATCATATTGATTTGTATAAATTGATGAAGAAAAACATAAAATATTTAAATAAGTATTACGGAAATTAAAAAAATATAAACAAGTCTATATTTTTTGTTTGTATCTTTGGTTTATCAACTAATGAATAAGCTAATAAGAATTTCAAAAATTGAGACTTAATAAAAGAATTTTATGGTAAAATATGTTTTAAGTCTTTGTAAAATATGATGAAAATTTTCTTTTAGTCCAAAAAAAAAAAAATCTGTTGTTGATTTTAATTTTTCAGAATTTTAAAATTTATGAAAAATAATTATTATGATTTTTTTGTGATATTGTATATTTCTAGACATGTTATATTAGTGATCATTCTTCATAGTAATAGAGATTATTTTTAGAAATTTTAAATTTTATGAAAATCAAAATTCAAATAACGAGTGAGTGAAATTAAATTTAATAATATTTATAAGAGCTAAAAATATATTTATCGCAAAAAATTAAACTCATTCACAATTATGTTGATCATTGTGGAATGTGGAACAAATATGAAAGGCAACAAACAATAACTGGTGATATGAAGCACGCCACACGACACAGTCATTAGCCCGTAAATTTCATCAATTCATTATATATTTTTTCTTTTGTCTATATATGTATGTAACAGGTTTAACAGGTTTAGAAAAAGATTAATTTTTAGAAATATTTATTTTTAAAGAAATCGTAAAAACTTGGTAAGAAAGTATTTTTGAAAGAAAAAAGGAGCTCCACAACCTACGTGGTTAAATCATGATGCTTTTGGCTTTAAGAGGCGATACTTTAAATATAGTAAATTTATAAGGTGGAATTCTAGAGAATAATTTTTTCAAGAAAAATTATAAGTTAGCACCCACTCAATTTTTAGGGTTAAATAACGAATGGAGAAAGATAGTGATAAGAAAAACGAAGAAAAATAAGAAAATACGATAGATTACTGGATGGCGTAATAAAACAAGAGAAAAAAATTATGAAAAATAAATATAAAAAAAATAAGTTTAAAAATATAAGAATTGTTCTTTAAAATATTTTATTAATGATTGTCAAAGTATTGGTTAAAAAATTGATAAATAATTTTTTTGTTAAATATCATGATATGAAATAAAAATAACAAATATTATTTTTTTTATGAAAAGTGTTGCCTTTATTCTTTAAATAGGCAAGTATCTTCTCAATCTTTTTATTTTCTTAGAAGAAACAATAATTTGTATGAGCAGATATTAAAACCAAAGTTGAGAAATTCTGTGCCGTGCATAAGGCTGAGAATTTTGTATTTGTCCTTAACTAAACTTTAGAAAAATCAATAATACCTCAAGAAGATGTTAGCATTTCTCAACAGATATATGCAATGATTTACATGGTACTAATGTATTCTAGTACTAGGATTTATTCTCATTCTCATTGCGATTGTAATGGCCGGCTTGAGATCAACAGAGGGAAAAAGGGGATACACAGAGAGAAAAACTTCTGAACTTTGGGTGTATTGGATCCAGCGTGCGAATATACGATGCAGAACCAGACAGACAAAAAGGCAACGAAATTTGCAATGCACTGAGTCTCGAATAATCCAACCTAATTACGTAGGCGCTTACATCACCGATAAAGCGATGTAACAGTGCATATAAATATCGTACAGATAACCAAGTTCAAGTGAATTATTCGGTGTACCATATCATCCACAAGAAATATGGCACCCCAAGAACCACAACACCACTTTTGTCTTATTTCCATTGATATTGTTGGCCCAAGGCCACATGATACCCATGATGGACGTTGCAAAAATATTGATGCAGCACAATGTTATTGTGACAGTAGTCACAACTCCACATAATGCATCACGTTTCACCTCGACCGTTGATCGTTATATTCAATCTGCATTTCAGATTAAAATAATTCAACTTCAATTCCCAGGTAAAGAAGTTGGATTTCTATATGGGTGTGAGAAACTTATATGCAATATAAAAATTAAAAATATAATAATTAATAATTATAATAAAATTTTAGATTTATTTATTAAAGATATCATGTCCTTTGAGAAATTCTGTGCGGTGCAAAAGGCTGAGAACTTTGCACGTATGTTTGGTGGGGGATCTTTGTCTGGAGAATATTTTTGTCCTTGTCTTAATCGTCTTGCGCTGAGAAGGCCAAGCAGCAGCTTCGTGACTACATAAAAATGTTACCGACATATTTTACTTAATTTTCATGGCAAACATAGAACTGAATCTTCATCACGTCACTTCTCTTGAGCTTTTGCTTGCGTCTAGGGAAATTTGTGGTGCAAAAAGCAACTAAAACCGTCCGCATGATTTCTAGTCCCATCACATGCACCGCTGCTACGTACTTATCTCCCTCGAATAAACCAACGCTCATTGCATATGCTCTTACATCACCAACTCAAATGTTCTAGAGCCCACAATCCATCCCATTCTGTCTATAAAGATAGGGAAAACCAATCAAGCACACAGCAAATTAAGTAAAACCCCAAAATCACACTCTACTCATTTCATTAGTAGCCAATATGGTTTTCCAAACAAACAATATTCCTCACTTCATCTTGTTTCCCCTAATTGCCCAAGGCCACATGATCCCCATGATGGACATTGCAAGACTCTTGGCACAACGTGGTGTGATTGTCACCATATTCACCACCCCAAAAAATGCATCACGTTTCAATTCAGTTCTTTCTCGTGCTGTTTCATCCGGTCTCCAAATCCGGGTAGCACAACTCCATTTTCCATCAAAAGAAGCAGGGCTACCTGAAGGGTGTGAGAATTTTGACATGGTGACTTCATTCGACATGATTATCAAAATCTTCCATGGAATTAACATGCTTCAAAAGCCAGCAGAGGAACTGTTTGAAGCACTAACACCCAAACCAAGTTGCATAATCTCTGACTTCTGCATTCCTTGGACTGCACAAGTAGCTGAGAAGTATCACATTCCAAGGATTTCATTCCATGGATTTTCTTGCTTCTGCCTACATAGCTTGTACACGATTCACACTTCAAAGATTTGTGAAAGCATCACTTCAGAATCTGAGTACTTCACTGTTCCTGACATACCTGACCAAATTCAAGTTACCAAAGCTCAGATACCTGGATTACTCTCAGCCTCAGATGAAATGAAGGACTTTAGCATGCAAATGTATGATGCTGAAACGAGGTCATATGGGACAATCATAAACACTTTTGAAGAGTTGGAAAAAGCATATGTGAGGGATTACAAGAAAGTGAGAAATGATAAGGTGTGGTGCATCGGCCCAGTTTCACTCTGCAACAAAGATGGCATGGACAAGGCTCAAAGAGGCAACATGGCCTCAATTAATGAACACTATTGCTTGAAGTGGCTAGATTTGCACCAGTCCAAGTCTGTGGTCTATGTTTGTTTTGGAAGCATGTGCAATTTACTTCCTTCACAACTTGTCGAGCTTGCTTTGGCCTTGGAAGATACAAAAAGACCATTTATATGGGTTATTAGGGAGGGAAATAAGTTGCAAGAGTTGGAAAAGTGGATCAGTGATGAAGGGTTTGAGGAAAGGATCAAAGGGAGAGGCCTTATAATTAGAGGTTGGGCTCCACAAGTACTAATATTATCACACCCTGCTATTGGAGGGTTCTTAACGCATTGTGGTTGGAACTCAACACTTGAAGGGATTAGTGCAGGAGTGCCAATGATTACATGGCCTCTATTTGCTGATCAATTTTTTAATGGGAAGCTTGTTACTCAAGTGTTGAAGACTGGTGTGAGCCTTGGAGTCGAGGTTCCATTGAAATGGGGAAAGGAAGAGAAGATAGGTGTGTTGGTCAAAAAGGAAGATATTAAGAGGGCAATATGCATGGCTATGGATGATGGAGAAGAAAGTAAAGAGAGGAGAGAAAGGGCCAGTGAACACAGTGAGATGGCAAAGAAAGCGGTTGAAAAAGGGGGGTCTTCTCATCTCAACATGACGTTGCTTATTCAAGACATTATGCAACAATCAAATAATAACGATGAGGATGTAAATTTGACCCCTAAAGAGTTGCAATTTACATGTACTGCTTGATTTGTTTTTCACTACAGTTTACTTTTACAATTTGGATATCCATACTGAAAGCATGAATGCTTTCTTTTAATGGGCCAGTGAATACTTTTACAATTTGGATATACTTCTTTCTGAAGTGACCCAGTAAAGAAAGATAACAGGACATTTTAGATTCCAAGCACCGTCATTCTTTGGATCGTGTATGGGACCTTCAACCTAATGATTATATATATATATATTGAGTCGCATGTGCATCACTTTTACTCTCTATATTCCCTGTTGTTTTTTTAACTTCATGTTTGTTTGATGTTTTTATGATTAACGCCGCCTATGAAGTAATTAATTGAAAAATAGTATGTTTGGGATGTGATTAGTGATAATGTTGTTGGTACAAGAGATTGTGATTTTGCAATCGTTGACATTAGGGAATTTTGCTCTGAAACGTAAATTTATCACTAATTCGAGCCCTTGAACTGTTGTAAGTTGTTTTGGTTGCTTTGCTTGTTTTGACTAATCACATCTTACAGTGATGTCAAGTGGTGTGAATGAAAATGAAAAGGAGTGTACCGATGAACACTTCATATAATTTGAGCCATACATATTTGTTTAAATTTTTTTATTTACGAGATTTGAAGTTGTGAGAGATAAATTAGTATTCATGATAATCTAAAGGACTCAGTAGAAGTTGGAATTAAAAATAATTAACGGTACTTTTCGAATTTAAGTTTGGATTATACTTTACCTTAACTTACCAAACCTGATATACATAACAAAGATTTTGAAAAAAGCTGGTATAAATTATAAGATTTATTAATTTGATTAAAAAATACAAAATATGAAATATCTCGTAATTTTGGTTTCGGTACTAATATGAAATATCATGAATAATAATATGTAAACAACCTAATTTTTGTTATATATTATTACTTTCATTTTTTATATTTTAGTAATTTTTTGGATGCCAAAACATATAAAATACAAATATAATAATTTGGAGGTACTCATTAATTAACCAGAGTTGTGAAAATGGAATTGAGTACTTTAGTCTGATAAGTATTAAAAATATTAGGTAGAAAGTCTTAAAGTTTTGATGAATAACATAACATAATATACATAATTCATATTTTACATTGAAGTAAATTGCTAATGAGGACGACTTAGAATTGATTAGTGTCACGTCCATTCTATGAAGCCCTGCAATGTCGAGTACCCATATAAAATGACAAGTGCAATCACTAATCAAATGTTCAATCAGTGTCAAACCCGTAATTAACATGCTAATGAGTCAGACTCTCATAAACTTGACATATATGACTTTTTGCTTTCTATCGGATTCACTTTTTAGTATAAAGCACGCAGTTGCGTAATTTCTTTGACATGTGCTTCTGTTTATGAATTATTGTTGAACTCTATCAAGATTGAAAAAAAAAAAAAGGAATTATTTCCATATAGGAAAACTTGATTTAAATAATTTTTAATAAATATTTATAAAAAAAGATAAAATATCCAGATTTTATATAAATAATTTTTTTCTTTGGTTGAATTATATAATTAGCAGTAGTTAAAAATAAATTTTAATTATTTCGAGTGACAAATTAATGGTAAGTTCCGTGTAGAATTCACTCACAGACATTGACTGTAACCAGAAGTTTGGAACTTTTACCAATAACTGTACTTAGTGATAATTAACATCCGTAAATATAACTTTAACATCATATGCCAACAGCTAAAGAAATCTTATATAAAAGCTATAATGACAAGCATTATTCATTGCTAATCGATCGTGCACTCAAAATCTATGCCTAAATGATTAATTAAAATGTGGGCAACTTTGTGAATAAAAAACTCAAATGTGAATCATTCACCGCTTCATGGAGTAATCCCTTTGGGTAGAGCTAACCTCCATCGCTCATATTGCCTTCCAATCTATGTGAAGGTTATCATATTCTCAATTCTTTTAAATAAATTTACATGAATTAATATTCTTAATTACTCTAAGAATTAATTAGCTAGCAAGTATCAATTAATGCATTTCATGGATGCTTTGTAATTTAAATAAAATTTAAAATACAAATACAAATGTTTAAAATTATGATAAAAATGTATGCTTAATTTAAACAAATAAATAATATCAATAACTGAAATCTGTGAGGAAAAAAGTAAAAAATTGAGAGTATAACTGAAATTTGAGGCAAAAAAAGAAAAATTTTAATATAAAGAAATCTAGAGAGTAATACTACTCTTATTCCAATTCTACCTGTGGCTCTCATTTAAGGCAAGCTTGAGATCGAGAAAGCAACAAATTGATACATAAAAAATAAACGCTTTGCTGGTTCAGGCTGATTTACTTTTTTAATATTTTTTTAAAAATAAATTCTTAAAATAATATTTTTTAATAAATGCATCTAAAATATAAAACTATAATTAATGTCATTTTATGTACAGAAGAGAGAGAATATAAAAAATAAAAATATAATAAGTTTCATAAAGAGATGGTGACGGTGGTGTACCAAGAAAGATTTCAAATAGTAAATATGTTTTAAAAATATTATTTTAAGAATTTATTTTTTTTAAAATATTAAAAAGGTAAATCAGTAAATCAGCCGCTGGTTCATGTATTCATTCTCATGGCCTTAGCAACTAGTTTTTAACATGAAAATGTTGATTTGATCCAACCGATACTTCAGAACCAAACAGAAAAGAGGACAAAACTTGACTAATTAGGCTCAAATCATTCATCGTGCTTATGTAGGCGCTTACATCATCATTCCCCAGTACATAAATGCTTGTACACACACAAGTTGAAGAAAAATCACAGAAAGGAATGGCTTCCCAAACACCCCACCTCCATTTTATCCTGTTTCCAATGATGGCCCAAGGCCACATGATCCCCTTGATGGACATCGCAAAAATATTGGTGCACCACAATGTTGTTGTCACAGTAGTAACCACACCCCAGAATGCAGCTCGTTTCACATCAATCTTTGATCGTTACATTGAGTCTGGATTTCAGATTAGATTAGTTCAACTTCAATTCCCGTGCGCACAAGCTGGAGTACCAGATGGGTGTGAGAATCTTGACATGATACCTTCACTTGGCACATCCACCAATTTCTTCAAAGCAACAAGACTATTACAACAACCAGTGGAAAAACTATTTCAAGAGTTAACACCACCACCAAGTTGCATAATCTCTGACATGTGTTTGCCATACACAACCGACATCGCCAAAAAATTCAATATTCCTAGGATTTCTTTTGTTGGCGTAAGTTGCTTTTGTCTTCTGTGTCTGCATTATATACGCGTTTATCACATTAGGGAGAGCATAGCTTCTGAGTCAGAGCACTTTGTTTTGCCCGGTATCCCTGACAAAATTGAAATGACCATAGCCCAAGCAGCACAACCAATGAATGAAACTTGGAAACAATTGGGTGAAGAAATTATGGCAGCTGAAATGGGTAGTTATGGGATGATCATGAATTCTTTTGAGGAGTTGGAACCAGCATATGTAAGGGATTACAAGAAGGTTAGAGGTGGGAAAGTGTGGTGTGTAGGGCCTGTATCACTCATTAACAAAGATTATTTGGATAAGGCTGAAAGAGGTAACAAGGCCTCAATTGACGAGAGCCACCTAAAGTGCTGGCTTGATTCTCAAAAGCCAAAGACTGTAATCTATGCATGCCTTGGAAGCCTATGCAATTTAACGCCACCACAAATGATGGAGCTTGGTTTAGCCTTAGAAGCGTCAAAAAGACCCTTCATTTGGGTCATCAGAGAAGGAAGTAAATCAGAAGGATTGGAAAAATTGATTAAGGAAGCTGGATTTGAGGAAAGGAGCAGCGGTAGGAGCCTTCTAATTCGGGGTTGGGCTCCTCAAATACTAATATTATCACACCCTTCTATTGGAGGGTTTATAACGCACTGTGGTTGGAACTCTACCTTAGAAGCAATATGTGCTGGTGTGCCAATGCTTACGTGGCCACTATTTGCAGATCAATTTTTGAATGAAAGTTTCGCTGTGCATGTATTAAAAGTTGGAGTTAAGGTTGGCGTGGAGATTCCTGTTAAATGGGGCGAGGAAGAGGAAATTGGTGTTCAAGTGAAGAAGGAAGATATTGGAAGAGCAATAGAAAGGTTAATGGATGATACAAGCGAAAGTGAAGAAAGAAGGAAAAGGGTTAAAGAGCTTGCAGAGATGGCAAAAAAGGCTGTGGAAAAAGGGGGGTCCTCTCACTCTAATGTGGTGGTGTTCATCCAAGATATCATCCAAAAAATTCGTTGAGATATGGGATATTGTCATCTGCCATAAGCCGTAGTTTTTCACTGACTATCTGTCTTTTAAACGATGACCATATAGTTCTTTCAAAGTTATTCATAAATTGTGCCAGTTAATACAATATTTTTAGGCAACCATTCCGCTGTTTAAACCAAAAAAAATTAACCTTTTATGTGTTATCCTGCATAATTTTTTTTATTTTTTTATTTATTCTATTTATATTCCTAAAATATACTCCTATATTAAAGGGGACAACATTTACACGAGAAGTAATTTCACAAAGTCATTTTAATGTTCACAAGATATTTTTCTGTAAGCAATTATTTTGTTGGTTGTAGTGTATATGTAAGTTGCCAATGACAATTAGTATTGCTGTCTAATTAAGTTTTAGTGGTCTCATACGTTGGTTGAATCTCTAATAAAACTCAATGTATTTGATTAGCACATAGGAATTAAATGTCATTTTCATTATAAGATACAACGCATTGGTTTGAACGGTGAAAGTCTAGCATTCGAATTATTATTAGCCTTCTCTAACTTCCTTTTAGTGCATGTCAACTATATGCATAGGCCGGCGACAATTACTTTTTAGGATAACGTTTTGTTTGTATTCCTTCGCCAAATTATTATTAGCCAAACATATAATATGTATGTGCACCAAGCAACTCGTAAAACAAAGTGGAACAACAAGAAAGATATTTAAACGAAAAGAAAATCTAAAAATACTTTGAATTTGTAAAATATGATAAGAAATCATTCTAATGGAAAAATGCATCCATATCAAGAAGCTAGTCATAATCACAGGTGTGTGTGTGTGTATAGGTATATACAAAATCATATAAAATGCTGTCAAATTTTTTACACTTAAAGCAACTAATAGTTTATAACAAAAATTATATGTACACGGATGAAAACTTTTCATATATCGTGTAAATTATGGATAACTATCAGCATTCTAACATTACCAATCAAGAAAAAGAGACTAAAAACAATAGGAATGCCATAATCATATATATGCAATAATGCAAGCTGTAACTAAAGGAAATACAATTTACATGTGCCTGTTGCATTTGTTAGCTGTAACAGTTGAAATCATACTGCAAACATTATATATTTTCTTTAATTTGTTAATCATATTTTTGCTGCTATGCAATTTGAAGAGGGACATGATACACAATTAAAGATTTAATTACTAATTAAATTAGCATCTCATCCATTGTATTAAGTTGTTCGTGGCAGCGATATTCCAGTTAGACCCGTTCCATAGCGAATGAGAGAGAGACTACTGGCGAGTAAACCTAGGTTTTAGCCCCGGAGCAAAAGATCCAGTGAAACAGATTTTCCATTGTTGATTATAAACAAAACTACTTCAATTTTAATCATGCGCAAACTTATATTCTGACCTTTAATACTGATGTGCTGATTGAAGAACAACACTTATAATACTGCACTGAAATTTTATATTAATTATAAGTTAAATTCTATTAAATACCATACAAAATATATATTGAATATTTTTATGATTTTAAGATAGTAAATATTTTCATTTAAAAAAAATATACTTTTAACTTCTTAACATATGTCCTTGAGGAAACTTAAGAAAAATAAAGCATACCTCAAGAAGATATTAGCATTTCTCGACATATGTATGCAGTGATTTACATGGTACTAATGTATTCTAGTACAAGGATTTATTCTCATTCTCATTCTCATTGCGTTTGTAATGGCCGGCTTGAGATCGACAGAGGGAAAAAGGGAATACACAAAAAGAAAAACTTTAGAACTTGGTGTATTTGATCCAGCATACGAATATACGATGCAGAACCAAACAGACAAAAAGGCAACGAAATTTGCAATGCACTGAGTCTTGTATAATCCAACTTAATTACGTAGGCGCTTACATCACCAATAAAGCGATGTAACGTGCATATAAATATCGTACAGTAACCAAGTTCAAGTGAATTATTCGGTGTACCATATCATCCACAAGAAATATGGCACCCCAAGAACCACAACACCACTTTGTCTTATTTCCATTGATGGCCCAAGGCCACATGATACCCATGATGGACGCTGCAAAAATATTGATGGAGCACAATGTTATTGTGACAGTAGTCACAACTCCACATAATGCATCACGTTTCACATCGATCGTTGATCGTTATACTCAATCTGGATTTCATATTAATATAGTTCAACTTCAATTCCCATGTAAAGAAGTTGGATTACCAGATGGGTGTGAGAACCTTGATATGCTACCTTCACTTGGCACAGCATTGAGTTTCTTCAATGCAACAAACTTTCTACGCCAACCAGTGGAGAAACTATTTGCAGAGTTAACACCACAACCAAGCTGCATAGTTTCTGATATGTGTTTGTCATATACAATCCACATTGCTAGGAAATTTAACATTCCCAGGATTTCTTTTGTTGGAGTAAGTTGTTTCTATCTCTTATGTCTGCATAATTTACAAATCTATAATGTTTTGGAGAGCGTAAGTACTGAATCAGAGTACTTTGTAATGCCTGGTATCCCTGACAAAATTGAAATGACCTTAGCCCAGACAGGACTATCAAAAAATGAAAGCTGGAGACAATTTTCTAATGAAATGTTTACAGCTGAAAAGGGTAGTTATGGGATAATCATGAATTCTTTTGAAGAGTTGGAACCAGCATATGCAAGGGGTTACAAGAAGGTCAGAAATGATAAAATGTGGTGTATTGGACCACTATCACTTAGTAACAAGGTTCACTTAGATAAGGCTCAAAGAGGTAACAAGGCCTCAATTGACGAGTGTCAATTGAAGTGCTGGCTTGATTCTCAAAGTCCGAGGAATGTAATCTATGCATGCCTTGGAAGCCTATGCAATTTAACGCCACCACAAATGATGGATCTTGGTTTAGCCTTAGAAGCGTCAAAAAGACCCTTCATTTGGGTCATCAAAGAAGGAAGTAAATCAGAAGGATTGGAAAAATTGATTAAGGAAGATGGATTTGAGGAAAGGAGCAGCGGTAGGAGCCTTCTAATTCGGGGTTGGGCTCCTCAAATACTAATATTATCACACCCTTCTATTGGAGGGTTTATAACGCACTGTGGTTGGAACTCTACCATAGAAGCAGTATGTGCTGGTGTGCCAATGATTACATGGCCATTATTTGGAGATCAATTTGTGAATGAGAGTTTAATTGTGCAGATATTAAAGATTGGAGTAAAGGTTGGGGTGGAAAGTCCTGTTAAATGGGGCGAAGAAGAGGAAATTGGTGTGTTAGTGAAGAAAGAAGATGTTGAAAGGGCAATAGTTAATTTGATGGATGAGACAAGCGAAAGTGAAGCAAGAAGAAAAAGAATTAGAGAGCTAGCAGAGAAGGCTAAAAAAGCTGTAGAAAAAGGGGGATCCTCTCACACTAATGTGACCTTGTTTATTGAAGATATCATGCAAAAAGTTAATAAGACAGAGATATGATTTTCTCGTTTGCCAAAAACCAATTTAGAGTAAAATACCTCACCTTGTAGCTTTTCAACAACTACCTATCTAAGAAAAATCAATGTCATTAGCAGGATGTGAATTGATTAGTAGCACAGAGGACATGTCATTTTCATTTTATGGTATCAAAGCAAGGAATATTGGTTGGGACAGTTTTGTGATAAGGTCCAAGACGCAGAGGTTGTTCCACGAGAAGATAAGAACTTCATGGATGAGAAGGTAGCATTAGCAGATGGGCTAGATGATGCAAAGCCAGGAATAGGCAGAAACCATTTGGATGCTTGACTACTTAGTGCCTAATATTAAATGTAAGGACAAGGGCAAGTAAGAAAAATACTAAGAGAATATTGTTACATTGTTATTTTTTATTTTTTTTTGTCTTTTCTCAATTCTTCTAAATTAATTATGCTAACATTTATATATGTGTTTATAAAGAATATTATGGATAACAAAAAATGATTAAAAAAGATTTTTCTTTCTCTCTCTCCATATTTTCTTTCTTTATAAAGAATTTTAAAAGAGTTATAACTAGAGAAACATATAGTATGTGATTTTACGCGTGCTAAGAAACTATTATCCATATGACAGACACTCACTTTATTGAGTTCACATCTGTTATACAATTAATTGTATATAAATCTCCAATGGCTAGTGAACGAGCATTCTGCCTCTTGAAATCCTCTGGTTTGTTCCCGATACTGCTGCTTTCCAACTATTACCAGTGTTTGTGCTAATTGTTTATTCGTTTTTATATTTTATTTAATTTAAATTGTAACTTATATCAGATTTATTTTAAAATATATAAATAAATCAAATTTAGAAAATAGGTGAATGAATGTTTTTACAATTTTTTAAATTTTAACAAAATAAAATTTGATCTATTTGAATGACAGATTAAATAAAATTAAATAGAAAATGTAAAATAATAGAATAAATATTAAGTGAAAAAGTTGTGTTGTTTTGATGAATAAAAATAAAAGAAGAAAAATTGCTTGTGTGGATGAATAGAAAAAATATATAATCTAGATTGTATAAAAAATATAATAATAATAATTTAATGAAAAATTAATATAATATTTCTTCAAATTTTTTTCCATTTTTTATATTTTTATATCATTTAAAATTTATATAACATTATAATAAAGTTTAAGAAAAAAAAATCTATTTCTACTATTCATTTAGCATGTAAGGAGAGATAAAATTATTTTTAGAGTTCACTTACTTTTTCTTTTCTCTGAAAAAACAACACGTCTCAATAAAAAAATATTTCTTTTATATAAAATCACTTATCTTTTTTTTTTTTCACAAAATTAACACATTTAACAAAATATTAAATCCACTCTTAAACTAGCTCATATTTAACAAAAACTAAAAAATAAAATAAAATATAATTACCTCGCTATCATGTTTAATAAAAAAAAGTTATTGAATAATTTAAAATTAAGTAATTTTATTTATTTATATCAAGTGATTTTGGTGATGATAGTGAAGAAAAGATAAACTACTGTCTCAAAATTGAAGTTATTCTACAGTGAGTTAAAACTTTTACTTAATTATTACCATTAAATTGAGTAATTTCGGACCAATACCCAATTTTAAATTTCGTTTGATAAAAATAAAATGCTAATTAGTGTTATTTTCCCATTCAACTTAATATAATTTATTTATTGTTTAAAAAAATATGTTCTTTCAATTGTTGATTTTTTTTTTCTTTCTAAAAACATGATTTTTGTGCCTTTATATGTGCTTTATAAAAATAAGAAACAGATTGACTTTACTATTTAATTATCTCAATTTTTTAATAAATTTTTTATTTTTATTTTTTGTGGAATAACTTTTTTATTTAAGAGTAACTAATTAATTTTTTGTTATGAAATTGAAAATCAATAATTATGTGATTTTTTTTTTTTACATCTTTTTAAAAAGACACGCCACTTTTTGTGGTGGACATCTGCACATTCTGCATATATTCACGTGCATCTTCTAGAATTCTAAGAATACTGACTTGTCTCTCTCAACTTTCTTACATTTTTCAGTGAATGAGAGATTTTAATATTTACATTATTTAATAAATTTTATATAATATAAAATTTTAATTTTAATTGTTTAATTATTTTATATAATTTTAATATTATATATATAATTTGTATAATATAAATTTTATAAATATATTATCTAAAATTTAATATTTATTTATATTTCAAAATATATTATTTATTAAAATAAAGTAGTATTTTAAATTATTTATTAATTTTATTTTTATAAAATATTATAAACTAATTTATTTTATAAAAATAGTTAAACTAATTAATTTTATATTTTATAAAAAATTATTAAATAGTAATTTCTAGTTTCTTTCTGACATTATTGACTTGTGGATTTCTCTTGATGGAATGCAAAAGTACTGATGCTGCATTCAGTGGTGCAGAGACAATGGCATCACCAGCTGTAAAGTTGACTTGGAGAATCCAAATTATCTTTGTAGGCGCTTACGTCACTAACAAAGAAATGTAGTATATGCAAAAATGACTACAAATGAACGAGTTGAGATGAATTGATGGTGCATATCATTCTTCCCTGCATACCATGGCTTCCCAAACACCACAACTTCACTTTGTCTTATTTCCATTCATGGCCCAAGGTCATATGATCCCCATGATGGACACTGCAAAAATATTGATGCACCACAATGCTATCGTCACAGTAGTCACCACTCCACTTCATGCAACTCGATTCACATCTTTCTTTGATCGTTATATTGGATTAGGCTTTCAAATTAGACTTGTTCAACTTCAATTCCCGTGTGAAAAAGCTGAAGTGCCTCATGGGTGTGAGAGTATTGACATGCTACCCTCACTTGCCACAGCCTGGACTTTCTACGAGGCAACAAGCTTTCTACGACAGCCAGTGGAAAAACTATTTGAAGAGTTAACACCGCCACCGAGTTGCATCATCTCTGACATGTTTTTGCCATACACAATCCACATTTCTAGAAAATTCAATATTCCGAGGATTTCTTTTGCAGGAGTAAGTTGCTTCTTTCTCCTATGTTTGCACAATTTAATTGCATATAATATTGAGGGAAGCATAACCTCTGAATCAGAGTATTTTGTTTTACCCGGTATCCCTGATGAAATTGAAATGACCATCGCCCAAACCGGAATATCAATGGGTGGAAATTGGAAACCGTTTAATGATGAATTATTTGCTGCTGAAATTGCTAGTTATGGGTTAATCACAAATTCTTTTCAAGAGTTAGAGCCATCATATGTAGCAGATTACAAGAAGATTAAAAACAATAAAGTATGGTGTCTTGGACCATTATCACTTAGTAACAAGGATCACTTGGATAAGGCTGAAAGAGGAAACAAGGCCTCAATTGATGAGTGCCACCTAAAGTGCTGGCTTGATTCCCAAAAGCCAAAGACTGTAATCTATGCATGCCTTGGAAGCCTATGCAATATAGCACCACCTCAATTGATGGAGCTTGGGTTTGCCTTAGAAGCGTCGAAAAGACCCTTCATTTGGGTCATCAGAGAAGGAAGTAAATCAGAAGGATTAGAAAAATTGATTAAGGAAGATGGATTTGAGGAAAGGAGCAATGGTAGAAGCCTTCTAATTCGGGGTTGGGCTCCTCAGTTACTGATATTATCACACCCTGCTATTGGAGGGTTTATAACACACTGTGGTTGGAACTCTACCTTAGAAGCAATAAGTGCTGGTGTACCAATGCTTACGTGGCCACAATTTGCAGATCAATTTTACAATGAAAGTTTAGTTGTGCATATATTAAAAGTTGGAGTAAAGGTTGGGGTGGAGAGTCCTGCAGTCAAATGGGGCGAGGAAGTGGAAATTGGTGTTCAAGTGAAGAAGGAAGATATTGGAAGAGCAGTAGAAAGGTTAATGGATGATACAAGCGGAAGTGAAGAAAGAAGAAAAAGGGTTAAAGAACTTGCAGAGATGGCCAACAAAACTGTAGAAAAAGGGGGATCTTCTCACTCTAATGTGACATTGCTCATCCAAGATATCATCCAAAAAATTAATTCACAAATGTGATATTGTCATTTGCCAAAATAAAAGGCCTCATCATGCAGTGTTTCATGTACTTCAAATGGTGTACCATGTGTTAGCAAGCCATTAATATATTTTTAGGCAATATTTTTACTTGAGTGAATTTTTTATTTGGTTCTTCAAAATTAAAAGTGCCATCATATTAATATTTTAATAAAATAATTAATAACTAAATTTAAAACATGAAATTAAAATTGGACCTTGAAGTTTTAATTTTGACATTAAGAGATCATTGTAGAATTGAAAAATCAATTCCATGGAATTAGTGTGTGTGTGTGTATATATATTTGACACTACCTTACCTAGATCTTATATCCTTTTCCTAAACTTTAAAGAAGTTATAATTTTGATTGACAAATGGATCCTAAGCCTTTGTTTGATTTAACTATAAAATAATTGGAAAGAAAACAAAACAAAAGAACATGAAGTATACAAAAGAAATTATTTTTTCCATAGTTTGATACTGAAAAAAGTGCGTCAACATTATTTAATAGCATCAACCAACAAAATTATAAAAAAAAGGACAAACTATGAAATAATTGAGTTATTTCTCTCGCTTTCTGATTAGATTGTTTAACCAACTAAAAAATAATTGAAGTCGAAAGGAAAAGAAATAAAAAGCAATAAAATAATGAGATTAGCAAGAAAAGTTTTCCTTGCTTTAGGACCATTGATTTTTTAAAAAATAAACTCATATTTTAGTGTTTAAAATTATAAATATTCTTTACTTTAATCTTCATTTTTCAAAATTTTCATTTTATCCTTTAAATTTATAAAATTTTATTTATTTAGTTTTAAAGTAAAAAAATAGTAAAAATACAAAAAATAGAAAACTAAAATAAATAAAATATTTATAATGCTAAAATAAAAATTATTTAAATTTATTAATAAAATTCATTATTTTTCTATTGGGAGCTATTATTTTTTTCATATAATTTTTTGTCCTTCCTTGCGAAAGGCTACTCTCAAAGTGTTTAATTACTTAAAATACTAATATTTGCTTTAAAAAAATTGAGTTGTAAAGTCACTTATCATTGTTGAAATAAAAAATTAAATTTCTTTAAGATAAATAGTTAAATTATTTATAATTCTTCTTCTTATTATTATTATTATAATAAAATACCATGTCTGTAGTATATATTATTATTATTATTATTATTATTATTTAATATGTTAAAATTATTAATATTATACTTTTTGTTTAATGCGAATATTTGATTATTAATTAATTACTAGTTTGTAAATTTAATTCAAATTTATTCATTTTTCTATTAAAAGACAAGTCTTATTAATGAATATCCTATAAATACTGATTAGAAATATTTAATATATTTTTTTACCTATTTTTAATTACTTATAAAAACAAATAATAATTTTATTTTTATTTGTTTTGTTTCTCTTAATTTTTTAGATAAGTTGAATGGAAGCATCAAGGGAGAAGACGCGAGAATAGGGTGCGGGTGTGAGACTGAGGCCACGTGTAAATAAAAGAGTTAGATGATCATTCGACAAAATATAACAGGTTTCAATTAATTTCACCCGTTAATATTAATTAACAATAATATATTTGCTTTAAATTTTAATTTTAAATTATTATGCAATTTAGAAAATTTATTTATATTAATAATTGTTTGAGATCTTGATTTTTTAAATAATATTGATAAGACATAATTAAATATAATTGGTAAAGAATCATATTATTAATATTTATCATTAAATGTTTAATTAATTTAAAAAATGATTAACAAACCAATTAATAATGATAATTAAATATTTCAATAAATAAATAATATTAATGGCACATCAAATTCAAGTCTTCCAGCTTTATTTTTGTTTTACAAATTTTACTTTTAAGATATATTTAGAAAATAATTTTTTTGGAGGAAAAAAAGGAAATGATATATATATATATATATTAATTTTAAATTAAGAAAATTATATATTATTTATGATAATAAATACATAATTAATATATTAATTTAAATATATTTATTTAAAAGAATATTTGTTCTTCCTTTTTCTTTCTTCAAGAACTTTCTTTCTCAAATAATCTCTTAATATTTTTGTAAATTTTTTTTGAATATTTAATTTTTTATTATAATTATCAAATATAATGTTTATTTACCAAACATAATTAAAAAATATATAAGTTAAACTATACAATCACAAAAAATAATTTTTATTTTGTATAAGTAAAAAAAATTATTTATATCGTGTTTTATATATATTTTTATCATACTTTCTATATTTCGTATGTTATATGAAGAAATAAACTTAAATAATTATGATGTGTGCTTTACAAATGTATATAAATATAAATTTAAAAATATCAAAATTAAAAGTATGAATAGTCTAATTAAAAAATATTAATAATGGATTTTTAATTATTAATATATAGTATTCAAAATAATATTTATTGAAATATAAAATTTTGATTAAAAAATTGCTATTGGCATTTTCTGACACAGGTGTAGAGATTAAAAAATTAAACATAAAAAATGTCAATAAAAAATTTCTTAAAAAGCTTTAAAAAAAAATATTAGTGAAGTTTTTTGAAAAAAATATATTAAAAACTAAGAAATGCCATTAATGATTAAGAAATTAATAAAAATATCATTAGGAATTTTTAACAAATTTTATATAAATTTTTTATTAACTAATTCTAAAAATTGTTTATATTCCTGTAATATTTTCTAAAATATCATATTTTAATATATATAAAGGCAAATGTTTGCTGCTTAATGTTGTCACCCCCTCTGTCCCTCTCAGGTCTCAACAGCGAGATTCCAGCAGTCTCCGTCCGAAGAGACGTGCACGGCTGGCATAAGAAAAATATTACTTTTTTTTCAAACAAGTTATTTACCCTTTTTTTTAATAACTTAATTTATCAACAATTTTTTAATAAAAACTTATGTATATAACTTTTTATCCAACCCTTTCCACGAGGACAACACAATCTGATGTCAAGTAGGTAGCAAATACAATGATACATGTCGAGTATAGACCATCCCTAATCACTCATAATTTGCAGGAAAAAAGAAAAAAGAAGCGAAAAAGCCTCGTTATTCCTAATTCAGATGTTAAAATTGGTTACTCACTGCATTCTCTATACCCTTTTTCTGTCGAAGAATAATTTCCTTATTTTTTAAGTGAATGTTAAAACTAAAATTTTGTTGTGTATTCCAATGACACAGAAACTTGGGATGGATTCAACACCTCTCTGCCGCCTCCACTTTGTTTTCATTCCCTTAATGGCCCCAGGTCATCTTCTTCCCATGGTAGACATGGCGAAATTGTTTGCACGCCGCAAAGTAAAAGTGACCATAGTCACCACACCCCTCAATTCCATCCAATTCCAAGCTAGCATAGATAGAGAAATCCAATCTGGATCACCCATTCAAATTCTCCATGTTCAATTTCCATCTTCAGAGGCTGGAATCCCAGAGGGATATGAAAGCATAGACACCTTGCCTTCTATGGATCTACTAAGCAACTTCAACATCGCTTTACTCATGTTGCAGCAACCACTAGAAGAGCTATTCCAAAAGCTAAGCCCATTTCCAAGCTGCATAATTGCCGACAAACATTTCATATGTGTAGCTGATATTGCCCACAAGTTTAATGTCCCAAGAATAATATTCGATGGGACCAATTGTTTCTTTCTCCTATGCAATCACATTTTACATAATTACAAGGTCTATGAAGCTGTCTCTGATGAAGAGAAATTTGTTGTCCCAGGAATGCCCCACAGAATTGAACTGCGAAGATCTCAGCTACCCGGGATATTCAATCCTGGCACAGACCTCGAGTTGAATGCTTTTCGTGAGAAAGTGAGGGAAGTTGCAGAAAAATCATATGGGATAGTGGTTAATACTTTCGAAGAGTTGGAATCAGAATATGTTAAAGAGTATCAGAGGGTTACTGGACATAGGGTATGGTGTGTCGGTCCTGTATCACTATCCAACAAGGATGACGTGGACAAGGCTGAGAGAAGTAAGAGAAATGCAAATGATGAAGAGAGCAAGTATCTTAAGTGGCTTGATTCGTGGCCTTCGAGGTCAGTGATTTATGTCTGCCTAGGTAGTCTAAACCGTGCAACACCTGAGCAGCTGATAGAGCTTGGATTAGGATTGGAAGCAACAAAAAGGCCATTCATTTGGGTGCTAAGGGGTGCGTATGGAAAAGAGGAAATGGAGAAGTGGTTATTGGAAAATGGGTTTGAAGAGAGGGTAAAAGGGAGAGGGGTTTTGATAAAGGGTTGGGCACCACAAGTGTTGATATTGTCACACACAGCAATAGGAGCGTTTTTGACACATTGTGGATGGAATTCTACACTAGAGGGGATTTGTGCTGGGGTGCCCCTGGTAACTTTTCCTCTGTTTGGTGAACAATTTTATAATGAGAAGGTCATCGTACAAGTGGTGGGGAATGGGGTGAGCGTGGGAGCTGAATGTGTTGTGCACTTGGGAGAGGAACACAAGTCTCGTGTTCAGGTGAGGAGGGAAAATGTTGAGGAATGTATTGAGAAGGTAATGGGTGAAGGCGAAGACAACGGAAAAATAAGGGAAAGAGCTAGAAAGTTTACGGACGTTGCAAGGAAAGCAATAGGTGAAGGTGGATCTTCTTACTGCAACATGTCCCTTCTAATTGATCATATCCTACGTGTCAAAGGGTTAGGCCAATGCTGAGCCACCCCTCAGAACATCTTTTCTGCTTTTGCCAATATAACTGTTTATTTTATTCTGTATCTTTTTATTATAAATATTATTGTAAAAATATATATGTAGAAAGAAAATTATAATCTATTACGAGTAAAATTCCCGTAATAAATAACAAAATAATATAATAATGGCTGTTGCAGAACCTCAAGATTTCAGGGGAGAGAAAGATCGCCACCTTCCTTTCTATTTCGCATTTATTTTATCACCATCTATCAAGATTTGATAATATCGGGGCATCTACTATCCCACTAATAATTAATATTCAAGACACACTTACTTATATCCCAAAATACACTTGATTTTATTAAAATGATCTTATAATTTCATATAAATTTTTAAATTAGTAAATTTAATACAAATATATTATCAATTCTTAATATCACAAAAAATTATAAGATACATTTAAATACACAACTTATTTAAGTATTTATTAAATAAAATATTTTTGAATAATAGTTTAAGTGATAAATTTAATAATAAAAGTTATTGAAATAACTTATGAAAATTATTTTCAATTGTAAAATTTTTAAAATAGACTTGATTCTACTTGTGAAATAACAAAATTATATAAATAATCACCTTCCAAAGAAGAGTGAAAAGAACATGGTGGTGGTAGAAATCCAAGATTTGAGGGGAGGAGAAAGATTGCCACCATCCTTTCTTTTTAGCGTTTTATTTTCTCACCATCTATCAAGATTTGATATTATCGGAGTAACTACTTTCCCTTCCTACTCCATGGCTTGCCAAACTGAGCAACAACACTTCCTTCTTGTTCCCTTAATGTCCCAAAGCCATCTCATTCCCTTCACAGAGTTGGCCAAATTACTTGCTGCCAATGGTGTCTCTGTCACCATCGTTCTTACACCCCTTAATGCAGCCAGGTTCAACATGGTCATTGATCAAGCAAAAACCTTAAATCTCAAAATTCATTTTCACTTGCTACCCTTTCCTTGCACACAAGCAGGATTGCCAGAAGGGTGTGAAAACATGGACACCCTTCCTTCCCCTCAATATCAACACCCGTTTTTCGCCGCTTCCAATATGCTGAAAGAGCCACTTGAGAAATGGCTTTCAGAGTGGGAAACACTACCCAGTTGCATGGTTTCCGACATATGTCTTCCTTGGACATCAAATGTTGCATCCAAGTTTAAGATACCAAGGTTTGTCTTCCACGGAATCTCTTGTTTCACCCTCTTGTGCTCACATAACATTAGCCTTTCCAAGGTGCATGAGAGTGCCACCTCAATGTCAACGCCATTTGTTGTACCTGACTTACCTGACACGATTGAATTCACCAAGGCACAGTTACCCGATGCAATCAAGATGGACTCAAAGGCTTGGAAACATGCTATTGATCAATTCAAAGCGGCTGAACTTTCAGCTGAAGGGATATTAGTGAACACTTTTGAGGAGTTGGAGAACATGTACGTGAAAGGGTATGAGAAAGTGGTGAGAAAAGTTTGGTGTATAGGACCACTTTTTTTGCATGACAAGTTAATGTTGGACAAGTCAATGGATGAATCTGAATGTCTAAACTTTCTTTCTTCCAACAAGCCTTGCTCCATCATCTATGTTTGTTTTGGCAGCATGTCTCGCATTATGGCTTCACAATTGAAGGAGCTTGCTTTGGGCTTGGAAGCATCAAGCCACCCATTCATTTGGGTAATTGGAAAAAATGATTGTTGTGAAGAGTTGGAGAAATGGTTAGAAGAGAAGAAGTTTGAAGAGAAGAACAGAGGAAGAGGTGTCATAATTAGAGGATGGGCATCACAAGTTGAGATACTATCCCATCCTACAATTGGTGGGTTCTTATCACATTGTGGTTGGAATTCCACATTGGAAGCAGTTTCTGTAGGGGTCCCTATGATAACTTGGCCAATGTCTGGTGAGCAATTTTTTAATGAGAAGCTCATTGTGCAAGTGCTGAAGATTGGTGTGAGGATTGGGGTTGAAGTTGTTGCGGATCCCATGAAGGCTAAGGAAGTATTGGTGAAGAAGGAGGGTGTGAAGAAGGCTATTGACCAGCTCATGGAGCAAGGTGGAGATGGGGAACAAAGGAGGAACAGAGCTAGAGAGATAAAAGAAATGGCTCATAAGGCTGTTGAAGATGGTGGATCATCCGCTTCAAATTGCAAATTATTTATCCAAAAAATTGTGGGCAATGTCAAAATCAACTGACAATAGTAGAGAAATTATGGGTCAATCTTTAAAATTAAGGATGAAAATAATCATATGTCGGGACCTGTCACCTTGACGTATGTATGTTTACACTAGTTAGATTGTGATGAATTTATTTATTAAATGAGTTAGGTTATTTTTTCAAAAAAATTATTTAGTTAAAAAAATTAAATTTGAATTTTTTAAAACTTTTTTGGATTTCACAAGTTAATCTATTTAAATAAATATTGTTGTTATATTAAAATTTTAACATAATATTTTAAACTTAAGCATATTTAAATTTATATATATACATATATATTATCTTTTGAGTCTATTAACTTATTTTTTTAAAAAAATGTTTATAAGTGTATTTAAAATGTTTTACCATAAATAAAATATTAAATTAATCTAAACTTTTAAAACCGTCGTATTAAACTAAAAAAATACATTAAATAAATAAATTAAACTTAAACTTTAAATATAGTAAATAAAGCACTCATATCCTATAAATTAAGTCTAACCTAATTTTTCCTAATCCATGTTTTTAAACGAAGGATCAGAACAGCATTTAACTCAATAGTTTAGCTGATGCCATCGCTATTTAATTATTACCATGTCTCGTGTTGATTGATGGTACTTCCTTTAGATCTATCTTTTGTATTATTTTTTAAAAAATATATGTTATACAATTATTTAAAATAGAAAAAATAATAGTAAAATAATATTAGTTTAATTAATAAAATAGATAAATAATACAATTAAAAAAATAATTGCAATATAAATAAAGATTATATATGCATCAACGACCCAAAAGCATTTGCTCTGGGTCCCAATTGCCCATACCAGGTAGTATAAACACTCCACAATCTAAATTATGTGCTTGATTTAAGGGTAAATGTAACACATAATGCATCTACCATGTTCGACTTTCAATCATAGAATACTTTTTTGGTGTGTGCTATGATATTTTAAATTTTTTTATGAATATTATATTTAAAAAATTATATTAATAAAAAAGTGATAAATTATATAAAAAAATATTATTATATATATTTTATTATTAAATAAAATTATTATTAATATATATATATATATAATTATATGAAACAAAATTTTCTTACATTAGTATAAATTTAAAAACTATTATAATTTATCTGAATATTTTATTTAACTTAAATTTAACGAGTTATAATTTATTATTTTATTAGTCATTAAATTTAAGTTAAATAAAATATTTAGATTAAATATAAGAGTTTTTAAACATAGTAAAAAGATTATTCATATATATATATATATATATATATATATTATTAATTAAAAATCTTTACCTACTTTTAATGCATAATTCTGATGGGAGACAAAATAAAGTTGCATTATTTCTAAAAATATTTACCTACTTTTAATGCATAATTCTGATAAGAGACAAAATAAAGTTGCATTATTTCTGATCCTCCCTCAATCACGTGGTAGGCAGGCCAAGAAGGGCCTTAGTTAATCATCATCCACGTAATATGTTTATTATTAAAAAGGGTATCTGAGTAACCCCATTCATGCTCCAAGTCCAAATGGCTTCCATAGAACCTCAACTTCACTTCGTTTTGTTTCCACTGATGGCTCCAGGACACATGCTCCCTATGATAGATCTTGCAACAATCTTAGCACACAGCAACATGATTGTCACCGTAGTCACAACCCCACATAACGCTTCCCGTTTCTCAGAAACCTTCGCTCGTGCCTCACAACATGGTCTTAACCTCCGTTTAGCTCTACTCCAATTCCCATCCAAAGATACTGGATTTCCAGAAGGGTGTGAGAATTTTGACATGCTACCTTCAATGGGCATGGGCCTGAATTTCTTTGCTCCAGCAAACACCATTCTGCACGAACCAGCGGAAAAAATGTTCGAAGAGTTAACACCCAAACCAAACTGCATAATCTCTGACTTTTGTTTTTCATACACAGCCCACATCGCTAAGAAATTCAACATTCCCAGAATTTCTTTCTACGGAGTGAGTTGCTTCTGCCTCGTATGGCTACAAAAGTTGAGTAGTTCGAAGGTTGTTGAGAGCGTAGCCACAGATTCAGAGTACTTAGTCATACCCAACATTCCTGATAAAATTGAGGTGACCAAAGCACAAATCCCACTACCAATGGAGAAAGACCGGAAGAATTTTGCTATTAAAATAGCAGAAGCTGAAATGTTAACTTATGGGGTGGTGGTGAATTCTTTTGAGGAGTTGGAAGAAACATACGTGAGGGATTTCAAGAAGGATAAAAATGATAAAGTGTGGTGTGTTGGTCCAGTTTCGCTTACAAACAAGGAATACTTGGATAGGGCTGATAGAGGGAACAAGGTGTCAAGTGATGCTGAAAATTGCATGAAGTGGCTTGATTTGCAAAAACAAAGGTCAGTAATCTACGCATGTCTTGGAAGTGTTTGCAATTTAACTCCTTTACAGTTTATAGAGCTTGGTATGGCCTTAGAAGCATGCAAAAGGCCTTTCATTTGGGTTATAAGGGAAAAAAATCAAACAGAAGAGTTGAACGAGTGGATTATGGAAACGGGGTTTGAGGAAAAGACTAAAGGGTTGGGCCTTTTGATTCGGGGTTGGGCTCCTCAGGTATTAATACTATCACACCTTGCAATTGGAGGGTTCTTAACACACTGTGGTTGGAACTCTACCTTGGAAGCAATATGTGCTGGCGTGCCACTGCTTACGTGGCCTTTGTTCGGGGATCAGTTTTTCAATGAGAAGTTCGCTGTGCACGTACTAGGAATTGGAGTAAGTGTTGGGGGGGAGTGTCCTTTGAAATGGGGTGAAGAAGAGAAAACAGGGGTCTTGGTGAAGAGGGAGGATGTTGTGAGGGGTATAGAGAAGTTAATGGATGAAGGAAATGAAAGTGAGGAGAGAAGAAAAAGGGTTAGAGAGCTTGCGGAGATGGCTAAGAGAGCTGTGGAAGAAGGAGGAGCTTCTCACTTCAATGTGACCCAGTTGATCCAAGATATCAGGCAATACTCCAACAAAAATTCTGAACAATAATAAGTTTGATGCCCCACCTCTCGACATGGATTGTAGTTTTTTTAATGTATGGTTTTATTTTTAAATTCAAAAAATATGAGATTTTTAACGTATAATGCTTTTATGTATTAATAAAATTAAAAAAAATAATTAGATTAATTACAAATATATTCGATATGCAAGAAAAATAGAGGCTAATTTTTTTTATATAGTTTTTTTTTTCAAAATTCAAAAAATATGAGAGTTTTTACAAAATTATGAGAATATGGGGCAATTTTTTATGCAGTACAAAAATTCAGAAATAAAAAAATAAAAAAGTGATAAAGTTTCATATTTTTTAAATTAAAAAAAACCAATATAAAAAAATTTCCAAAAATGGACACTTTGAATTATTATCCATACACGAGTATTCCCATTTCTAACCAGGCAAATGATTTGTGGGGCATTATTTATTATGGCATAGAACACTGCCACTTTATCAGAAGCCATTTAATGTTTAATGCGAGTGGTTGTTTCTCGTCCATTTTATACGCTTGTTTTTGTTTGTTTGGCATTGGCAGTTTCTTTTGTTTTGTATATCAAAAGCTATTCCCTGCACTGTCGGATGTATAAAACATAATTATCAGTATCTTATTTTAATTAGAAAAATAATTATATATTTTTAGTTATATTAATTATTAATATATATTAATTTATTATATATAAAATACTTTTTGTTAATTTTAATAAATTAATTATTTGTTTCTTATAAAATAACAGGAAAGAATAATTAAAATTTGAATATAATTTTTCCATGAAAGTGATGCATAGAAATGTATAGAGATGCGATTACATACTATGAAATCATTAGTTGTGTAGTTTGCTAAGAAATGTCTTCAATTTCAGTCATTCGATTACATATCTTGAATGGGGAAAATTCAAATGCAATTTGCTAAGAAATCTATGTTTCTTCTTGACAATTGATTGAATCTTTACTCTTCAAAACCCACGTATCTACGTTGTTTAATTTCTTTGGTGGGACGAAGGAACATTCCGTTTGAAACTAAGCTTAGAAAGTCTCAGTTACCAATCCATGGCGGCTTTCTAGTTATTGTCTACACATTAATTTTCAGTGTTGATACTCCCAAAAAGGTTTATTATTTTATATTTTTAAATATATTGATTAAGTATTTTTTTTTAATTTTATCTAATAATTCGTTCTAGCAGTCTATATAATATTTTATGGATATATTGATATACTATATAATACAGTAAAAGGTGAATATTCAGGATAAATAAATAATCGTAATCTATTCTAAAACTTATAATAATACAGCCGTAGGTATTTTGTGGACTGTACATGAAATTGACCATAGAGATTATGCTAAATATAAAACTAGTTTTGCTTTTCTAAGGCAACCTCATGACCTCTTCAATGAAGAGGATTTATGTTGCTCCTCGAGATTTTTGAGTTAATCATTGAATTTTTTTTAATCTTTTTTATTAATAAATTTTTTAATTACCAAATATTTTTTCTTCTAAAGATAATAAATATATGTATTTTTCATTTACTGCTTATTTTATTACGTAGTAGAAAGACTATTATGAAAACCTGTAAGATATAACCTAAAATTCTTAATAATTTTAGTAGCTCTTAAAATTTTAAAAACTTATTATTACTTTCCAATTTTATAAAATATTACTTGTTTTAGTCTTTTATATATAAAATGGAAGTAAAAAACAAAGTAAAAATATCATAATAGATTTTTAAAATCTAAGACTAAAATGCTTCACATATACAATCTCAAAAACTACTAAAAAAATCTACCCAGTGAGAATTTACTGTCTTTGTAAATCAAGTTATATATTAATAATGTGTCAAAATTTCATAAAATTATACCTTTAATAATACTTTATAAAAATGTAAAATTTTATCAGTTTCCTATGGTGGGGGGTCCTTTTGTGACAATCTAACCAATATAGGGATGGATTCAAGGGATTTAGGTAGGTCTCCCCCTCCCAACTTTTTTTCACTCAAAGAAAAATATAGTGTACTATTTAGAGGGACACTTAAATATTGTGTACTAAAAAATATTACTTTCAACTTTCAAGGGTTTGAGATCATTTAACAAGTCATATGTGTGACGCTTGGGCATCAACAACATTGGGCTTTCTCAATTTATTTATACCATGTCCTAGTGACCATGCAGATCAAATCCATTTTATCATCCACTTCTCACTTCATTGCCTTGATGGCTTTGCCACTTAAGCAGCCTCACTTTGTATTAGTTCCACTTCTAGCACAAGGCCACATGATCCCTATGATAGACATGGCAAGAATTTTGGCGGAGAGAGGGGTTATTGTCACTTTGGTAAGTACCCCTCACAATGCCTCAAGATTTGAGCAAATAATTGTAAGAGCAGCAAAATCCGGGCTTTCAATTCAACTTCTACAAATCCCATTTCCATGCCAAAAAGTGGGACTTCCATTTGGTTGTGACAACCTTGATACTTTACCATCAAGAAACCTACTCAGAAATTTTTATATTGCCCTTGACATGCTGCAAGACCCTTTGGAGCAGTACCTCCAAAACCATGTTTTTCCTCCAAGTTGCATTATATCAGATAAATGCCTCTCTTGGACATCTATAACAGCCAAGAAGTTCAATATTCCAAGACTTGTCTTTCATGGGATGTCCTGTTTTTCATTACTCAGCTCCTATAATATCAAACTCCACAATTCCCACCTTTCATGCACTTCTGACTCAGAACCTTTTGTCATACCAGGAATGCCTCAGAAGATTGAGGTAACCAAAGCACAACTCCCCGGAGCATTTGTGGCTCTACCTGATTTGGATGATTTTAGACACAACATGTATGAGGCTGAAATGTCTGCTTATGGTGTTGTGGTGAATAGTTTTGAAGAATTGGAGCAAGGGTGCGCTAAGGAGTATGAAAAGGCCTTAAACAAGCGGGTTTGGTGCATTGGTCCTGTGTCTCTGTGCAACAACGTTAGTTTGGATAAGTTTGAAAGAGGAAACAAGCCTTCAATTGAAGAGAAACATTGCTTAGAATGGTTAAACTCAATGAAACCAAGATCAGTTGTTTATGTGTGCCTTGGTAGCTTATGTAGGCTCGTTACATCACAATTGATAGAACTTGGGTTGGGTTTAGAAGCATCAAATAAACCATTTATTTGGGTGGTCAAAACTTCAGAAGAAAAATTTTCAGAGCTAAAAAATTGGTTAAAAGATGAAAATTTTGAAGAAAGGGTAAGAGGTAAAGGACTTGTCATAAAGGGTTGGGCTCCACAAACTTTGATACTGTCTCACCCTGCAATTGGTGCATTCTTGACCCATTGTGGCTGGAATTCAACAATAGAAGGTGTGTGCTCCGGGTTGCCAATGATAACTTGGCCTTTATTTGCTGAGCAATTCTTAAATGAAAAATTAATTGTGCAAGTTTTGAAGATTGGAGTTCAAATAGGTGTTGAGGTTCCTGTAAGGTGGGGGGATGAAGAGAAAGTTGGCTTAATGGTGAAGAAAAGTAGAATCATAGAGGCTATAGAGATGTGCATGGTTGAAGGTGAAGAGGGTGAGAAGAGGAGGACCAGAGCAATAGAGCTTGGAAAGATGGCAAGAGGTGCTATAGTAAAGGAAGGTTCATCTCACTTCAACCTTTCATGCTTAATTGAAGATATTACGAAAATTGGTTAATATAGTGGAGGAAAGTTCATCTTTTTTACAGCTACTGATTCTCAATAAGCAAACTTTGTTTTCGCTTGAGTGTTTTTCTCATGGATGACTTAGAACAAATAAAATAAAATAAAATCGGAGGGTGCTAAGAAAAGTAAGAGAGAACAATGTTTTTCTTGGTACAATGGTACTGCCGTTGTATATATGTAACACTACATATAACTTATATACTTTTGGTCTTTCATTTATACTAAATTTGAATGAATGGATTCAAGATGCTAAAATAGTAAAAAATAAAACGAGAGAAATGGTCAATTTCAATTATGAGAAAGAAAAAGGTTGAGATTCATTTAAAAAATTTCTCTCATTCACAATTAATATTTTTGCACGAAATAAAGAAAATAAAACGATATTTCACATAAAAGTTTCACTTTTTTATTTTTTTGCTTTTTACGTTAACAAACTCCGATCATAAAAGTTTAATTTTTTTTTTCTACTTATTCTTCCGTCGATTCAAATAAACTACAGGATTTTTTAATTCAAATAATATATTAATAATATAGAAGTCTTATAAACTCTTTGTTAGTTTTTTATTCGCGGTTCACGACGGCTATATGTTATATTTATGCTTATTAAATAAGAGAATTCATACAAGTATACTTCTTATAACTGAAGTCAACTCAATTATCTCTTAACGATTTGGTTTTTGATCTTTTAAAAGTCAATTTAAATGTACTTATTATATTATAAACTGCTGAATGGAGAAAAGAGAAATAAAAAATTGATTGTACTTGTTTTGCAAAAATGTACGTACATTTTGCAGTTCAGTTTTATATTGTTTACCACTACATACATGAATGGTTAAAATAGTCTTGAAAATAATCAATGGTTAACAGTTTTGAAAATGTGTATCCCACTATATGTATGAATGGTAGTCCTGAAAATCATTAAGAAGCCAATCATTTCCATCAATGTAAGAAATATTCATGTAGGAGATTGCTTCGTAATCCCTGAGTTGCTTCGCATAAGAGACTCTAGACGTATAATTTGCTCCCACTCCCACACAATGGTACTCCCCAAAGAAGACACTCCTGTGTTAACAATTAATTGAATACCCAAAACAACACTCAATCTGTCAATATACCAAACCATGCATATAGTGAATAACAGTGACAAACGCTTTGTTTTCCCCTTTTTCTTTCTGGGCTATGAATAGTTGAAATATAACACAATTTGACATCGTATAAATTTTCCAAATCTTCTATCATTTTCAATGATACTAATCAATAAGGCCCACTAACGACGAGCTTTTTATTTATTTTTTTGTCCTTTCACGAGCTATATAACGTGTTTTAAGAATAATCAAATTATCTTAGTTACTTTAAAAACAATAAACGAATTAATAAATTGTTTTATTTATCCTTGTAATTATCATATCAGTTGCAGAAGCTATAAATATTCACCTTAAAAATTGAAATAAATCAATTATTTTATCCATGTTTCGGATTATATCATTTTTGCATTCAAAATAACACGGTCAAAAGTCTAAATGACACTTTTTTAAAAAAAGAAAATTAATTCCATCCAAAATTAATCAAAACAAAAGATGTAATCTTGTAGCATAGATTTATTGACATTAATCCTTAGAAATGATTTGAAGCATATAAAAGTAATAAGCTTTTATTAAAAACATATTCATTATATTTTCAATAAAAAAATTTACTACTCTTAATTACTCATTAGAATTAGTTTGAGAGTTTATGGAATGTTTTCTTTTTTCAACCTTCAGCCACGCGGGCAGCAAAAAAAGAATTAGTTTGTGAAAGACGCACATGAATTTGATTGAATATGAGTAGATGTAGAAAACCATATGTAGAGTTAAAGCATGGAAATCAAAAGGTGGGAGAAGATATAAATGGTAGAGTTACGTACTGATCTCTAGAGGGAACACTCCAATCGTTCCATCCATCAGGAGCTACGACATCAGACATAAATGTTTTTGAGAAGACGACAGTGGCACACACTCCCCAAGCTCTTCCAAGCCACACTTTCCCACTCCCAATGATGTTACAATTCACAAAGGAAAATCCTGTTTGCTCGCTCATGGATTGTCGCCCTTGAGCTGTGATTGACCCGCTAACCCCTACCAACTCTTCTTTTGCTATAGAGTTTATGGTACAATCCTTCAGGTAGTGTGTCACAATTTAATTAGTGTGTTAAATATTTTGTTTGTGGTAATGGATTGCGGTAGACAAGATATACTTCAAAGGGAAGGAAAATACATCTTGTTTTTCTCTTACCTCATAAAGTGATCTACCATTTCCAAATATGAAATCAATGGATCCTTGTATGAAACATTCTTTAAAATAATGTCTCCCATTGTCATCATTGAGTGTGTCCTGTGCACCATAAAACCCACACCCATGGAATGCGGCTTGATCACCTGTAACTCTCATTGCCACTGCCTGTGCCCCAACCACTCCTTGTGACGGTGGAGGAGCCGTGTTCTTCTCACAGAATCAAAACATCAAGATCTCACCACATATAACATGACATGCAAAAGATTTGTTTAAATTATCCTACGAGATAACTAACGGTCTCTCAGATTTAATAGCATCTTGTTTATAAAAGAGTTAAATACAATTTCTGATATAAAATTTTAACTTCGTTAATCTACTTAGAATAAAGTTATTTATGTAACAAAATAATTTAGACAAATTTGTCAGTAAATATACATATATATTCATAATCTAAGAATAAAATATGGGTTTGTGCATAAATTATCTCCTAAGATAAATAATCTCATTCTAAATATATAGATTAATAAAATTAAAATATTATATTAAGAGTTGTATTAGTTTCTTATTCAATTTTTATAGAAAAAATTTCATTAATTTAAAGTTATTTATTCCATGAAATAGCTAGCTTAGATAAACCCACCACGGAACATTGAACAAAGTAAAGTAACCAACTAAATGTGATGCTTAATTACCTTAAAGCTGATGCTGTAAGCAGTGAACTTAGAAGCAAAGACGGCAAACGAGTAGCTATAGGAAGTCCCTCCGGTGGAATTTGCTGTGTCATTCCATTCAATGATTGTATTAAGATACCCTTGACCTTGAAGTATCAAGTTTGTTTTGTTGGCCTGCACCACGACCTTCTCCCTGTAATTTGTAAAACTCATCAAATTAATTATATTTGAAGTTAAATACTACATATAATTATATATAATCCAACATATCTGATCGATGCGACTACAACTATTGAAAACACTAGATAGCTATTAAAAGACATTGTACAGACTACAAAAATTCCTCATTTAACTGCTTAAGCTATTGAAATATGTAATATAAAACCATTCCCGTGTCTTCGAGGACAACCTGTATGTTCCAGAATCGACAATGATAAGGGTGGTATCACAGCTAGATTCAGGAACAGCATCAACTGCTTTCTGCACACTACTGAAGTTGCCACAACCCTTTAAGTCAACGGTGAAAACAAGAGTCACATTATAGTCTTGAATAAGCTTGGAAGCCCATTTGGCCTTGTCACATTTTCCCTTATGCCTCCTTCGATGATGATGTCTCCAGGCTATACTTGTTAGCAGAGAGACAAAGTCTTGAGCGCCACTAAGCTTAATGATCTTAGAGAATATACCAAGGTGGAAACTGAAACTACGTTGAGGACTAATGGCAGTGGTAGCGGTGAAGGAAGGTGGCGTGGTGTAATGAACAATTATGATAGAAAAGAAAAAAATGACAAAGCCAGAAAGCCAAAAGAGGGTTCTGTTGAATCTCATGTTTTAGCTTTATGAATTGGTTAGTATGTTTGTGCTATTTAGAGCTAAGAAACGGGTTTGGGGTGGAGAAGAGAATGGAGAATAGAGAATGGTTTTTATTATGTGCATGTGAAAAGGGTGTGTTAGTGACGTAGCATAATTGGAGTGGGAGGTAAGAAAAGTATGGGGCTGTGTCATGTCTAAGCGTGTAGAGGGTAATACTAAAGCTTGCTTTGAAAAGCATTATGGATCTTTGAATAATGAATTTGATGGCACGATAAAGAAACTCAGTAATATAGAGATTGGAAGATGGATACGCTAAGTGACTCCACAAAGATGGAAATTAAAATAAACGAAGGTTCATTCATTGTTGGGACGGTGTGATTATTTTATTTTAATTTGTTTCGCTATTGTGAGGGAGTGAAGTTGGCTTCTTCGCTTGGAATGCACTGTGTGTTCAGTATTTATTGGAGGTGCTTCGAATTGAATCCATAACCGTCCCTCATCGACTAATGTCTTGGAATGCACTGTTCAATAATACTTGCTTCAGAGAAATTTCGGGACTTTTGTGTTGCTAAACCAAACAGTCCATGGTTAATTAAAATTGTCTTACATATTTTTTTATATTTTTATTTTTCTAAATTTTTAATTTTTATCTTTATTTCTTAAAATTTAATACTGTGATTATATGTCATTTAAGTAAAAGAGATAAGAAAAATACTGAATTTTTAAAAACAAATAATAAAACTATTTAAAAAAATTTGTGTAAATATTAATAATATATTTAAAACCTAAAAATATATTATTGACACCTTGTTCTTACGCATCAACAAATTTGGTAAGAGTATGATAAACCTGTACTCATCCGAATTACATTGATCTAAGATATTACTTGCAAATTAGTAAAAAAAATATTAGAAGCTACGAATTTAACCCTTCACAACTTTTGGAATAAATAATTTTAGCAGATATATTTTTGGGCTACATAAAGAATAACGCAATGAGCTATTCCAACGTGATATGGTGCATATAATAACTATATGATGTTTTACACAAAATTTCTGTTTATTCAATGTTAGAAATTAATTTATTGGCAATTAAGGCTCGTAAATTTGATGCATAACATTAAATAATAAATATACATACATACCAAAGAGAACAAATATAAATTGGGTTATTTTCCTTATAAGAACTAGGATGAGAATAATAAAAGACAACTACTAGAAAATGTGCCATATACCAGTTTTTACCATGTTAAACGATAGCAATATAGTGAAAATTTGAGGTATGAAAGAGAGAACACCTAAGAAAGACAGTATTTTCAAGCTTCAGAAAATATAGGATTTTGGCACCATTCAATTATTTTTAGAAAAAAAAAAAAGTGAAAACTATACAATTTATTTTACAATTCTTAGATTATATCTCTTTGTGAAAAACTACTCTCTCTCTCTCTCTCTCTCTCTCTTTCTTATCAAACCTTATGTTGTGATGTTTTAAAACAACTAATGTTTTTAACAAATGTATTTATATGTTGTGATTGGTGTGATTTGGGAGAGAAGAAAATAAAAGGAAGAGTAAGAGAGGTGTAAAGTAATTGAGTTATTTGATTAAGTAAAAAAGAAAGGAAAAGAAAAGAGAATAAGTGTTAGTGAAACCTACCATTATAATCTTCTCCCCCCATAAATTAAGAGAAATGGAGGGTGAGGGCGTTTTTTTTAAAAAAAAATATATATTCATGTTCATTTTTTTTATATTATAAAATGTTTTTAAAATATTTTAATAAAAATTATAATAAAAAAATTATACAATTTACCTTTTTCATTTTACTCTCTTTTGTTTATCCAAAGAAGTGAAGAGATTTATTTTCTTAGAGCATTTTCTCGATCACAAATTTCGAAGTGAAATCCTGGATTTGAGCTACTGAAGGTGCTAACTGATATAGGGAGATGCTGGTGTCCTCCAACGATTTGAGCAGGAAAAAAGATTGCAATAGATTTCATGAATTCAGAACCGAAGTTGCTTGCGCTAAAATGAGGCATTTCTTTCACCTACCAACCCTCAAGAAGACTACTAGGATTTCTACCACTTTCAAGCTCTATACACTAAAATAATTCAATATTAATATGCCGTATCAAAATTCTAAGATGTACCGAAAATTAAAAAAATACAGAGAGAATGTACCAAAGAAAACCATAATTCTTAAACATAAACACAACGGCCGCACAGCATATAAAACTATAGTCTATAAGTCACAATGTTACATCTTGTATCCCGATTACTCATCTTTATGTGGTGGGCGGCAACAACTACCGACGCTAAATAGTGATAGATATTTTATATTTCAAAGCACTAGGTGAAGATCAAGAACTTGTGTATTCTTAACATAAACTAAAATATTAAAAGAGAACATGTGACGTTATAAATGTTTAAACAATTGGCAAGAACGGTACAAGAATGGCTTTAAATAGCCAAAAGTTAATACATATACAAAACCAGCAGAAAGGAAAAAGGGATGCGAGAAAGCTAGGAGTTTTCCCCTTTCACGATTGAATTTTCTAAAAAACAATGGTCATAATTGATTATTGATGATCCGACATGGAGGTACCATTTTATGTAGCATATTTGTCCCTTTGAATGTGACCATCTGATTGCAGTTCTTTCGGTAGTTGGTAAGCTGCAGCACAGGGTTAAAATTATTTTCTAAAAGTTGGTGTTGTGACAAATCATGCGGATGTTAAATTATCCGCAATGGCAACCTAGTTAGCCCAACTTCAAAAATGCTAGACTGAAGAAGTGTTAAAAATTTTACCGTAGCTACCACCTCGAAAGTATATAAAAGCAGAATATATACCTGATCGGGTTGCATCTTGCTAAACCCAAACTTATCCGTCCATATGGATTCTGCTTCTTCTGCAGCTGGCAGCACAAGGTTCTTCACATTCAAGAAAGCCAGTAGCCTCTCGATGCAGGAGAATAGTGTTTGGAAGTAACCCTGTTTGGATTAACCCAATATAATTATAATTAATGCACTATCATGACCTAGCCATAAGTGATCACAATATACATCATTCAATCATAATTCTAGTGCACAGAAAGTTTCAAAAAGAGGAACGAATTATGATGCAGGCAAGTGGCAGACAACTAAAGAACAGTCTCTCACTTTTCCATGGTTCCTGTTACTTGTTGCAACTAAAGGGAGTTCAGCAATATCTGTGCCAAAAATTCGAAGCATGCCCGCAGATACCACAGATGAACTTCAACATAAAAAAGAAAAAAACTGTAAACAGTAGTGTAAGATTTTATTTTTGTTAAAAAAAATTTAAATACAGGAAACCAATTCTTACTTGACTATTAGTAATGCACAATACATTCCTCCAAACTCCTGACCTCGCACATTCCTTCTGTAAGTGGAAAATACATTTAGATTTGAGACAAAGAAAACAAAGAGAAAAATGAGACAACAAATGCATTAAAAGGAGTTTCTAACCCATAAACCATGGCTGGAATAAGGTCACGTCCACTAGCTGCATCAACTATAGGATTAAAGCATTCCTGAAACAAGCAAGGGAAGTCTCAATCATAAATCCGATTAATGTATCAAATGATGAAAATAGGTTTCCCAAGGGATAAAACAGAAATGTAGCACAAAATAGGCTTCGATGCACACATGAATCAGTTCACAAACACATGCACAGTTTGATTTTTCCAGGTGGGTCTTGTGAAAATCAAGTCCAAACAACAACCCCCCCCCCCCCCCCCAAAAAAAAATAAAAAAAAGAGGCTTCTTTAATCTTTAAATTCCATGGTGGGATCATGTATCACTCATCCCATGTCTAGGATTGTGTGATCCCACCAATCATACTAGACAAGTTTTATAGGTCGATCAGGATTGCTCGTAGCATGAAAAGTCGTGAAATGTGATCTCACAAGGAAGATCCCAATTTGGCCGTGACAAAACCAAAAAACCAACCCATGCCGAAGGAAAACATGAACTGCTTAGCCAGTAAAAATGGCAAAGCTCAAACCAGGGGGAGGCATGACAGGGATTGGATCCCACAAAGAAACTAGGCCCAAAATAACTAGTGTATGTAAAAAGAAAAATGCGTGCAATGTAAAGGATTGTGACTAAGAGAGAAAAAATAAAAAGGATCTCCGATATGTAACCAACTGCTGTGTAGGCAGTAGGGATGTTAAGAGGAAGTGTGATTTGGTTGTAGGGGGTATAACTGTGTAAGGCTAGGGAGGGAGCATTGGGGACAGTGGGCTGGAATTGGCTGGGGCTTCAGGGGTAAGGACTAGGTACGCTCTAACTGCATGGGACATTTTCTTTTCCATTATATTTCCTTTTTGGTCAGTCATCTACATTCAAGAACTGTATCACGCTGATAAAGGTCTGATTCCAGCAATAATAAAATGATTTTTCATCGCTTTTTCTGCTGTATTTTTTTGGGTACCTGTCAGAAAGAAATCAGGGAAATTTTTCACAAATCACTGGTAGTGACTGCACCATGATGATCACTCAATCAAAACAAGACATGATGCTCTGAGCATCACAAGAATTGCACACCACAAGCCACATAGTAGAATTAAAATGTGAAATTTTGTGATTGGTACCGTGTTCAACACTTACATAAAAATGGTTTATGTATGTTCAAAGCTTGAAATCATAAATCAAATCATGTAATTCAACCAAAACCACATCAGGCTATGATTGCAGACCAATTTGGCCCACAACACAACTGCATTTTAAAACCTTGAATATAATCTAGCCAATTACTGCCAAATCGCAAGCTACACCAGATAAAGGTGTAAGGTGAAGCTTGATTCAGAAAAAAAGGAAAATTACAAAAAATATGGAAATAATTTTCCCATGGTAAAAATCCAACGCTGCTCCATCATTTGTTGGGGAACAAACAAGGACAATTTTCTCTGCAAAATCAAAGGGTTGTAACAAAAGATTATTATCAACAAATTCAGAAGGGTAAGTAGAACTTACATGAAAAATTGACACAGCCTCCAAAAGCAATGTTCTAGTTTCAGGAGAAGCAATCTTGCCACTAAGAAGCCTCCATCTTACATCATTTATGGGTTCTAATCCTTTTTCCTCTTGCTTCTTCTTTAGAACATCCAAGAGAGATTCAGGGAGTCTCTCAGCCCCTCTAACCAACAGGTTCTCCAAAGTAGAATGTATTCTTGCGCAATCGTTGCAACAAAGCCAATTTCCTTCTGGCAATTCCTGTAATTGTTTTGAGACATTATGTCCAACAGACAAAAGAGAAGTTGATGCCCAAAGTAATGTATCATACATAAAGACATAACAACAACTGCATACCTTTAAATATGCCATCTTGTGATCCCTCAAACAGCCAACATGATATTCCTTTTCACACTGCAGCAAAAGATGAGGGCAAACAACACCATGTTGGATCAGTAAAATAGATACTTCATACTTGCATAAATGATTAAACCCCTCCTCCCCCCCCCCCCAACAAAAGTAAGGGAGCTAGACTCTAAATGTTACAGTATCCTTGTAGGTGACATCAAAAACAAAAGTGAACCACAATGCATACCTGGTCACAGAGTATTATTGTGCGTGGACCAAAGCCAGATCTGCTGAAATCAACACCCCTGCATGCACAAAATTTCCCCTTCATATTGTATAACTCACAAATATACAATATTAGTTTTCAATTAATTTAAATACAGGAGCACATCCACATGGTGACAATTGCTAACTTCAAATTACAGTCTAGATAACAGCTAAGTCCATACAATGGCCTCTAATCTTTACAATGAACTTGCTACCTGCATAAAGCACACCCACTAAGCTCAGCTTCAATGTCCTTGACTATGCGAATGCATCTATTGGTAATCTGTTCAATTGGATCAACTCCTTCAACCCTTCCAGCTGCAACAGCATTGGCGTTGTGTGCCACAAACTTTTCTCTCTGAAACATGTTTTGGCAAAATTGACAATACCAGTCACCACGCGGAATACTAGATAGAGCTGCACATTCTGTACATTTCCAAACATAACAGTTCACTTAGAAGATGACTATCTCATAATTTACCAAACAAAGCAAACATTCTTCATGCTACCTCCAATCAGTAATTTTTGAAACAAAATATAGGTATCATAAACTAAAGTTTCAGCTATTTCTATATGAAATTGAAGACTAATACCATTTAAAAAGATATACATCAATATACCAGAAGTGCTTTCCTTAAACATGGCTAAAATACAAATTCCATTTGATAAACAATCCCATCTATCAAGTACAGACAAGATAAGTTCAATAGAAAATTATGCCAACTCATAAGCATTTGTTATGAATAGTTAGAATAGACATATTAGGATTAGTGTTTATTTTAGTATTATAACTTGACCCAGTAGGGTTACATATGTATCCTTATAAATATAAGGGTCTCTACACATTATAGAGTATCCAATTCCAACACACTACTCTGTCTCTCTCCTTATACTCTTTCTCTCTTAATCTCTACATGGTATCAAGAGCTTTCTAGGTTCTCTCTTTGGTCGCCACTACCAGCGGCGCGTCGGAAAAAAAAAAAAAACAGCAGCTTTAGAAAAGGCCAATCATGGCTGCTGTGGGAATGGAAAATTTTTCCAGTGACCAGAATATGTAATAATTCAACGACGTTACAATGTCTGAACGTGATAGCCAAGATGTGCAAGATGCATAGCACAAGAGAGCTGTTAAGGAGATTGTATCTCTATCCGAACTTACCGATGTTAAGCTAGATGGAGATGGTACGAACTATATAGAGTGGAAGTATTTGGTTGAAATTAGTCTGGGTGGAATGGGAAAAGATAATCATTTGACTGAAACAACATTTGTCAATTCTAAAGATGTTAACACATGAAAAATACGTGACAAAAAGATCCTTGCATTGCTAGTAAACTTTGTTGATAGGCGAATACAAGTGATTATTATCCATTGCAAAACTGTGAAGGAGTTGTGGGATTTTTTGCAATTTATTTTTGGGAAATCTGATAATTTGAATCGGTTATATACTCTCTTGCAAGAAGTTTATCGACCCAAACAAAATAAGCAGAAGCTAATGGATTATTTCTTGGAGTTCAAGAAGCATACTGAGAAGATACAATCTCTTTTAGCCTGCAAAACTATTGACGAGATGATAATGCAACAAAAGAAACCCATGGCTTTAAGTTGGCTCTCTGGACTTGATGTAGAATATGAGTTAGTTCGATCTCAGATTCTGTCAAGCAAGCAGGTTAATAATCTTACCGATGTCTTCTTCAAAGTTATGCAATCTTCCTTTAAGGAACTCAAGAGCACTACAGAAAATGAGTCTCCTGACCAATTTGACTTAGCAGCCCAATACGATCACTATGATGGTTGCAATGGTGGCAGAGGTAGTCGTGGCCGTGGGCGTAGTGGAAGTCGTTGTATTGTACAGTGTTACAACTATGGTGAATTTGGCCATTATCGGAATCAGTGTACTCATCCTCCGCAGAATCAGTTGTTTTTTCACTCACAAGGTAATTCCCGCTTCGGTAACTCAGTGTCTCAACCTGATATAGCTACTCAAGAAGAAGAAGAAAGTATTGTGCGTATGAGTGATGAAGAATTTATTCAGTATACTCAGTTTCAGATTTCCCAACAGCTATCTACATCCTCTACAACCACTTTGGTCATGTCTTTCCTCTTCTTCCAACTGTTGGGTCATTAATTCTGGCACTACTAATCATATGACTGAGGATTCAGGTATTCTTTTTTCTTTTTGTCTACCCAGTTCTCATTCTTCTATAACACTCGCTGATGGTTCTACTGTCTATATTAAGGGCAGCGCGTGTACCACCCCAGTTTCAACCTTATATTTATCCTCTGTTTTATATTTGTCTCAATTCTCCTTAAATTTGTTACCCATTAGTCAAACTACTTCATCATTAAATTGCTCAGTAACATTCTATTCTAATTCTTGTATTATTCAGGATCTAGTGACACAAAGGATTATTGGTAAATGTAGAGTATCTAATGGGCTGTATCTATTGGAAGAAGAAGGACTTTTGCAAGCTTCTATTGCGTCTAGGAATGAAACAGTGTCTCTTTTCCAACTTCATTGCCGTTTGGGTCATCTGTCCTTAGGAGTTTTTAAGAAATTATATCCTAGTATAGAGTCTAATTTTTATTATGAGTCATGTCAGTTTGATAAACATTATTGTAATTTTTATTTACTTCGTTTAAATAAAAGGGCTCATGCCCCCTTTGAAATTGTTCATTCTGATGTTTGGAGCCCTTGTCCAGTTACTTCTAAATCTGGTTTTAAATATTTTATTACCTTTATCGATTATTACTCTCATGCAACATGGTTGTTTTTGATAAAATCTAAATCTAAAGTCTTTTCTATATTTTGTAATTTATGTGCTGAAATTAAAATCCAATTTAATAACTGTGTTCGCATTCTTAGAAGTGATAATGTTAAAGAATATTTTCCTGCATCTTTCACCAATTTTATAAGTAAACATGGCATACTTCATTAGTCTTCTTGTATTGTTACCCCACAACAAAATATAATAGTTGAACGTAAAAATCATATTTTATAGAAGTAGCACGTGCTTTACTGTTTGAAATGAAAGTTCCTAAAATTTTTTGGGCTGATGTTGTTCTTACTACTGCATATTTAATTAATTGTATGTCATCATCTATATTACATGGTGAGATTCCCTACTCTATACTTTCCTTATCACAATCTTTCTTTTCTTTACATCTTAAAGTTTTTTGCTGCATTTGTTTTGTGTTTGATGTTTGTCCTCAGGTAACTAAATTTAATCCAAAGTCCCTCAAATTTGTGTTTTTGGGTTCCACTGTGAAAGTTAATCCGGATGGTTATGTGGCTTGTTTGAAGGCACGCCTTGTTGCAAAAAAGTATGCCCAAACTTACGGTGTTGACTATACTGATACGCTCTTTTCAGTTGCTAAACTCTCATCTGTTCGCATCTTCATCTCTCTTGCGACTATGCATCATTAGTCATTATTCCAGCTAAATGTTAAGAATGCTTTCTTACATGAAGACTTACAGGAAGAAGTGTACATTGAGTAACCACCTGGCTTTGTTGCTCAAGGAGAGATGGAAGAATATGTCACTTAAAGAAGTCATTATATGGCTTGAAACAATCAATTAGAGCATAGTTTGTGAGATTCAGTGACATGATTTTAGAATTTGGATTAGTGAGAAGTGAGAGTGATCATACAGTATTTTACAAACAAACTAACTATGGTTGTATTTTACTTATTGTTTATGCTAATGATATTGTTATTACAGGCAGCGACAAAGAAGAAATCAGCAACATAAGAAAATTTTTTCAAATCAAGTTTCAGACAAAAGACTTAGAAATTATAAAATACTTCTTAGTATTGAAGTCATGTACTCCAAGCAAGGAATCTTCCTTGCACAGAGAAAATATGTCTTAGACTTATTGACTGAGACTAGGCTAAAAGAAGCTAAATCATGTGAGACACCTATAGAGCCAAGAGTGAAACTGACAGCAGATGGAGTTCTTTTTGCAGATCCACAGAAATACAGAAGATTAGTAGGCAAGTTAAATTACTTGACTGTCACAAGGCCGAATATTGCTTTTCCAGTGAGTATTTTTAGCCAATTTATGTCAACTCCAACGAATACTAATTGGGAAACACTAATCCGCATTGTGAAGTATTTGAAGAAAACATCAGGAAAAGGAATTGTGTAATAGAGGCATTTTCTGATGCTGATTAGGTAGGATCTATAGACAGAAAATCTACTACCGGATACTGTGTGTTCTTGGGAGGTAATTTAATTTCGTGAAAAAGTAAGAAGCAGAATGTTGTTTCGAGATCAAGTGCGGAATCAGAATACAAGGCGATGGCTTAGACTACTTGTGAGTTAATGTAGTTGAAACATATGCTGGAAGAGATAGGATTTGGTAGCACTAAGCTTATGTAACTTTAGTGTGACAACCAAGCAATGATACACATTGCCTCAAATCTAGTTTTTCATAAACAGACGAAACATATTGAAATAGACTGTCACTTTATTCGAGAAAAAGTTTTGCAAAAGCTTATATCCATCTCTCACGTTAGGACAAACGACCAACTAGCAGATGTGTTACAAAAACTTTAAATGGAACACGTAGCAATTATATTTGTAACAAGCTGAGCATGATTAATATCTATGCTTCAGCTTGAAGGAGAGTGTTATGAATAGTTAGAATAGACATATGGGCTTGACCCAGTAAGGTTACATATGTATCCTTATAAATATAAGAGTTTCTACACATTGTAGAGTATCCAATTCCAGCACACTAATCTGTCTCTCTCTCTCTCTATGCTCTTTTTCTCTTAATTTTTACAGCATTTAAGCTCTGTTTGGATAAGAGGTAAAATACAAAGGAAAGAAATAGAGGATAAAGAAATAGAAAGATAAAAAATAGATTGAAAAATATGTAATGTTGGATGGGTTGAAATAAGAGGGAAGGAAGTAATAAAAAATTCCTTCCACTTGTTTGAATGAGTTAAAAAAAAAAAAGTGGAAAAACTAATTAAATTATATTAATAATAATCATAAAAAATTAAAATTAATCTAATAAATTTTAATTTTTTAATTATAATAATTTTCTTAATAAAATATATTTTTAAATTTTTTATACTAATTAATATTTAAACAAATAAAAAAAATCCTTTATGCTCTAAAAAAACCTTTCGCTTTCCTCCTCCAACCAAGCCAGGAAAGTAACTTCACTCTCCTCTATTTCCTTCCCTCCTTCCTATTTCTAGGTCATTCAAACAGAGTGTTGGATAAAAAATCTTGTATAACACAACTATTGATGTTAATGAGGTATTTACCAAAAAGGAAAAATATTAAGCATGCCAAAGAATATATATACATGCATTTTTCTAGTTCCCTCTCCATTGCTATTTTTGCAAGAGGGGGTATAGAGGAGGCATGTGCTGGATCACAAAAAGATGCCTACACTTAAGGTAACCTACATTTTAGGTCACTTATAGTTCTCTGTTCTCGATGAACCTCATAGAGTAGCATCCTAGGCAGTGTTGGAAAAACAGGTCAATCAATCATGACATATCAGTAAGCACTATTAAGTGCATACTAACATATCAGTAAGTATGAGTATGACTAGTATATGGCAGAAGTATATGCTGTTATATTTTGTAGAACTGGTTACCAGTTCACCTCAAGTATGTATCTGGCCTAACAGGCTACTCAGATCAGTTACTTCACTTGACTGCTTCACCAAGCGATTAGGTTTCAATAACCGTAGTCATATAAAAAACACTTTAGACATGGACCATCTAGGTAATAAAGAACTTCTTAGTTCTTACAAGTTGCAAGAAAATAGCAGAGGAATAAAAGGATCAATGAGGGGGAAGAAAGATTATTTCACACTTCAAATAATTGGAGCAAATAGATAATTTGTCCATCATGTTTCTTTTGTAATGTATATCTGACCTTTATGAAATGCTCTAGGGCATCCATCACAAAGCAACAGATTTCCACCATCCCAACAAACAATGCATAGATCATCATTGTCCTTCGCAGAGTATTTTCGATCCTTTGAGAGAGATATTGCTAACTCATGGAGAGACACCCCGTTTGATGTGTAAATATACGCATAACTGCCAAGCAATATAGCACGTCAATTAAAATCTATATGCACAAGCAAAAAGAAATTCAAGAAAGCAGTTTAATATCCCTCCCACCAACTCCCAAGGAAAAAAAAACTCACGGTTTCTTGCGAGAAGCCCAGCCTGCATGGACCTCAAACTGTGAGGGGCTGATCTGCACAACATTTAATATTAAAAGAAAATTATACTTACAGATTCTTTAGGAATGCCTACAAACATACAAGATAAGTGTATTAAAGGAGTAATACCTCAGTGTTGCAGCATCGACAAACAATTCCAGAGCCCATTTTGAAACCTTCAAGCAACTTCTGTCAACCAAAACGTAACTGTTAACAGAATAAAAGACATACATAAATCGTACACACTGTACACAAATAAACAACCTGCCCACGTGCATAATATGCTACTTCAGTTCCATCAGGCAATCCATCTTCCTCAAAAACTAACTTATGCAACCGCTGATCCCTTGAGAAGAATACATTGGATTAACAACAATGATTATCATCAGCAACAAGTGATAAAAGCAATACAGCCGGATAGATATACATAAAACAAGGGGGAGTAGGGAACTAACTTCTTAGTTATCTTCCAATGATTCTTGTTAGATAAACATTTTGAATTTGAAGTAACTTCTGGGGACTTCAATTTTACCGGCAGTGACCTAGTAATAACAATTGATTAGAATACAGAGGGGAAAAATCATTTGGTTGTAACTTGTAAGCAATTTCACTCTCAACCATATTATCCTAACTACATCACAAGTGCCAAAAATAAAGGTAGATACAGACTTCTTTTTCTTCTTCAACAAAATTTTCTTCTGGGATAGAGCAGGCGCAGAAGCATTCTTGAGGGAATTTGAGCTGCTAACCCTTTTCGGTGACCTTAATAACACAGTTGGCAGTAAGTTAAAAATAAAAGGCAGGGAGAGAGAGAGTGAAGAGCGCATAACAACTAATATATATATATATATATATATATATATATAAACAATGCATGGAATCTAAGAAGTTTGAAACCATGTAACCACATAGAATAGGACAGATGATATAGATATGAACACCAACTTTGTTCTTTTCTTCCGGTGTCTCTTAATTTGTGAAGAGAAAGACAGCTCGGAGGTACTCGATGGGTTGGAGACCAACACTGGTCTAGGGGACCTGAAATATTGTTTTAAAAACATAAAAGAAAATATAAAATTAGAGAGGGGGCAAGGCGAAGTGCTAAAAAGCATGTCATTGCACCTTCAACATGGCTTCAAGTTTCAACATTCTGAACTAAATGGGCTTCTCATACAAAAGCAATTAATGTATGTACCCAGGTCATAACTGTTGTATGTTTAGTGGCATACACTAACATGAGAAAAACCCAAATACTAGGTTGCCTGAAATCATGTGTGTACTGGTCACTGGTTAATATTATTCAATTTTAACAGAGCCTCCATGACAGCAGACATAAACCCATTAAAAAGAAATTTCAACAAAAAATCAATTTGATAGATGAAAAGGAAAAAGTAAATAAAATGCTTCACTTTTCTTTATTATCCTTCTTAAAAAGGGGTGACTGAACAATCAAAATCAATTTTATCCAAAATTTCATCATGATGGTCATCAAACATTAGTATAACTAACAACTTAAATATAAGAAATGAGTACCTAACTCTTTTGCCAACTGCGTTATTTGAACTTTCTTCAGATTTCCTTGATTCCACACAAGAACGGCATATGGGACCCACTCTTTCCACACATGAAGAAGGGAAACATCCTATGGGAAAACATTAGTACAAACAGTTAGCACCTAAGAAAAAAAAAAAGAAACTAATGTATTTTCCCCTAGTATTTACCCACAAAATAGTGACAAACTGGACAACGAAAACTAATGACTCCGAATTGCTCACCTTTACACCTTTTACAAGTAAAATATTTTTCTTCAGGTGGAGAACCAACAAAATTTTGAATTGTCACCTCCAAAGTATGCAGGGGAGCTCCCCTGCATGCTCTCAGTAGATCAAGCAGGCTCTTCCCATTCTCAAGGCAAATATACTGCGCTGCTCTCCTATATTGTTTGCAAGCATGGATCTCAAATTGGGAAGGTGGTATAACCTACATAAGCAGAAGGAACAAGAAAAATAAATGACGGGACAACCGCAGACCAAAGAAACAAATGGGTATAAAAAGATAGAACCATAACTCACCCGCCGTCCATTGCACAGGCAACACGAGCACAATATTCCCCCATCTCTAATAACACCCCGTAATCCCGAAGCCTATAAGAATAACAAATATATCAAACTGTCAATACTAAACACTGTGAGCGGTAAATATATTAAAGCAGCCTTTCTTAAAACATGCCACCGAGCACCAGCTAGAAGGATAATCATGAAATAATTTTACAGGTTTAAGAGCTAGTGTCTATATCATTGTCGTGTCCCACTTTTGACTACAATTTTAATGTTCGATTTTTCTACGACACATAATAAGAATACGTATTTAGTAACTCTTTCTTATAAAATCTAATGCACTAATAATTTCTTTTTATGGATCCTCGTACACCTTAAGAAAACTTAAAAGTTGATAAATACGTGCACCTAATAATTCCTCTTAATTATAAAAAGTTTATTGACCCGTAACACTTCTCCTAATGGCTTACTTAATTACTCGCTCTATAAGTCCCAAATTACTCAGTTACTTCTTTTTTATTTTTATAAAAGTAAACAAATAAGACGTGGCACAATATCTTATATACCAAAATGTAAAACAAAGAAAAAAATCATACTCAAAACTCAAAAGTGACTTCAGCTTTAACTTACAACTGATAGCTCACTCATAATCTTACATTAAAATACTTTTCTGTTTTTTCTCAGAATGTAATTTTCTGCATTCATGCAGAACATATCAAAACGAACCTTCTTAATGCCGCCCATGTAAACTACTGAAACCCCATCGAGTAAACCTGTATCGAAGAGCTCCTTAACAGTCATAGGCTTCCTATTGACCACAATCTTCTTCGACATCTTCAGCTCCATTTTATTCCTGGGAGTACCTAATGCACCGTTGATTCCACCATTCGCAACAACTTGTTCCGACTCAGTCACCATCTTATCACCATTTTCAACGCTCGCTTTCGACGCCGATCGCCTACACCTCTTGAACTTCCTCACCACCACCTCCGAAGACTCACTCTTCAGCTCCTTACACTCGCTATCTTGTCCCGTGCAGTAATCAACTCCGTTCTCCGTTCTTACAGCAAGTTCCTCCGCATTCGACTTGAATTCCACGTCGTCGGAAAAACCGTTACACGAATCAAGGGACCTCTTGGCTCGAGTATAAACAATGTAACCATTCACCACGGAAAGTTTCCGAGGCTGATCCATGGAAACGGTTTTGGATTCCGATTCCAGCTTGACGGCAACATCCATGAGAAATTGAGCACCTAAATCTGCGAGAAATTGAGATATGCCCTAGGCGACTGAGAGAGTAATTGAACTAAGGAATCAAACATAATTGAGCATGAGAATCAGCGTAGGGTTTATGATTTTGATTGAATTGGAAGAGAAACAGAGCGATGGAGGAGAGAGTGGTCCAAGAGTGAAACTCGCTCAGTGAGGCTCAAACTCAGCACAGAGAGTGAGAGAGAGAGAGAGGAGAATTAGATAGATAACTAGAAGATGAGATTTGAAGAAAGGGGAGAATGGCAGATCCGTAAATAAATTCATCAAATAAAAAGTGCATAATTGACCGAAATACCCCTTTTCTTCCGAAATCAATTGTTCCGGTCGGTATCGGGAAGCTTACCTGAAAACCCTGGCTCATATCCAAACTAAGGCGTCAAGACATTTTTATCCCATGAGTAAGATTTTAATAATATGTATATTTTATACATATCAAATATATAAGGGATATTCATTTCATAAACTACATAAAAATTTAATATTAATGGTTATACTTTATTGAAATGATTATCATTTTAAAATTACGCATGAAGATTTTAAAAAGTCATAAAAGTATATCTTTTTAATTTCAAGTAAGTATAATTTAATTTAACTACATTATCTCCTTATTTGATAATATACTTTTTCTTACAGTGATATCAACACATTAATTTTAAAAAATAATAATGTATAAATTATTTGAAGTGAAATACTAAAAAAAAAATAGTTCCCATAAAACATACTGGTCTAAAAAAATTAAAAATAATAATTAATTTTCAAAAAAACTAACCATATGTCACTTCATTAGAATAAATTATTTCTCTGTACTGTGAAGTTATATTTATTTTATTTAAAATTAACTAGTAATAGTTTCTTTTATTTATTTTAAGTTTTTTTGTTTTAGTATTATATATTTGCATTCTGTTTTAAAAGTGACAATTACATAAAATGAATTGAGCAAGTGCCGTATTAAATAAGAACATTTTTATATAAGAATGATAAATTTAAATTATATAATTATATATAAATCATTAAAATTGAAAAATAAAATTACATATATAATTACTTAAAATGCTATGTGACATTTTTAATGAGTAAGTAATTAGAAAAAATACTTAATGCTAGAAAAAGAAAAAGACGAAATGTGACATAAAAATCACATTGAAAGAACATGGCATGATTCCCGTCAAACTTTCAAGTTTATTTAACTTTAACATAATATTCAACCAATTTAATATATTCATGTGAATTCTTCATGTTCGCATCATGTCTCTTAGTATTAAATAGTAATCTTGCAAATAGTGTCTTTATTACTTATTTTTTGAAACACAATTCTCAATTAATTTTAGTAATTTTGGTATATAGACTTTTTTTTATTTCTGAAAATCAAGTGTTTTTAAGAACCATAATTTTTTATTATATCAGAAATATATTTTATATGCTTAAAATATTAATGAGAACGTTACATAATATTCCGTTGATATTCTTCGAAAAAAAAGTTCACATTTACGGGAATCCCGAATTTTTATCCCCTACCTCAAGAATATTTTGTTGAAAAACATAATTTTAAAAAATCATAAATTATTTATTTATTTATATTAAACATACACTTTTTTAAAAATATTGCTAATTAATATCCCTAAAATTTGAATTTTTATGAAAAATATGAAAACTATATTAAAAATTATAAGAATTAAAGCAAATTTATAACTTTATTGATTGTCATTTTTGTGATTATTGAAACAATTATAATAATAATTATTTTTATATCTTAGATTATTGGTATTTAAATATTACTTTAGACTCCAACTATTTAAAGTCGAGCCTACACTAATCTAAGTTGAACCCAAAGAAACCTATATATGATGGTAAAACTTTCAATATTTATTTTCTTTATACATAATCTTCGAAAACAACGCTTTATATACTGATTATATTTCATAATATTTTTTATTTTCATAATAGTTATTTATTGTTTTTTATTTGTATTCTAATTTTTTATTTATCCGATGAACAGTCATAACGATAGTAGCATCTCAAAACAACCACTAAACAAAATTTATGTGATTCATTTATATCATCTCATAACTAGGTAAAAATAAATAAATTACAATACATTAACTGTGTCAAATCGTTTATATTATCTTTTAAATCATAAATTATAATACAATTATTAAAATTGTTATTTTTTATAACAATAATTTTAAAATGATTTCTAATTAATAAAAATTACACTGTTTAATTAAAATTAAACTCTTAAGTAAATTCGTACTTAGATACCATTGAGGGTGTTCAATCAAGCTCAATAGACAAGTTTCATATGCTTGAATAGAAACATAAGAATTAATTCACCTAAAAAGTTAATTATATAACAAAGCATTCGAAAGTAAACCCAAATTTATGCACATAAAGTGATGAAATTAATCCATTATCATAGTCCTCCTAGCATATGCGCATCATCTACATAGTCATTCTGATTTCAGTTCATCTCTGAAATTCTATTACATTGTAGCAACTGCACCCAGCTTGCACTTTTATTAACATAACAAGCAGAAGTGAAAAGCTCCAATGCTAATGCCCTAATAACTCTACCAAACTAGATAGATTGCATGATATAGTCGAAAAATTTCTGAGCAGTCAGAATAATATTAATGTTTATTTTAACTGTGTAAATTTAGATAATTTGACATTATTTTCAATTAATTAATTGAGTTAGTTTGCCTTTGCTGTGAACTAGCTCTAGAGTTTTTTAAGTAGAAACATCTGAACTCACTTTGACTTAGAATTGAATCATGGCTAGTGCGTAAAAAATATTTTATGACGAACAGAAACTGGCGAATCACCCTACTTATAACAACTTCATCAAACTTATGAATTGAACTAGTAATTAAGCATGTCCCATACTAGCAAACATAATCTCACATAAACATTAATTTTGAAGGAATTTGTCTAAGTTCCTCCAAGGATAAATAATTTCATTTTAGAGAAGTTAACAAAATTTTATCTATGTAAAGTTAAATAAAAAAATTGATATAATTTTTATTATAATATCTTAATTTCATAAGTTCATCTAAAATAGTTATTTTATAAAATTACTTAGACAAACCTATTTTAAAGACATGCATGTAGAAAAAAATTGATCAAAGGGAGAGAACAGAGGAAATAAAAACGAGAGAAAAACCAATCATTGGAAGTTCCAAAATGCGAATAAATCTGAAGGTTAACTAATTTTTGCTGAGCCCGCCTGAAGATAAAGGTGGAGACTTGAACTAGGAGTTAATCAATAATTCAAGAATAAGATAAGATTGAAATTTTGAAATTGCTATTTTTACCTTAATATTCCTGTGAAGTTGCAGAACATGTTTACCACACCACATTGATAGTGGAGAATTGCTTTAACTTAAATAAATATGCCATATACCCATTGCAGTACTTTGTGCCATTATGTGATATGTCCAATTATAGACTGATAATGTAAGAAGGAAAAAAACAAGGTCAGAGATATATCCACGTGAACGACCACAACAACATCATATAGCAAGAGGTCTCTTAAAATTCAACATTTATTGGCTCCTACTATATACTATATAGTAGTCGACATCATATATTGCTACATATTAAATGCAGCTCTAGTACAAGTACCAAGTACAATAAAACAGAGAGAGTAATAATAGTACATAGTATAGAATAGAGATACTATATATTGCCAAAGTTCCCTCGTCCTCAAGAACCCATTCACACAAAGTGAAATGAGTTAGAGGAATTGGAAAATGCCAAAGGATCGAAGTTGCCCCTTTCAAGAGAAATCGCCCTGAAGAAGGACGGTTCATTCCCAGCAATCTTTTTACTTATTCTTGCACCCACATGAAGCGATCGAAAGGAAACGGTGACACAAATGGAGGATAACCATCACCCACCACCTCCACGGCCACAGAGGAAGTGGTGGCAACGAGGGTTACTCGAGATGGGGTGCAATTTGGAGAGGGTTGGAGGATGAAGGTTGAATTGGGTGTTATAGGACTTCCTTGATGGTCATAATGACAATAAAAGTGTAAGATGAGTTGAGTAACTACTAGTCTAGTGTGAGGCGGTGACTTTTGTTAAAGGGAACATAAATAAAGTAGAAAAAGAGCGAGATGGAGGTTCTAATTTAGCATCTTCCAAAGGATATGCCCTTTTCCACCTCCGTTGCTCTCCACATCTGATATTCACCTTTCCATAAATCTCACCTCATACATATTTTCTTTTTGGCAACACCCAATGGACCGTACCAAATTGATTTAGTTAGTATAGTATCCCATAAACTACATAATTGTTTAGTTCATCACCCAAGTTACATTAATTACCTATGATGCTTAATTGAAAATAATGAGGGAAAACACGTTACATAATTCTTATTGATAACTCTTTTCTTGTTATAAATGATAAGGACTTCCACGTGCAATTTTATGTTTCTCTTCAAACACAATTCTCAATCTTATATTGAGCTGAGCTCGCAATGATTTTTGCAAGCATACCCTTTAACACTTGAGTCCTTAACTGAGGTATAGCCACCTTATTACTTCCAATATCTTGGTTTTAGTGGCTACCACAACCACTTTAAGGTTACATTGGATCGTGTCAATCACAATGTAACTACGACTTAACAGCAATTTAAGATCATTCACCAAATAACAAAAAGGTTGATTAGAAAGAGAGGGGTCCCTCACTCTATTTCCAAAGTGATAATGAATAGGTTACTGTTATTACAAGGCCTTTTAAAGCAGGGGAATTAGGGATAAGAGGTTCGTCCTCTGTTATATCATAGTTTGCATCAGGTCAATGGTCCCTGGATTTTGTTTTAGGAGGAAACCAAGAACGTCAGGGTGGGGCTGTTGTCTAATTCAATTTAAAAGAAAAATAGATCAACACGATTTTTTAATACATGCAAAAGAACCCATAACAAGAAATCAATAATGTAAATATTTTGAGCATTTATTTACAAAATGAATCTGTTTACAAATTTATTGCTTTACATGTTTTCACATCATCAATTGCCTACTTTTTTAACCTTAATTTGTTGATGACTTCTAAATAGTTGCTACTCATCAAATTAGTAATTACTCAACAACACTGAGAGGTCCAAATCCAATGAGCTGAGAGTTTCCTTATTGTGGTTTGCTTGACGTATAAGTTTCATCTCTTTTTCTATCCTTTCCCTTTATATTTTTTCTCACTTGCAAGGTTTTCTCTTTAGTTATATGAAAACAAGTAAAGACAACAACAAAAGCAACAAGAATAACACTTGAGGAAACTAACTGGGGCATGTGCGGTGAAGTTAAGAGAAGGGATGGGCAAAGACACAAAAGGAACAGTTTCAACCATGC